CAAATTTCAAATTATCCCGTTCTAAACCCGAAACTCTGAAGCTGAAAGAGTATCTGAAGTAGACTAAGCGCGCATAAAACTATGAGCGCTCGATACATTCCTTTGTTAATTTTTGTACTTTGCGTTCACGGTTACGTTGTGAAAAACATCGTTAGCTTAACCTCTCCAATATTGAACAAAACACTCAATCGGCCGGGCGCCGGCCGATGGATCGGAGCAAATGTGACCAAGGCATTAATGAAGTGTTTTTGAGATTTTACATAAAACAATTCATATGAAAGCCTAGTCTGTGCTGCCATCTTTTAAATCTACTATACATGTGTCGCGCATATTTTTCACGTTTTAAAAAGATATGGAAGCCAAACGAAATTACCATGTGGCCCACATTCAAGACCATTGTTGATATCGGTACATTGACTGCTAATTATTGATTGGTTAGTCTGGTTTAAGCCATCACACATTGACTTCAAAAGTATTATACCAGAGCGGGGTCCAGAGGCTTGGTGCAAGACTATAAATCAGTCTAAGGATTCATACGATTGGCATTCATACGATTGAGATTCGGACAAGTGCAAGTGTGTTGAGAAAAATATTTCTTTAATTTTCATGGGTTTGCTGACTTGCATTATATCCACTTATATATCCGTTATCTTTTTCAATCAAAATTGAGGAACATTTTCTCTGCCCAATTCTATCTGATACCATCTTTCTCATCTGTTACCTTATTGGAATTGGAACCACTTTTCGGTAGCATTCGATAACCAAAATGACATGTCTCATTCTTGATTGACATATTCGATCAAAGATGGTTGAGATAGTCGAGATTAATGTGGATTATAGAATGTTACTTTAATAAAGATTTTCAAGAGTCACCTTTAGCTTTTGTATTTGATCAGATACCCAATTTTTCAGATTATAAAAATTGAATGTAGAAAAACATTTGCATGATTTTTGAAAATATTTCACAGTCCCCACATGTATACTACCCCTTCTATTTCCTCCAATAATCAATCGTTACATTATCTATATCAAACTAGAAACAACATAAAAAGATCAGTATCAAGTTATTGTTGAGAAGTTAAAATCTGTTAATCATATAACGTAATCACCATTGATTATATATTTGATACGACCAGAATGCAAACTATGTTTTAGTAACTTCCGCAGCTCCTCATACCGCATCCTCATAAACATGGATCCTCTCCTTAGGGGGTTGCAACTCTATTAACCAAGTAAATAACCTCTGTATATACAGAGATACACATGTACAGGTAAAATTACCAGTAACCAATCTCTGCTTACTTCAATATTTGATGATTACATGGACTTCTACCAGGTACGTAATTTGCAAATCACTTTCTCTTCTTGGGGTAATATTTTGAATATTTCTTAGTTGAGTAAGATTATTTGTTTACTTCCGTAGTGTATCTTTATAAGGAACCCCCTTCATTTATGTCTTGGTTATTGGATTGGAGATCTTCGATATTGACATATTCGACTGATCGTATTTTTGCTAAAGGAAATTCAAAAGTTTTTTCTAAGTTACTTCATGGGATATTGCAATTGTATGGTGATAATGCCGCATCACAGATTGGAGTTCTCACCACCTCGGTTGAGGAAGTGTCGTTCTCTACCATGGTTCAAAAAACTATTCAAGGTAAAAGCTATTTTGCGTCTTTGATGTCGTTCGGTATTTTGATCACTTACCACTTGAAGATTATTAATAACCTTATTAAAACATTATACACAAAGGACTATTTTATTTATTTAATTAAGGAATTTTAGAAAAAATACAAAAAACAACACGGCACCTTGAAGAATAAAATGTGAATGTCCTTACGATTAAGCTAAATTGTTTTCTTAAAACTAAAAAGTAAAGAATCAAAGAATAACTAAGTGAGGTGTTTTGGAACTATGTCAAGATTTGTTATTCTGATATTCTTCTCATCTATGTGTTAGCCATCTCGCATTTGATCTGTTAAGAAGAGATTTAAGGTTTAGTTTCATGATTGCTAACAAGAATTTAAATACTTGCCACCTTGATGGAATGGATAGTAATTACAAAGGAGGTAACTAATCTGCCAATCCTACCGCTCCTTCTCTGACTAAAATATTAAATAGTACTCCGGTATTTATCCTAGATGTCAAACTGAATCTTCATTTACAGATTCTGTTCGATAATTGTGTAAAGTACATGGAGTAAGGTTATTTTATACTTTGTTTGATGTTCCTATATTGGTTTCCAAATATAGCTAAACTCAGTTCGATGAATGCTTTAAGTAAATTGTTTGGCACTTACTTCTAAGCCAAAGATGAGTAAGCGTTCATTAATATGCATTATAATAAAGTAAACAAGCCCGGGAATTAAATGTAAACATTCTGTAGCTACTATTACCAAACTTATTTCTGGAGATACCATGTCTTTCTCATCAAGGCACTAGAGGCCAGAGAGGATTTTAACTGGACTAAACAATGTACATCGAGGTAGGTATTTGAGTGAGAAAACTCTCGAGAGCAAACCATTGCTCACTCGCTATATATCTCAAAACTGAACAAAAGCTATGGGATTATAGAAGTGTTTTCTGAAAATACATAGCTTAGTTTAATAGCTTTGAAAGATGAATGATCGTCTCTGCTGAGGAAATATTAAGAATGACGCAAGCATGGAGTTTCTTAGATTAGTACAACCACTTGGCTCACTGTTACAACTTGTTTAAGAGTTAGGATTCCCAGTTCAATTTGCTTTTATTTTTTATGCAAAAGTTCTGATTGAGTATTTGAGAAATTACGGATTAAACAAACATCTCAATTGATAAAATACGATTGGATTTGCGCACTGCATGAATTCGAGCCAAGATCTATCGGAAGCCAGGTATATCTGAGTAAGAGAGCCAAATAGTTCGCATCATTACACGTTAATGGAGCCTGCCTTATTGGCATGAGATGTACAGGATATAAATTCAGGAATAAAATGGAGCCATTGAATATGGATCATGATAGTCTTATGACGATTGGGGAAGATGAGGAGGAGGAACGATATGAAGAATCCTATGAAGAACGCCACGAGGACAGCATTGATGAACCCAAGGTTAAGGTGATCCCTTTATTACACACGCTTCGTTAGTTCAAACATCAATCACGAAATCATTCCTTATCCTGACGAATTTTCTTATACAATGAGATTGAAGATTAGGAGCTCTGGCTCGAATGATGGGATGTTGATCTTGATACATGTATTAAGGAAAGTCTATTGCAGATGTGTAGGAAAATGGTCGTAAAGTGTAGCACTTGTTTTAAAATTTTACGTTTGCATTTGGTGGTGTGGTATTTAATTCTGTTTCAAAATTGAATAATGACCATCCAATAGTTCTTATTCAACGTTCTTTTACATGCCGGCTAAGTTGAACAGTATTATTTTCTTCTTAGGCAAACAAAAAGTCAAAACCAGGAACATTTTGATTTATGGTTGAACAATTAATTAATTTTCTTCTAATTGCTTGTCAGGTCAAACTCTAGGGTTAAGATAGAGAAACGAGGTGCTTGCCTCATAAATATTCATCTTTTCATATTTTTAGAACACACCATAGTAAACCAGACGATATGGTTTGTCATTTGGGGCATGAGTCGGATTTGACAGATGGAGTCCATGATAAATATGATTCGAACTGTCAAGGTCAGGGTCTCCGGTGGGACGTATACACGGTCTTGAATGGTGGTCTCAGAGTTTAGATTTTTAGAATAAGTACGAGAGATAAGTAACATTAGGATACATAAAGAAGATAGGACGGGCATTATTCTTACGAGGCACTTAAAGCCGAACAGCAGGCTTGCTTTATATCTTCTTTATTTTCGGAAAATGCTACCTTGACGTAACCGGGCAGGTATATATGTAAAAGAATACTGGAAAGACAACCCTAATGATATATGGAGCTAATTTCAAGGGTGATTGACCAGATTTTCACAGAGCATATCTGGCAGGCATTAGTGTGGTAACAAGAGAAAACGATCGTGTGTATTGTATCTCCATAGTCAGCCAGGGGGTGATAAAGGAATACTCTTGAATACAAGTGCTGCAGAAGATTAAGTCAAAACATTTTATATAATGGCTGCACAAGATAAGTCCCGTCCAAGTTGACGATAATATACTGATATAATGATGATTATTACGGAAACCCATCTCTCTTGAGATAACTGTAATGCTTGAAAATATAACGTTCCTAAGCTTAGCTGTACGCTGCAATGAAGGCCGCATCAAATGTGTGATTCTGTATATTAATCTCTTCACGCTCATTAGCGAGATTGAAAGTTACTATCTGTGTGTTTTGCAAATTGAGTACTCTAATCTCAGAGGGTTGCATCGTGTTAAACATGCTGTAAAGAGCTAAAATGTGGCAAGATGATGAATTAATATAATTACCCTTTAATATTTGTAGCAATTAAAAACGTGTAATCGGACACATCCGATATCAGGTGAGAATTGAAGATTTATAGTATACGTATGAGTCTGAACGGCCGTTTGTATTCACCTGCTTTTGGTATCATCTCCGACTCATACATGTCAATAGAAGATGAAGGAGAGATCTGAAATGGATGCCAAAATGATTACTTCACTGTCTACCCAGTTGCATTCCCACATACTTTAAAACTAATTACATACACCATGTCCAATATGCTGTTCATTAGCCAACGAGCACAAGGGATGGATGATGTATGAAGCGTCGAAAGTACCCGAAATACACCGAGAACATACGAATTCAAGTTAATTCAGCATTGATACAGTTTATACCCAGATTCACGATGTTTATACAATTGTAGAAGAAAGGAAATAAGTCTATAAACATGAAAATATAGCCCTTTATTCTCAGGGTATACCATCAGATTGATCATTTAATTGTATAAAACACTTGTAAACTAATCGAACATCCATCAGTAGTATTATTGACCATTTCTAAAGGCACTTACCTGTTCAAATAACAATGTACTCACCTTTGTACTTGCAGATTCCCAGAAAACAGAGCTCGGGAAGTCTAACTAGTCCCTCGGAGAGTGAAAGTGAACCATCACCGCCACCTATAAGACGCCTGGGCAGACGTAGGGCTATCTTTGACTCAAAGGTAATATTACATAACATGTACAATATCATATAACATGTACAATATCACATAACATGTACAATGTCACATAATATGTACAATGTCACATAACATGTACAATATCATATTATTGGCAGTGTTAATTCATTAAATTAACTGAATTGTAAGAGTAGTGATATTAAACGTTTAAAATGACATCTCAAATCTTCTCAGTCCTGAGATTCAGAAAGATGTTATAAGTATCAGAATGGTTGATACATGGCTCTGCATGAGTTTCATTTTATTCTAATGTCACCCTTGCACTTTGTGGCACTTTACCAGACAGACCGACGATCTCTGTTCATGATTGTATCGTATTTGCCCAATTACACGTCACTCTTTCTACACTGCTTTATGCAATATGACAGAATGAGTTACTTTTCTTTCGATTTCACCTGGTTTTGTATGTTCATCTGATTCGATTAAAATATGGAATTTGTGTTATCTAAAGAGTTCATAAATCATAAACAATAACAGTTAAATCCTACTAATGACGTTTGATAGTCCATTAATAATGTATTGTGATAATCTATCAACGCTGATGCAATTAAATCACCCGTGGCTTAAGTAACAGATCAAAACCATTCATGGAGTTATCTCACAACATCCCATTGGAGATGAAAAGGCGCGATAATCAGATAACGAACAGAGTATAAATGTTTCTGTATTTATGATATGACGTTGGTTCGGCTACCCGATACATTCCTAGAAATATATACCCTGCGCGCAGAGTCTAGTTATAAACTACTAGACGAAGTTCTCTTTTAGGAAGTGAAGTTGAACGAATGCAAAGGGTAATAAATATACTACCTTTGGCGCTATATGAATGAAACAACATCATTCTCATTGTTTTTACATGTCAATGTTACATCGCATCATCCATTGATCTAATCCCCGAGCAATTCACAAATTCAATTGTACGTCTAGGTAGGCCATTCTGATACTCATCACATCTTTCTGTCTTCAACCAGAAATATACAAGTGTAGTGTGAAGCTAATAGAAGGCCGTGATTTCTCATGATGAGGTAGGCAGGAACGCACCAAAACGAACTGCTACGGAGACATTATGACAAGGTTAATGTATTTCTCATACAATGACCATAATTAAGGAAATAAAACCTAACTTGCTAGAATTCATTTTTTGCGGGATGTATTGCCTGTAGCCCATGGGTTATATCATGGCAATGCATCCGTAGGCCCTGGAAAACATTGAAAATAGGCTACAATTAGGAACAGTCCAGTCATGTATTCTTATTTCTTATCATTTTGAAAATTCGTTTAGAAATTCTTTTTAGTGAAATAAAAGTTAAAATTCACTAAATAGTTAGTATATTTTAGTCTATTAACCATAAATGAAATGAATCCGTTACTATATACATGTAGTTCATACGTCGATTATGAAACATCGATGCACAAAGGTCATATAAATATGTCATACGTGAATCCGCCATCTTGGATATTTCATCGCAAATCTCAAAAGGGAGCAGTAAGATTTGTTGCGAAGAAACTCTGACTTTGACTCTCAAACCTTGGTTCTTTGTTTGGTATGATTTATAGGGGTCGTTTTATCATTAGTCTTTTCCTCCAATGTTATTCTGTCTTTTGTTTTAATTAAGTCCCCATGCGCTTTAGATTGTCGGGACCAGGCTCTTTGACATTCCGTAAATGTAGCAAATCACCAGTAATTGCTCATACATTCTTTTGCATTGACACGCTACGGATTTTCTGGTGTAAAACAGTCACATCTTTGTCTGTTTTACGAGTTCAATTCATGCAAGTTGTTCTAACAACATGTAATTATCTCCTGTCTGTGTAGTTTAGTAGAAATTTAACAAGACTTTATGCGAGGCCGAATAACTACTGTGAGCGACTTTATAGAAACCAGGTCGTAAATTCTGCCCTCGCATTATATGTTCCCCGGGGCATACATTCCGGCAAAAGATACCGTTTTACGTCTTCTCGGAAAGGCCTGGGAGGTATTTACTGGTTGTTATATCCCAAATGAACCATCAGCTGATAGTAAGAGGAAGCAGACACAAAGAGCAAATACCTGAGCAAAATGTAAATAATACACACGTTGGAATGGTTATTGCGGCTATTAGACCTACGTTTGAATACGGGTGGCAGTCGATTGATTGCAATACGTCATGGCTTTCTGCAAATGCGCGCAAAAATGATACATGATCATTTAAGACAAAATATGACCATTTAAGACGAAAATTTTATCTGATCCTGAATTTCATGAAATACACGTAGGGTTACTTTAAATCTATCTACTTTCATAAAGTTGTTTTTTATTATGTTTCACTGATCATAAAAGTACGTGAAAGTAGTTAAACACACGTATCTAATTATGACATAATATTTGCAATTGCATTTTGCTTTTAATCAATTAAGAGATATTTGCTTTTACCTAACTTTATGACATTCGTAATGCACCTGAAATGATAGAAATGCTTGGATATGGTCTTGGGGACTATTATTTGGAACATTAAAATTACTCAGTAAAAGAGTCAAAATTTATGAGGCATGCATATTGCGGCAACATGGAGGTTATAGTTGACTCATTTTGTCACACCTGTCAGTTTTGGGTGGTATCGTTGTTTAACTCATTTGGTGATGAAGCTTGAATGAAGAATTTCATTATCAATACAAATATTTGTATATCAATGTTTCCGCCCCCATCTTATTCTCTGCAAACACGGCCGTGGTCTGAAATCATGTCATAGTGCCCCGATCTGGTTGCGATTAGAAACTGATCCAAAGAGATTGTCTTTGGCATTTTGATATCCATGTCTGGTTTAATGCATCTATCGCTAAATATTATGTAATAACTATGCAATAAATATTGATGATAAAATGACACGAAAAGCAGTACGCAATGAATGGCATCTTATTACTAGTTGAAAAATTCAAGGTTCACTAAAAATATTACCATAGACACCACACTATCTCATAGCTTTGCCGTTTCATAACATCAGAACACTAGCAGTTCATGTTATTATTTTCATGTAATGATGTCAGTGGGATTCGACTGCCTTATCTTGTAAATGTATATGTTTTTCACCACGCGTTTAAGTCATAAAATGGATCTACTTACAACATATATTTATTACATTCTTAACATGTTTAATTTTTCAGTCTCATAGAGTTATAATCCAAAAATGGAAATACATTTGTTTCTGGATACCGTCTTGTTCTTGGTATGGTGTCACTTCGTGAAAGTAACGAAATTCACTGTTTGGATATTCATTTGAAGCGTCCGAAAAAGTATCATTCTACTCACGCGTCCATGCGTCGATAAGCTATAAAAAGAAAATACCCGAGACTAAGGTAGAATGAGTATAAGTCTCATCAATGAAATTGCAAATGACCATTTAACAATACATTGAAGATGCTGAATATCAAGGGTTTTAGAGCGTATATGAAGGAATCGGCCCCAGGAATTGGCCCATTTCGAACCTGTTGGGAGCCCTAGCTAGTGTGTAATGGAGTGAACAGCTAGTTATCCAGTCAATTAAATTCTGACCAATGTCGTAAACTGAACAAAACGTTTCAAATGAGTTTCATGTTGGAATAATATTTATACTCAATTTCAAACGGTAATATATGGCAGTCTAACAAAATTTCGCATCAGTAATCACAAAATAAATAAAAACAGCTAACCTAAGAACGTCTAAAATTGAAAATCGATGAGAGAATTTGTGAGGTCTGCAATTTGATAGAAAACGAAACATATTGTCCCAATAAACTAGAATCAAACATGAAATCAATTAGAAAACTTTTCAAAATGAAGGACGATTCCTTATTTTTTTGAATATTATTTTTATTTTGTAATTTGCGAAAATGAAGAAATTGAAATAATAGCAAAGTTTACTCATACATGTAGACTGAATTATTACATAAACAACTGACGAGTATCACAGTCATCATTCAAATGAAAAGTCAGGTACATGCACTCACGATACATCTTTTTACCCTTGTAACAAAACCGAGCTGAACTAAATAACGTGGAAAGTGAGCTTGCACGCCCATATAAAAATCAACTCTCATCCTATAGTATAAATTTGGTGCTAATCGTCACCAGATTTTTGGACACTTTAAGAATGACATTGAAGAAATCTAGACACTCTCTTTAAACTGTTCATCTTAGTTTACAACTCAACCTCTAAATGAATAAAACTACTAAATTAAAGTGTATGAACTCATTTTGATTAAAATGTTTTCTATTTTTTCAGCCATTTGGTGTTACTTCCTCGGCTAACATATCACCCGAACATTCACCTGCAAACTCTTGTGATGAAGAAACGAACTCAAGTTCCTCTAGGTAAATAAGTATTATTTGTGTAATTTCGTACCTTCTTGTGCTTCTGGGTGGTTTCTTTGTTTTTTTGTTATGTTACACTACATGTTTTTGCTTCGTTTACGTCTTCATCTTTTTTTACTTATGCGTGTGTTTTGTGGTTTCTGTGATTTGATATTCTGGTAGTTTTTTCCGTGCAAGAACTAAAAGTGTATTAAATTGTTTCATGAATAACTTTTTGCTTTATAGCAACAACGTTAATATGATCGAATCTATCACTCTTGTCTAAGGTGCCATCTATTTTTCAAAAAATATTTGTTTCATAAATTCAACAACGACTTAAAGCGAGTGAATTTTAGATTTCTGAAACTGAATCGTTGTAATGAAGTTATGTTGCACGAAAGACGAAATATCGATATATTTCACAACCATGTAACTTAAACATAATGATTACTTAATTCATTGTGTAATACTAATCTAATAGCCAACATGCCTTATTAGTATAGCGCTGATACTGAAGTGCCATCTTTTAACCTTAGTGCAATATTTTACAACACTCCCCTCCAATAAAAAGTTGATCCTCACATACGATTCTTTCATTTGACAAACAGAGAGTGGTAGTGATAAGAAACCACTTAGCTAATCTCAGCCTATTGTACACTCATGTAATTGATTGAATGTATTCATCGACTCGATAAAGATAATGCTATCGCATCATCTTATTTTACATCACCATGGATTCTGACAATAAACTCACACTAAGAATTAGGACATCTTTTTACTGGCACATGTAGATTGACTAATAAATAGAAAAAGGCGTCGCCAAGGTAAACCATGCAAATGGATTAAGTGTTTCGTCTTGACATAGATTTAGAAATTGAATCGATATGGTATGGTATGTTTGATTGGCTAGAATGGCATAATTATCTTGATTGTTCAGCTCACATATTCCAACGACTAAAATAGTAAAAGGAATGTCATTTTCTAGAATAATGGATCTCGAGGGTGTTCAGATAAAGCAAAGTAATTTCCGTAACGTATCCTTGAAATCTCCTTTCTATGTCAATTGTGCAATTATACACTCTCTTGGTGTGAAGACTCTTGGCTTTCGAAAGAATAAACCTGATTTACTTCACACTTGGGTGATAACTGATAAGATAGTTTGGATTTCCTACTTAAGATCCCCTGGCTCAACATCATGAACCAGGGATATCCAGTTTTCTCTGATTTTGAATTAGGAATTAGTTCCTCAAAGAAATTCACATTGTCGCTTGGCCAATTTGAGTGCGTATTCGAACAGGAACTTAAAAAGCATTTTGATCATGCTGATAGGCGTAATAGTCTGTTCAAAGGATGGGAGAAGAGATTTCATTAGAAATACCGGAAATTCCACTGATTTAAGTGGGTTTTGATAGTACCATCCCGGGGCATATGGCAAGACCTGGTGGAGATTATAGATCGCCTAGTAGAGTGCATGATGTTCACCATACATCCCGCTCTTATACAACAATTACAATATCCTTGAATAAAACATTTAACCCATGACTAACTTTTCTATTCATCTTCCCAATCTTATCTCTTAAGACTTTAGCTCAAAATGGTCTGCCAAATTATATCTGGTTACTATAGCGACAATAATAAAATTTCCATTTTTCAACTACAGCACCGCTCAAAAATGCATATGCCTTATAATCGAACATCTAGAAAGGCAGATGATTGCAAATGGGTATTACATTTAGATTATTCTTCAACTATGAACGTATGAGACTAGCAATAAAGCAAAATAACACCATTTAGACGATCATTAATGGATTTTCTCGATATCAATTCTTCAGCATTCATGTCTGGAAAAAGGATTACTTATACACGAATTCTTGAAAGTTAAGCATAATCAAGGAGAAAAGTTAAGTAATCATTAGCATGCAGAACCTAGGGAGTCATTGGTGGATGCTCAGGTTAGTAATCCAAATTTGACAGTTTATGCGAGAGTTGATTCCATTAATCATTTAACAAAAGTATACAAACAATGATTAACTAAGTTTTATAAAAAAAACATTAGCGGCAATTTTAGCCAAGATTTGATAGAAACATTTGCTCTCTCACTTGTATTGTAAATATATGATCATGTTTTTTTGGTTTTGAAAACGAATTTTAACTATTTTGGTTATTTAATTTACGATGTAATAATTGACAGGTTTCAGATTATTCAAAGTGTGAATCAAAATGAAGCCAGCGTTTGTGGGTATACAAACCAAATGCATGTTTTCATTCTTGTTTTGTATTTTGTGATCAGTTGCTATCTAAAATGTTATTAGAGAAAAACTAATTTACCAAGAACGCAAAAGCGAAGAAAGCAATAATCAAGCTTTGCGTTTCACAACTAATTGCACACAAATTCCATTTAACCAGTTGTTTTCTTGCGCGTTTTCCAGCTATGTTTTGTTACCCTTTTTTTGTGTTTAATTACATATTTATAGTTATATCAAAAATAAGATAGATATTGTTATATAAATTCATCAAATCAGTAACCTTATTAACTTATTTCTTTTCCATCTCCATTAATACATTGATAGAAAAACATTTCTAATTCTACAACCTAACACATTTGGACAACTTGAATTATTGAAATAAAAAACATTTAGTTTATTTCACATTGTTCATCCTTCCGTGTGTTGTAGCCCGAGGCTGCGGTCAAGGCGGTCAAGACGGCGCAGTTCGGCTGACGACAGTGTTCTCCCTGACACCGTTGGACAAGGAGAGGTCGTCCTTAAAGAACACCCAAGGAAGAACCCGCTCCTCAAGAGAAATACAATAGCGGACTTTGCAGCCGTTAAACCACTGCAGCCTGGCTTGCCTTTTACCAGTGAACCCGATAAGACTAAAATAAAAGGCTCTTCGTTTTCTCTACTAAAACTAGTAAGTAATAACTTATTATATTTATATCATGGACTCCTTAGTAATTATAACTTGACATTTACGAGTTTCATAACTTTCCAAATGATTATTGATTAATGCTGGTATCTAAAATATCGCCTTCAGTATGACATAACTCCTGGATTAATTTGTATATAGATATTTTGGTAGCTTATGTTATCCGATAGGTACTGATGCAATTTGATACAGAAACAGGACTCTTCTGTGTTAGCTATGGAAATAGTTATTGGTAGATTTGTATGAATATGACAAGGTGAACTAAATAATTAATGGGGTCGTATCTCTTAAATTGATTGATATGTCCAAAACGAATGCATGTAATATAATTGGTTTCAAATGCTTCCTCTACAATTAGTAATTTTTGTATGTAACACATCAAAGAGCATTTTCAATTACACGCTGACAGGTAAACTCCCACGATGTCCCGTGAAAAAATCCAGCTGAAAACAACTGACTTCTCTCCAAATGGGAATATATGGGATGTAAAAAGGGGCCTGCTCAGTGTAAACCAAGTCTTTGATCCTATCGTGCAATGTGGCTGTTTTTATATACTCTGGATATAAATGTTTATATAACGATTAGGTTTATAGCACCACGTTCGTTTCATTACCTGGTTAACCTGTATTAGGTAATGGTGGAACCGTTTTGTTCTACCTCTACAAGATTCCAATAGTCGAATACTCGTGAGTTTATTATGGTGGTCTTGTGCTGGGAATATCGTTGATTATTTTCCTTAAAAAGTAGAATCCATGTATGATATCAAATATGCCGCTTGCCATTTTGGAAGTCCCATCTAAGGGGTGTGTGCATTGCAATGAGGAATTTTTGTTCAATTATTTTAAAAGTAGTTCATGTTAAAAAGAGTTGATTGAACACTTTTATGATTTGCAGGGTTTTGTGTTTTATTATTTCGTTTTTTTATTATTTATTTCTAGTGATCTGCGCAATGTTTTTTATTACTGATTTGTTGTACAAACACGCTACATAATTGTCTAGTCTTGGTTATCCTAGCTCAGGGCAATCGCATTATCACCCACATGCAATATTGCTGTACTCCTCCAAACAATATGTACCCTTTATTATGGTTTTATAAAACATAATATGTGTGATCATAATACCCTTTGGGAACAGGAAGAGTATTGATTAATTATTCCATTAAATCTACCATCTATCTATAGAATTCTTTCATCTGATATATTCCAGATTGACAAGAAGAGTAAACAGCAGAGACTCAGCCTTACAGACTTGGACGACGTCCTGAAGAATATGAAAATATCAGAGTTCACCGATACAAATCTTGCACATTATAAAGTAGGTCAATCGTCCCCTCCAGTTACAATTTAAAGTATCAGGGAGTGAATTTCTAGGTCAATCATCCATGCCATTAAACATTGGCAGTGAGATTGAGTGATTACCTTGGATTAACATCACATTTATTATTAACAGTAGTCTAGTCGCAATTCCCTGTGCCCCCCCCCCCCTCCTACTTGACTACGCACCTCAAACAGGCTGTAGTCAGTAGGGGGTCACAGGGGCTTGTAGCTTGACTAGACTAACAGTAATGTAACGTGGAGTGATCAAGGCCAATCATTCATCCCACACACCATTGACTATTCCCACTAGTGACATGAACAATATCAAAGTTTGATGATGTCAGGTTTTATTAATAGTCTTATGAATAGCAGTTTTAATGTTTAATGTTTCAATAACATTTACTTGATTGAAGTATCTTTTTGTATATTTAATGCATAAAGCTGATTAATTATATTCTGTAGCAGTTGTTATGCTCCTTTTGGTGAATTGAAATTATAATTTCATTAGAAGATTGTGTTATTGAGAATATATTTGTTGGTGTATTTAGGATCTCCACTGGTCGGAACTTATAGCAAGCCGGGATAAACAGGGGAGCGATGTAAATAGCCTACAAATATCAGAGATAGAAAGAAAAAGAAGAGAAGTTGTCTGGGAACTTTTCCAAAGTGAATGCACTTTCTTATTCAATCATCTAGTCGTATTGAAACATGTAAGTTGAATCATGTATGGATGGACTACACATGTGCATTCCGATACATTTAAGTGATATCCGTTCAACAAATAATTCAATAATCCAATAATATCTTAAAAGTTCACAGCATGCTAAAATAAGTTTTGGACCAATATCTATCATTTTTGGCACACATTTGTTAACGAAAATTTGCCAATTATATATTACTTCTTTTGCACATTTAAGATATAGCATGTTTAAGTATTATGAATAATAGTGAGATACAATGAGACATCATACGTTCATGGTGCTAATTGTTTGCAGTGTTTTATGGAACCATTGAAACGTTGCCAGGTTGAAGGTCATTTAATGTATGCTGAGCCACAAGAACTGTTCGGGAACATTGATGAACTTTGTTATGTAAGTCTTTGTTTATTATTAATTAGGAATTGTCAGAAATTGAATGAAGTGTTAAAGATGTTTCATGGAAGGCAAAGATGTTTAACCACCTTTAATTATTTGTTTAAAACAAGTTATTCAATAATTGAAATGCTGTCACTCTTTTCGAATGTTTTACAATGTTGTACGTACGTCACCTACATGTAATTTCAGCTATTTTTGAAATGTGTATGATGGTCTGAAATATGTTGTCATGATACTCTATGCAAGAGCAGCTGTTAAGCTACATTTTGAATTTATTTTGGAAAATAGAGAATCCCTGGAGGTCGATTTATATTTAAAAAATCACGTTGTCATTTACGAACTCGCATTTCCAATCCTTACCTCATTTAGATGTAATAGGCACTGTTATTTTTCATGAATGCAGTGAAGAAAGGTTATCATTTAAAATAATCAACAGCTTCTTCTGATGTTCAACTAATAGGTTAGGTTTTAATTTATATATGAACAATGTGCGGTTTCATGTTTAATTTTACTTTTTTCTGTATCGGAAAATACTCTGAGCGCAGAGTTTAGTTAAAAAGACGAAACTCTCATTTGAGAAGTTAAGTTGAATGCAAGTGGTAATTGCAAAATGATATCTGAAAGAAGTATATATTCAAGTGGAGTTAATTGCTTTTTATATCTCTTATAAAAATATAATGTCCTGTATGGCACCACCTATGGGATATGTTGTACTTGAATAGAAATATTAAGCTTCAAATGATTACATTTAATGAACATTCTTTTTTGCCATTGCCACAGCTAATCACTGTGTCACATTTTATATTTATAGAAAATATGCAATTATTATAAATTGACCTGGTTTATAAGTATATTTATCAGTAGTGTCATAATAAACTGGAAGTTAAGGGATATCATGTGAGACACTCTAATGTATACTGTATCTATTATTAAAACTGGTTGCGATATGATGTGTCACGCTCAGATAAGCCATTCATGAAATAACCTTAAAAGCATATTACAACGATATTTCATATGTTAAATTGAGGTACACAGTTCGTATGATGGTCAGATAATCCATTTTAGTCCAGGATTAAATGTAAACTGTAATTGTTCATGCTTATTTGAACATTGCTGTTACCTAAACCAACTAGAGATAATAAGCATGAATGGTATTAAGTAAGATCTTGAATGTTGGTTATGTCCATAGGGTCAACCATTGGTATGTTAAGTAATTTCCCAACGCTACAGTGCGGATACAAGACATATGCTACTATGTGGGCCAATCAAATTGCTAAATATCACACCATAATGTAATAAACTTTAATGTATATATTTTCTCACTTGTTTTAGGTGAGTTATACTTTCTGTAGAGACTTTCTAACTGCATTACAAAAGGACATGAGTGCAACAAAATTTGGGTCGACAGATATGCTTGTAAAGGCCTTTCAAAAAGTAAGTGTATTGTTATTACATATTTTATAAACTTTATATTTTGTAACCTAGTCGTAGTGTAATTAATAAAAAATGTATGCAATACAAACCAAATTTTGTCTTGTATGAAACATTCGAGAAATGAAAATTGAACAAGTGAATTAAGTAATCGGTTCTTCAGAATTGTTTGTAATTATTCATTTATAGCTAAGTCAACATTCCAAAGATGGTGAGGTATACCATACATATTGTCTCCACTATCCAAATGCAATCAAATACTTGGAGCAGCTGCAGAAAAGGGACTCGTTTAATGACTTTGAAAGGGTATGTATATTTCTGACATTAATACTCCAAAAACTTTTGTAATTCTGAAATTAAATCTTGTTGATGTTTATACCTAGAATTGAGGACAGCCTCATTTTAAAGTAAGAAAATAAACACTACAGCACCTTCAGTAAGATATTACATTACTCCCCTTTAAGGATATTGATTTAGTCTGAACAATCCCTTTAATATTTAAAATAAGAATTATATGCTGATTACCATGGCTAAAGTGAAGCCTGTCGTTACAATCACTGGTGAAAATATAGTAATATAATAAATGACAACAATATGTATTTGTGGCCATATGTGCTACACTGCATAAATTGCCAAGATTTTAACACACGGCTTAAACCTTTTTGCATATTGTACAGGGTGTCAAAACATATTTGAAACAGATGTTACTTTTTGTAATTCAGAGGGTGGAGCAAGATCCGAGGTGCAATAGGCTTAAAATAAAGGATCTTCTTATTGCACCACTTCAACATTGTACAAAGAAACCCCTGTTGCTGGCAAATATACGCAAGTATACAGAAGATCCTGATGAACGGGAACAGCTGTCCGAATCTCTTTCAAAACTAGAAACATCTCTACGTAAGTGTATTGCTTAATTGCACTGCTATTCATACGTTTTTTCAAGAATCAATCTAGAATATATGGGTTGACCTTTATTTCATTTTTTGCACCACCTGAGCACCTAATAAGCAGACAGTTCAAAGATACAATTTGTATCACATTTCTTAATATCTCGTGTTACTGTCTATTTCCAATAACCTTAGTCCTATATAATATTACAATATCTCATAAGTAAAATGAAACAACACAATATTGTGATTAATTAAGACAGTTATGAGATGAATCTGATTATACTAATGTCTAAGCTGGTATTTGCGTGTTAAAACTGGGAGATATCATGTTGACGATTTGCCAATACATGTTAATGATTTTGCTGCATATTATGTTAATGATAAAACTGAACATGTAATGATGGGAAATGGGAATGTACAGGTTAATGATGAAACTGAACATGCTAAATGATGGGAATGTACATGTTAATGATGGAAATGTACATGTTAATGATAGAAATGTACATGTTAATGATTGAAATATACATGTTAATGATGAAAATTCACATGTTCATGATGGGAATGTACATGTTAATGATTGTAATGTACATGTAAATGATTGAAATGTACATGTTGATGATTGAAATGTACATGTTAATGATGGAAATGAACATATAAATGATGGGAATGTACATGTTAATGATTGTAATGTACATGTTAATGATTGAAATGTACATGTAAATGATGGAAATGTACATGTTAATGATAATGGGAATGTACATGCCAATTATTGGAATGTACATGTTAATGATGGAAATGTTCATGTAAATGATTGAAATGTACATGTTGATGATTGAAATGTACATGTTAATGATGGAAATATACATGCAAATGATGGGAATGTAGATGTTAATGATAATGGGAATGTACATGCCAATTATGGGAATATACATGTTAATGATGGAAATGTACATGTTAATGATTGAAATTTACATGTTAATGATAATGGGAATGTACATGTTAATGATCGGAATGTACATATTCATGCAGAGAACTTAGAGGAGAAGATGAAATGGGTAAAGAACATGCAGAGAGTACAGGAAATTCAGCAACAGATAGTTTGGCAGCCGATCACAGAAATGGACACAAGAACTTACATTCCTGACGTAAGACAATCATTATAAATAATAAAATAAAAGAATATCTTGCTTATGCATTTATGTTTATCTTCAAATGTGAGTTTTTATTCTTAGAAAAATATTTTGCTCTAGGCATATAAAAGTAGGATAATCATATAATTTGTTGTCATGCTCAACTAAATATCTAAGCACGAGTGTCAAAGGGAGATCAAAATTTTTAAAGAAACCTAGCAATAAAAGCAAACTCTAAGTGTCAACCTAAGAGTCAATATCACAATCCAGGACCAGAACACCAAGGGACATTTCATTCATACTGAAGTCATTACAATACATGTTGAAGAAAAAATTGATAGTCAATACTCATTACATCAAAAATAAAGTAGTTGTTGATAGAGCATTCAGTCTCATATGATGTGGGATAGACGAAATACAACCTCAAAATCCATAGACAATTCAAAGTTGGTCATCATTTGTTTATTTTTTGTTTGTGAAAACATGTAAGTCAATGGTGAAAAATATTTATCATCATATTTATGTTATCATCATTTTGTTTCATCTGGGACAACATTTGTTCAAGTTGATTTCAGGTTATCTAAATTGTCCATCTCGATCTCTAAAAATACCTTTCAAAGTGAAAATATATGTAGCTTGGCTTCACATGAAGTTTTGAATTATAACAATGATTTTATTTTAGTTTCTCAAGCCCACACTTAGTAAGCAGCCGTGTGAAAAGCTACTAGAAACATCAAATAGGCAACTTATATTTGAGGGACCTCTAACACTTATAGGTAAATCCATTAACAAATATATAACTCCAAGAGTCAACGATTCATTAACACAAAATCCAACAAACATTGATCACCCAGAAATTCAATGATAAAATTGTTTAGGAGCTATTGTAAATATGATATTCAAACACCGTTTAACACCTTAAGATATTTAAGCTAAGCATCCCTTTATCATGTGATTATGTTAGGTCATATTAAAATTGTGCTAAGTTCATTCATAATATTATATATATTTCTTATGTTCATGATATAACATTTGTTATTTTCATGATATTTCACTTGGTTCATGCTTGATTACATTTTGTTTCATCATTATATTGTTTGATTTCATCATTATATTGTTTGGTTTCATCATTATATTGTTTGATTTCAGAAACTGCCAAAACAATTGACATGTATCTGTTCCTCTTTGATGATATATTATTATTAACAAAAATAAAACAGCGTCCAAGGAAGGTAAGAGATAGAGATTTATTTATTTCAAATAAATGAATTTAATAAAAAGTACTGAACCCTGTGATATATAATACATACTTTACAAAATACCTTATATAATACTTAATATCATGGCCACTGCGTTCCCTCGGGAAATATTGATATCATCCGTGTGATATTCCCTATATCAAATCCCTCCTCATGAATAACTACTTTGTATAGAACTTTGTATAGTACACCCATGCCAATTTTAAAGTAATACGCACAACCATAAGACAAACCATCTATAAAGTTAAAGAATAAATAAATATAGTATTTTCATAGATAGAATTATAACCCCTCAATTCTTCATTATGTCCGACAAGAAATTACAATAATATTCTACTAATTTGTTATTAAATTGTAATTTCTAATAGCAAAAGCAGTCAACTAATGAACGGGATCAGGGTGTCAACCAGCGACCACAGACAGAGGGCGCTATATTTGTCGTCTACAGGCAGCCCGTGGCACTTGACAGGTTCAGTTTACATGATATCAGCACCTCGGAGGCATCAGGTTAGAAAGCATTTAGCTTTAGGGTGTTACGAACTAACATCAAAGATTTGATCTGGAGCAGATTGTTGAAAATGTTGCTTTGTGTGTTAAATGCTTGCATCTGCTTGCAGTTGTTTTGACCAATAAATGTAGCTACATAAAACTTATAATATCTGCTTTGCTTTCATGACATAGATACATAGATACTAAAAAAACTATAAACATAGATACTTTTGAATGTTGAAGCATTTAGTTTCTTTCACAACAATTCTCGAAATTTGAATTAGTTCTACATTAGTTTAATTCATTTGTTCAAAGCCCAGAGGAAATAGAGATAGGGCAATTGGGTTGGAACATGGTTGAAATATTATGTTTCATTGTAACACTTAATGTATAAATGTTACTGACTTTTTTTGTGTAGATTCTGTGAACTCAACTTTTAAATGCTGCATTTAACTTTGCTAATGTCTCTGTATGTGTCTCGTATAAGATGTCGGTTGATGTATATTGTGTATGTTATTGTGTATCTATATTCTATATGTATATTTGTCTTTCCCAGACTGACAGGGCTATCATACTATACCTTATCCAGCTGTATTAACGTATTATAAACCTACACATGTAAACCTGAACGTAACAAAAATATATATATATGTGATTAAGTGATTATGCCTGCTATGGTGGTCTCCCAACCCATCCCACCGCTACCCAATGTAACATTCACCTAAATTGATCACGTGCAGCTTCCATCCTTCTGCCAATAACAACACACTACTACGCCAATCTTGCACTTCGCGTACACCTACCTGGCACCTATCGACCTAATTACTTTCTATGGGCGTTTGCCTTTAGTCACATATCCCTCAACAATCTCATCTATTTTACAGTTTATTAGCTTTGCACTTAAGACAATTTGTATGAAGTAGTATTTTAGTCTATTGTAGTCTGCATTTTCAGATTTATTGGACATTGTTGTCAATCTGTTGTCATCAAAATAACTTTCTGCAGTGTTGTGGGAAAAAACGTTGATGCTATTTATAATAGTTTCTACTTTACAAACGCATAGAAAGTACAACTAGGTCTGGCACTTGTTTTTAACATTTGCTTTTTCAACTTAAAAATAAACCTTATGCATTTTATTTAATGTGATTGTTGAATATCTATTGAAGCCATTAACTAATTGGTTTGTGTGTACTGTTGTTTTAATGCTGCCAACAGTCGACTTATCACCATCGCCACTGCCCGAAAGTCATAACGTCAATTTTTTCTGTGGCGGACCTTTGGGTGGGCCAGACTCTGACCATAGTAGGCAACACTTACATACATTTGTTACTAATATTATATGTGTATGTGTAATCAGATTTGCATCTGCACACCAAACGTGACGTCTCAGTTTTACCCAAACCATTGTTAGTTGAATAGAATGTGTAACCTTATGAATGCACTCCATTCAAAATTGATGAATCCAACTAGCATGATTTACCGTCACCTGCATCACTTACATATCCAAGGCAATAACATGCTACCCACCATCTTGTACGTATTAGCGTTCTGCAAGCGTCAACTACAATTAGCTATAGATGAATTCAAAGCGATGACATGTTAGCCTCGTTACTTCGTTAGTTATAGTGTTCTTCAAGCTTAACTTGATGGATCCTGAAAGCGATTACATGTAACCCACTTTTTACTAGTTAGAGTTCTGCAAGCTTAACTTGATGGATCCTGAAAGCGATTATATGTTACCCACATTTCACTAGTTAGCGTTCTACAAGCTTAACTTGATGGATCCTGAAAGCGATTATATGTTACCCACATTTCACTAGTTAGCGTTCAGCAATCTTTACTTGATGGATCCTAAGCGATTATATGTTACCCACATTTCACTAGTTAGCGTTCCGCAAGCTTAACTTGATGGATCCTAAGCGATTATTTGTTACCCACATTTCACTAGTGAGCGTTCTGTAAGCTTAACTTGATGGATCCTAAGCGATTATATGTAACCCACATTTCACTAGTTAGCGTTCCGCAAGCTTAACTCGATTGATCCTAAGCGATTATATGTTACCCACATTTCACTAGTTAGCGTTCTGTAAGCTTAACTCGATGGATCCTAAGCGATTATTTGTTACCCACATTTCACTAGTTAGCGTTCTGTAAGCTTAACTCGATGGATCCTAAGCGATTATATGTTACCCACATTTCACTAGTTAGCGTTCTGTAAGCTTAACTTGATTGATCCTAAGTGATTATTTGTTACCCACATTTCACTAGTTAGCGTTCTGCAAACATATCTTGATGGGTCATCCTTGAAATTACAACCAAGCATGGCTATTAGATCCTAGTGATTTTTAGGTTTCATCAATTTCATTATTTGGCTGTTCTGTTCAATTCTCCTTTTTGAATTTTCAACTAATTTTTTTTTTCTAAAATAGAACATATAAACACATGAATTAATAATAGATTTGGGGAAGGATGTACACATTCGGAACAGAATTGGATTGTATGGAATTTTCCATGTCAAAATGGCCCACTTGCCTGCAAGTCAGATGAAAAAATCAGATGAAATCTGTTTTGTTTCACGAAACTGTTCCGTCATGTGTGAAGTAAGAATTTTAGCACTGAACTCAATACTTTGTTTGTAAAATATACCACTCATGGATTGTTCGGTCTTGGTTTAAAGAAGAAACAATCCACGTGTGATATCTTTTACAGACAAAGCATTGAGCTCAGTGCTTGAAACCTTCATGGAAGAATTGCCATTAGACATATAATATCCCTTATCCTACACCATAAATCATGTATTCAAACACATTTCAATAATTAGGAACTGCAAGATCCAACTGGTGTTTCCATGGGAATTATTCAATGCAATCCACGTTTTGATTATTAGCGATATTAAAGTTAACCCAGTTTACATGAAGTAATTTAACTGCTGCACCCAAAGCGATTATTTGCGATCATCCAACAAGTAATGCAATATCAATAAGCCTACATCGCAACTTGCTCTGATGTAATTCTGCCCGACGCATAATTAGCAGTTTCATACATAATAGAATCATGATTCCTTGCATTGCATGATTTTTATAGATTACAGTTTTAGTATGATTGAGATACAAGTGATACCATTAAACCCTATGTTGTCTTACCGTGACATCTATCTTCCCTTCCACAATCACGATTTGCCAGTCATTACAATATTACAAATTATACGAAATAATCAGCATGAACCTGATCCACCCTTGCCGCACCAATCCCTAAATTTGCTTCAATTTTTTACTTAACTCATTGCATGAAAAATAGAGCATTTCTTCTCCATTCCTACTTGTATGCCGTTATTAGTTAGTCCAACTTATCTTATATTAGTAGTAGAAATAAATCCAAAGAGAACCAATCGAATGCGAATGATGCATGAACAACATAATTTGTTCACTTATAATAAACATTTACATTTTAGAACTCTGCCTTCAAAGGCGTATCCAGGCATGGGGCATTCGAGGCAACTGCCATAAAAAACTTTACAGCAAATATATTTTTAGAGACATTTTTCAACTAAAATTTGGGAAATGAAGTTGATAGGATACCTCATCTAAATTACCTCTCAAAATTGAGATCCTGGGTACGTCCCTTGTCTTTGGCACATCATTCTACACTACGACATCTTACCATATTGTTTTCGTTAAATAGACGGTTAACATATCATATCATAGTCTAGGATAATGCCTGCACAAAATACTAATATTACTGTCCTACATTTCATCTATACTTTGACATGTCAAGGATAATGCCTGCACAAAATACTCATTTTGCTGTCCTACATTTCATCTATACTTTGACATGTCAAGGATAATGCCTGCACAAAATACTAATTTTTCTGTCCTACATTTCATCTATACTTTGACATGTCAAGGATAATGCCTGCACAAAATACTCATTTTGCTGTCCTACATTTCATCTATACTTTGACATGTCAAGGATAATGCCTACAAAAATACTAATTTTGCTGTCCTACATTTCATTTATACTTTCACATGTCAAGGATAATGCCTGCACAAAATACTAATTTTGCTGTCCTACATTTCATCTATACTTTGACATGTCAAGGATAATGCCTGCACAAAATACTAATTTTGCTGTCCTACATTTCATCTATACTTTGACATGTCAAGGATAATGCCTGCACAAAATACTAATTTTGCTGTCCTACATTTCATCTATACTTTGACATGTCAAGGAAATTGCCTACACAAAATACTCATTTTGCTGTCCTACATTTCATCTATACTTTGACATGTCAAGGATAATGCCTACACAAAATACTAATTTTGTTGTCCTACATTTCATTTATACTTTCACATGTCAAGGATAATGCCTGCACAAAATACTCATTTTGCTGTCCTACATTTCATCTATACTTTGACATGTCAAGGATAATGCCTACACAAAATACTAATTTTGCTGTCCTACATTTCATTTATACTTTCACATGTCAAGGATAATGCCTGCACAAAATACTCATTTTGTTGTCCTACATTTCATTTATACTTCCACATGTCAAGGATAATGCCTGCACAAAATACTCATTTTGCTGTCCTACATTTCATCTATACTTTGACATGTCAAGGAAAATGCCTACACAAAATACTAATTTTGCTGTCCTACATTTCATTTATACTTTCACATGTCAAGGATAATGCCTGCACAAAATACTCATTTTGTTGTCCTACATTTCATCTATACTTTGACATGTCAAGGATAATGCCTGCACAAAATACTCATATTGCTGTCCTATATTTCATCTATACTTTGACATGTCAAGGATAATGCCTGCACAAAATACTCATTTTGCTGTCCTACATTTCATTTATACTTTGACATGTCAAGGATAATGCCTACACAAAATACTCATTTTGCTGTCCTACATTTCATCTATACTTTGACATGTCAAGGATAATGCCTGCACACAATACTCATTTTACTGACCTACATTTCATCTATACTTTGACATGTCAAGGATAATGCCTACACAAAATACTCATTTTGCTGTCCTACATTTCATCTATACTTTGACATGTCAAGGATTTGCTGTCCTACATTTCATTTATACTTTCACATGTCAAGGATAATGCCTGCACAAAATACTAATTTTGCTGTCCTACATTTCATCTATACTTTGACATGTCAAGGATAATGCCTGCACAAAATACTCATTTTGCTGTCCTACATTTCATTTATATTTTGAAATGTTTCTGTTTCCAGCTAGCGGTCTTAAGCACTCATTTGTGCTGGTACAGATCAGTCGGTTCCAACAGATCATAGGAGTGTATACATTACAAGCAGCTACAGACGTCATCAAGGTTAGTGCTATAGATCGTTCACTGTCAAGTACCTGTGTTCGTAAAAACGGAATAAACCAAAATGATAATTCGTCAGTCATGGTATATAAGTATATTACAAAAAGCTGTTAATTAAACTTGAGTGAAGGTAATTCATTTAAAGTTAGCCATATTTTATATTCCAGAGCCAGTGGCTTCAACATCTGGAGCACGTAAAGAAGAAATACAAGCAAAGCTGGGAACATGATGATACAAAACAGGACAAAGCTGAATCTCCGACGAGTTCAATACGATCCAAAAAATCCCAGTCAGGATCAATTAAGTCCCAACAATCTGATAAAACTGGATCACTCCCAAGAAACTTCCGGGAGAAAACTGACAGTACCCAAAGTAGGGATAGTGGTGTTAGTGTAACGTCAGAGAGGACAATGAGGTCACAAAGTAGCTCTACATCATCAGAGCGTAACTCTGTTGGAGACAACAGGAGTTCGCCTGTACCTGCCACAAGGAAGTTGGCAAATGACGTTAACGAAGTGCATGTGATTAAAGAGGAGACAGACTATGAGATGGTCATGCATCGTCAGCTAGAGACATGTTTGGGTGATAGGCCACCCCCAGTGCCCAATCTCCCTCCACCTCTGGTTCCGCCACAACAAAATGGAGTAGCACATCAACATAGAGCGCCACCTGACGGAGGTTCCACTCAACAATCCACATATACCACCCCTTTAAATGTACAATCACCTCAGTCTCCTCCTAAAACACACAGGGTATCCTACCCACAGCCAACAGTGCCCGACGAACATAAGACTCGTAGTTTACCGAAAGGCACAAACCTTATCAGTATGTCACAGACACATGAACAATCAATTGATGCTGTATTTTTATAATGACAACAGCCGACGTAGTTCAACAGTACTTCTTTCGAACAAATACAGATGACTTCATTTGATAAACATAAGAACACAATATAATACACAACGACCTGGATCAAAATATGATTTACCGTATATGTGGATTGCCAATTATTCAAGTAGAAAAGAAGACGTCTATTCTAGTGATTAAAATTAATCTCATGCGAATGGTATAACTGAAACAAACTTTTGATACTATCATGATTTTCACTGTATATTTTTGTAAAAATAACGATCTGACTGTACCAAAAACGTGTTACTCCAAACAAATTGTATACCATACATTTTCATCAGTTAGTGAGTCTTTTGGATATACATATAAAGTCGCAATCTCATCAAAGCAGGACGAACTTGCTGGTGGGATTTGCACCCATACTGTAATTCACAATGTGCAAATGAAGCTACCTTTATAACTAGTCCCAATATGATCTTGTCCCAAGTGTAAACTATTTTTGATTCCAGAATAGAAGTAAACGAGATTCAGACGCATTCTGTCACAGATTCATGACAATGGTTTAATCTCAGATGATGTACAACAGTATGTATTTTCCAGTAAATATGAGCCATCGACACACACGTGTTACATTTCTAACATGAAAATGATGTCTTTGAAGTTCTAAAGATGTCATCATAGTAATGTATGCATTTCTGCTGCAGTATTTGAATATTTATTAATGAACATGCTTCAATTTCACACAACAGTGTATTTAAATCATTTCATGTATTACAACATTGGTAAACTGTTTTGTTCACCAGTTGAAACATCATGAAACAAAAGTTATGGTGTAATGTATTATCAAGTACGATATCAGTTGCTATAGCTGCCAACTAGGTTTATCAATCTGCCTCAAAACAAAGCACTGGTAATTCAAATGAATGACTCTTGTAAGATCATATACCTTTATCTACATTGTACATGTGTGCATCTCTGAACTATGCACAAATCACAACAATCGGATATCTAAAATTTGTGGTATGTTTCTTTCCTTTGCGGTATAGATGGCAGCATGGGCCTCTATGCAAGGCCCATAATTACAACCAACGCGTATGGACTGTCATCACAATAACAGTGATGACGAACAGTGATATATAACAGTGATGACTCAAATGTTTTGATACAAGTGCTGTTTCTTTTGAAATCATTTCAAATATACTGTTGGTTGATAGTATAATGTTTTATTCACAGTCAAACTATGACATGTCAATATTTGTTAAATGTGCAAATGATACAAGATTATGGTATTTAATATTTTATGAAATAAAATAAACACTATTTAATTATTACAAATGTTAGTTCTGTGATTCATGAAATAATGTTTTGAAACAGCCATAGCCTGCCTTGCCATTTGAATTGTATATATGAAAATATGAATTGCATTTAGTGGATTGGATTGTGCCATGTAAAATGTGGATTTGATCAGAAATCTACAAAATTTGAAATTTCTTAACATTTATTTAAAAGGGTTATAACTGGAATCGCCAGAGATATGTTCTTCTGTATTCAGTTGACTTTTTGACCACCAATTAAATCTGGTTTATTCACAATTACTATTTTTACAATATGGTTTTATAGTCATAATGGTACCTGTTACACTGCTGGGTTGAGTCTAACGAAGCATTTTTGTAACGAAGGTTAGCGAAAAAATTGTGTCCACACTGGCTTTATCCAACCCTAACGAAGCAATTATTTGGTGTTACACTGCACTTAAAATGCTTCGTTGCGCGTGCGCATTACTCATCTGCCCCACCCACTTATTATGATTAATATTTTTATTCTTTTGATATAAACCATTGATCAAACTCAAAAATCTAATTTTTAATCTTTATTTCAACAAATCAGCACAGAAAAAGACTAGTTCAAAATTCTCGGGAAAATAAAACAAGATGAATGTGATCATTCCGTACACATGTCCATACATTTTTCCTATCATTTCGATTTTTATATATTTCAGCTGTCAATTACGATTACAAGTATTGTTTTCATTTTCTATCAATTCCTTTGGAAAACATATGGAATAAAAATAGGCCTATGTTAATTACTAGGAGGAATTGGATTTGGGGTTTATACAGACGACTAGTATGTTGTATCGTATAAAAACGTTCAACTTCCAAATGGACTTCTCAGTCATATTTCAAATAGTGTAGCCATTACTAAAATATCTCGGTGTTCGGCTGGTGGTTTAACTCACGCGGTCCTAACTTCGATCGTTAATTTGATTTTTCGACCTACCAGATGCTTGGAAATCAAGGATTGCGAGTCTCATACTGCACCGTTTTTCTTCAAACTTGTTCCATTCAAAGCAAAACAAAATTGCCTTTCTGTCGGTGCATTACTTTATTGTAAAGAGTCCCTCGTTCTAGCAGCGTTTTGGTCCCCAGCTGTTGGAAGGCTTTCTTACAGCTTGGGACCAAAATGCCACTGGAAGTAGGGACTCTGTTTAAGAGAATAATGTACCATCAGAAAGGGATTTTTGTTATGCTTTGAATGAAACAAGTTTGAAGAAAAACGGTGCAGTATGAGACTCGTAATCCTTGATTTTCAAACATCCGGTAGGTCAAAAATTCAAATTAACGGTCGAAGTTAGGACCGCGTGTAACTACTATTTCATGACCAATTCATTTTAATATGAATATTACCCGTCTCGCCAATACTCCATGCATATTTGAGTGAGTTTGACATACCATCAGCCGTCCGTTGAATTCAAAAATGGCGCAAATAGGAAGAAACTTGAATATCAGTTGTAAGCATCGTCTTACGACACACCAATAGTGTTTGGGGCTGGCCTAAAACATGCAGCCTCTCTGTGGCAAATATCTGTCGACAAGAAACAATTTTGGCCATTGTTCCTAGTCCGCAGGTTTTACCGTATTTGTATACGGAAGTTTTGAAACGTAATTAATTCAATATATTTAAACATGAAGTTTAAATTCAATTAAAATTAAAAATCGTCGAAGAATAAAATAATGGAACGACTAGTACAAGTACATGTATTGCAATGGGGCGATAGCCAGTTGAATACGATTTCTGAAGAGAGACATTTTCGAATCAATCAAATCGGCTATATTCCCTGATGTGATTCACCGGGAAGCAATTCTATCAGTATCATGGTATTAACACCTTTAGAATTACATATAATTATTCGAGGCGCAAGAAAAAATTAATATTAAACATGTATGCCACAACTTTCTATTTAGTAAGAAGCATATCTTATGTAATTTCAGAGGTTTACCCTTCCACACTTGAGACGGAGTTTTCCGAAAGAGGGACATTTAAATATTCTAGGTTTATTCTCTAATAGATCAAATAAACGTTTCAAAACTAGCGTATACATATACGGTAAAACCTGCGTTTTTTAGATTTAATACTTTTTGTCATATCAATGCGAGGAAAGGCAGGGAATCAAATGAAATGCTACGAAAGACGGTAAATCACATTTGTACGTGGCGTTTAGGGCTTGAGTTAGCGTCAATCAGTGACGCAAATAGGTAATTATTTTAATCAAAACGTAGCATTATAATAATACGTACTTAAAAACATGTTCTTTCCTCGTGATTCCTCTCATTTAATACAAAATGATGAATGTGCTCTTTATTACGCGCATGCGCAAACCGCCAACTAAGCATTTTCTAACGAAGCTACCTGTTACACAGGCCAAAAAAGCTTCGTTGGGAGCTAACCTTCGTTGAATTTTCTACTCAATTGCTTCGTTATCAACTAAGCTTTTCCAACGAAGGCGGAGGTGTTACACTGGCCCAAAATTGCTTCGTTACGAAGCTTTTTGTCAAATTGCTTCGTAACGAAGCATTTCAACTGACCTGTGTAACAGGGGTCAATGATAAAATCTCCATGACTTTTGTAACGTAGATAGACTGTCCATTGCGTAAAAAGGGTTTACTTACATATCCTCAATAACTTTGAAGAAGTCGTAGACAATTGTGTATGATCGCACGTGTGTCGAAGAGAAAATGATTTCTCTTACTGCAAACGTATTCGATGCTATGTAAGTACATTTCTGTTTCATGTATTGGACACTCTTTGTAAACAAAATTCCATCTCAATTGAGAAATTTCGTCAATTTTTTGGTGTCACATTGTACAGGGGATGTGCAGCTGCTTGGGGTAAGACCACAACTTTGAAAATATTGAATCATGTTGAGGATGTTATATTCATTCTATTTTTGAGCCCTAGACTCAGTGCATTGTTTGCTGAATCATACCAAGAAGGTGTTGTTTCCAAATTTTTGCATGACCGCGCAGCGGGAATGCAAAGCTTAGGAAACAACACCTGAGTGGAATGAAGCAGCTACAATGCATTGAATCTTGGGCTTAGATTCTTTTCACACATTGCAATTGTTTTCTACAAAATCATCCAAAAGGAACTAAATCACTGAGAAAAGACATTTTCAATGAAATTTTTTCAAGGGTCAAGGTGGCAAGTCATCAAATCCAATGTGAAAAGTCCATTCATCACCATGACAACTGTTTAACTAGTGACCTTGATGTGTTATTGATATTTCACACACTGTTCATAAAGTGAATACTCTGTTCTGATTGGCTGGAATCGGACACACCTTGCCTAGCTATGTGTGAATCAGTTATTAGACATTCTATTATATTAGATATTAGATAGATGGTACTGACAGTCAATGATGCCGACCATCATTTCTATGAAGACAATACTGTTGTGTTTCATCATCAGTTGATCCTTTAATTGCTGACCCCTTACGTTCTATTAAGAAAAATGCAATCGATTCAAGACACCATTTTCTGCACTTTGATTTATCTGTTTATAGTACCATGGGCTTTCAAGAGAGAAGGCTGCCCTGCGCGCAGTCTAGTTACCCTATTTGTAAACTAAAAAGACGAAACTCTCTTAGAAGTGAAGTCGAACGCCGAATGCAAAGGGTACAAAAAGGCCTTAGTAAGCTTTAATGTCCTGTTTAAGAACCCCTATTCTAACTATTGAAAATATAATAAAATCAATTGCATCGCCATGTTAATTCAATTACACCCTTGCTGAAATCCTCATTTTCTGAGAAGAACTCAAGTTGATTCAGTCTCAACAAGTAGATTCATATGTTCGTAAGTATTGCTAGAACCCATTTCCAATAGGCTTGCTTTCTAGATTTTTTGTTGGTACTCTCATGTTGCTTTCCTACGAAGAGAAATGCTCAGGTGTGGCCATTTTTAGTCTTTCTTTGTATAGATAAATGATCTAAATCTACTAATTGCGGGCAAAATTGATCAGTAACTCCATTATGGTCTAGGGGTTAGGATTCCTGGCTTTCACCCAGGCGGCCCGGGTTCGATTCCCGGTAATGGAACTTTCGTTTTGCTAATAATCAAGTTGTTCATTTGAGATACGCTCCAAGACTATCTGCTAGTCCCGTTTCTGATGATGCTAGATTATGTACTTACCAAATGCCGAATCTTTAACTTGTACTAATATGAACACAGACATGAATTCCTTGTATCAAGCAAATCTCTTTAAATGTAATTTTCTAATTTGAATAACTTAGAACGTAGATCTGCGAATAGAGTGGTTTCGCAGGTTTTGGCTGAAACGCATACGCAATCCAATCACAGCTCACAAGTGTGTATATGCTAATATATTTTTTAGCGCAAAATATAATAAATCAGACAAAGACTAGGGAGTTTAAGCTGGCATATGAAATCGAAACGCCAGCCCATACGTATGACCGATCGCCCATACAAATGCATCACTTAAATATTTTCCGTTCACGTTTAGGTTGTGAAAAACATTGCAAGCTTAAACTCCCTAATATTTGATTATTACGTGAACGGGAAGACGTGAACCGACCATATCTGGACATAAAGGAATTGGCGCAAAAAAGGACAAAATAAATACGGAAAATAATGATGTATTTATTATGTTGCAAAAATAATTGGCCATGATTGTCTGTCGAAAATGATCAAACGTTTGTATGGGCTTTGTTAAATCATGAAGTTTATTTAATTTTATATTTTATTTTTTATACCAATGAAAACATTTCTGTACTTTAAAGCACGAAAACAAGTCACATCTATCATTTTCGCGCAGAGTCTAGTTACACTGTGACTAGTCGATCTATGTGGATGCAGTCAAGCACATGTAATGTTTCGTGAGTACCCGCCTCTGTACTTTTCAATGGAAGAAATTTGCACTTTTGTTTAAATAATCTACATTTACTCATCCCTGTATATCATACTTCATTGATTTACCAAACCAAAGCAACGCTATAAACACACATTCTCTGATAATTTTACAGCGAACAGATAACTCAAACGAGTTCACTCGACCAGTTTTATCACCTCGCTCATAGCTGTGAGAAGGTATGTATAATTGCCATAGGTTTACCTTATAATGGGGAATAAAACATTCAAGTAATATAATTATTTCACGTACACAAATATGTCTGTGTGAAGTAAAATACAAATACAACGCATTTTATAATATTTTGGGGGTTATGGTATGAAATATCCGCTTTAAAAAAGCAATTTAATTATGATGTATCATGTGGATTAGTAGACGTTCTAATTGGATTCAATGAACAGACTGGCTGGGTTTTAATTGAATCATTTTGAATGTGTGTATTTTTAATATTTTACCTATATTTCTTAAACGCTCTCATTGGATACATCAGGAAGAAACAAATATGGTTACATATAAACTTGAGTTGGGACAATAATTCAACAAAAATATAATTTTACAGCAGTATATGGTGAATATTTGATGCCCGACGATAATCTGATGTTTACTCAAGATGATGGACATCTTGATTTTATTTTCAATATATATCACAACTATTTTGTAGATGGATCTGGTTGTCGTACAGCCAGTGGAGGAAACTGCCCCAACACGCCACATGTGCGATGAATGCGGCAACCTTTTCAATAGCAAAAGCGCACTAAAAACGCATGGTAAAGAACCATGGCCTCCTCCACCAATGTGCTACTGCAATACTTATAGCAAAGCCTGTGTTGATCAGGACCATTTTTATTAGACTCCAGATGTAAATCTGGAGTCTATAGCTTTTGTCAGTATTCTTCTTCTTTATTCTTCTACACATGTTTTCTCCTTAACTAGAAGACATTGAGTCAAGTCCTGTATATGGTCAATTTAGGTCCAGTATCTAGTTTCTCGGAAATTGGGTCAATTTTTTTTCTAGGTCAAAGGTCAAGAACTAGGTCAAATCTTAAATATGTCTATTATCTTCGTCGTTATTTATCGAAACAACTTTGTCTTTTTTCATCATGTAGCTTAGAAACAGCCCTTTCATTATGTGCCATCAGATTTTTGATTACTGTTACCGATTTTGAGATATGGTGTCCGGAAAGTAGGTCAGAACAAAAAATTCCAAATTCAACGTATGAGTTATGAATTAAGGATAGAATTTTCTCAGGAATCCAAATCTGCAAACCAAATTTCGATCCGACTTCCGGTTCGGAAGTTATGGCGCTTTGAAATTTCGAGAAAAAATCGATCTGATGATAACCTTATAGAAAGTCAAGAAAAGTGAAAAAAATTGAAAAAATACCTTTCCAGTCCATTTCCAGGTTCAAGTCAAGGTCCAGTCCAGGTCCAAGTCCTGTGTTAGTCTAGGTCCAAGTCAAGTCTAGGTCCAAGTCCAGTCCAGGGCCTAGGTCAAAATCTAGGTCAAATTCAAAGCTTTTCCTCATTTTTTCGATTCTGACACTACACTTTAATTATATTCTTCGAGATTTGGTATATATGTAGCCAAGAGTGTGCTAATAGTGTTAGCTTTTTGCTGTCAGAAAATATTTTGACCCACTTTTGAGATATGGTGTCTGAAAAGTAGGTCAAAATAAAAACTTCTCTAAATTTAACGTATGAGTTATGAATTAAGGATAGAACTTTCTAAGGGATCTGAATCTGCAAACCAAATTTCGATCCGACTTATGTTATGGCGTTTTGAAATTTCGAGAAAAATCGATCTTATGGTATCCTGATAGAAAGTCAAGAGAAGTGAAAAAATCCATCCATCCTTCCACCAATCCTTCCTATCTTATCCTTCCTTTTATCTATCTTTCCTTCATATCTTTTCCTTCCTATCATATCCTTCCTTTTCTATCCCATCCTTCTTTCCTACTCTATCCTATCGTTCCTTCTTATTCTATCCTATCCTTCCTATCCTATCCCATGTTATCATATCCTATCCTTCTTATTTATCCTTTCCTTTCCTTCCTATTCTATCATTCCTTGCTATTCTATTCTATCTCATCTTTTCCTATTCTATCCTATCGTTCCTTCCTATTCTATCCTATCCCTCCTTCCTATTTCATCCATCCATCCATCCATCCATCCATCTTTTTCTGAATGACTCAGTTTATTCTGGATGACTCGGCTTATTCTGGATGACTCGGCTTATTCTGGATGACTCGGCTTATTCTGGATGACTGGGCTTAAAAAAGTCTAGATCTGGAGTCTGAAATTGAACTTGTTCAATTTCCAAAGTCTAGTTATATTTTATTATCATAAGAATTAAAAGTAAAAATGAATGAAGTCAGAAACTTCCCATGAAACAGACGAAAGCCCATGAACCAAAAGTATTTAGTTTCCTTTCTGTATCTTATATTTGTTTGGCACATGGAGCGGTGAAATAGTCCACAGTGTCCAAAAACAATAATAATGCTATATTGGTAATTGGAAAGATTCCACTTACCACGATTTCAAAAAAATTGTAAATAGATGATATAATTCTTGAATTTGGGTCATTTGTTTCAAGGAATCTGTAGGCTCTTTCAGCTGAGCTGACAAAATCACCAAGATTTACAGATGGTCCATCTGTTGGCTGCTCATTGTCACTTTCAAGGAATGTTAATGGCTCTGAAACTTGATCTGTGGGTATTTCAGTGGTTTGATGGTTCTTGGGCTCTGAATTCACTTGATTGGCGTACCTAATTTCAACATCTTCATTGTCACCATTACATGTTATGGACCCGTTTTTCAAATTAACAGTATTAGGGATGAAACCATAGTTTTTCCTTCTGTAATGGCATTTTCCAGTTGACGGGTCTATATAAAGTCTATCAATTTTCAATTCTTCATGAGAGTGTATTGTAATGGTGTGGCTAATTACTTCACTGAATAAGGAATGTTTATCCGAACAATGGATACAAAGAAAATCTGGCCAGTTGTCCATCTGTAAATAAATCATCATGATAAAAGCATAATTTATTATAGCATCCATTTGTTACCGTTCTGAATCCAAATGATACATAGTTGAATCCATTTGATACATATATGTTGACGTTTACGAAATGTTGTTCAAATATCTTCCCTATAACAGGAATATGCTAGCTGAAACTTTCACACATTGTCATACTATGTATATTGAATATGTATGCAAGATTTCAAGTCAATATGTTAAGTAGAAACTCTGAGATCACTTACCTCGATTTTCTGTCATATTTTTTCAACGACCCCATTCACTATAATGTACGCGAGAACCCACGAAACATTGCATATACATGACTGCATCCACATTGATCGACTAGCCACAGTGAGTTATAAAGAAGCGGAGTCGAACGAATGGAAATGGTATCATTTTCAATCATGATATAGTGATAGAAGCAACAAATATCTACTGGCATTGGAGCAAGTCCATTATGGTCTAGTGGTTAGGATTCCTGGCTTTCACCCAGGCGGCCCGGGTTCTATTCCCGGTAATGGAACTGTCATTTTGGTCTCTGTCAAGGTCGCAAAGGGAACATTTACAACTCCATTTGCGACTCAACTAAAAGAACGGAAAAGTTTTACACACAAGCTTTTTCAAAAGTGGTATTCTAAAGAACAAAACTAAGATTCAGAAACTGACAGGCTTGATATGCTCTCGAATGAAAACTTCCAGTTGCCAAACTTGTGGAGGAGGGTGTAATACTTCCTGTGATGAATTCACAGATGTGATTTGTTCAATTCAAGATGTTATGAAACAGATATGAAGATGAAAATACAAAGATAGTATGTTTGGGATCATTCTGACATTATCGAATTCGAAGATGTCAAGATGGCCATGGGATATTGAAAAATTGATCTGTATACTTGTATACTGAGTCGATATTAGGGAAGTTAAGCTACACGTTTTAAGAGAACTTGTACGGGAACGTACAAGGGATTCACTTTAAGCAAATTACTCTAGAGTGCCATCTCGATCCACCGTTGTTCCTACCCTGGTCTCTAAACCCAATGGAATAAGTACACTAGTCCTAGCGTTAAGCCCCCCTCACATATGAACGAATCCACGAAACGCAGTCTTGCGAATAGGAATTGAGTAAAATCCGTTCCCATTAGTATGTGTACGTTGTACATCGTTGGGGTGTTCGTATGTGTAAGTTTCCTCTCGGAAAGCTTCGGAAGCATGCGCAAAGATGTGCTTCAGCATGGGCTCTATCGGTAGAGCCCATGGCTTCAGTAAGCATGTTTACGTTCCCAATCGCTAGAATTGACATCGCAAGACTGCGTTTGGTGGATTCGTTCATATGTGAGGGGGCCTTTATATCGGACTTTAACGAAAGTGAAGGTATTCCTCAAATGACATACCCATTGCACAAAAGAGGTTACTTTATTTGGTTTAACGAACTATATGAACAAGTTGGAGGTTTACTTCTCATTAAAGAATATTATATATATAGCAATTGATCACCTACTGCGAACAAATCGTCCGATCGTGACATCCCCCTGTCACTTTTGCCATTTAAAGAAATAGGCCAATTTTCACCTATTTGTCACCTTATCTTATTCATTATACAAAAGATTTAATTACTTTTCTGCTGCAATATCACGAAGATTATATCATTGCTATACACAGTGCTGAACGTTACCGAAGAACCCAATCCGTATATCACTTTAAGCTATAAGAATATCCTACTGGAAATACATTGACGAAGTGGAGTTATTCGAACTTCAGAAGAATTTGAACTTGCAGAAGAAGATTCCTCGAGCTTAGCAAAGAGAAACAAAGAATAATGTCTCAAAGACAACAGAACGTAAGTATTGTTTAAAAAGGGCAATATACTACAGTACTACAGCACTGTAAGGGCTAATATTATAACCGTGGGTCCAATTCTGGTTAAAATGTAACACTATTAAACATAGTACATTATTTATTATGATCAGTTGTAACTTTTTAGTTGAAAAATGAAAAGTAAACAAAAAATTGGATACGAATATAATGGGCGTGTGATATGTGTATTGAGATCAGATTTTTATAGATAAAAATAGGGAGTTATATAAAAAGCAGACGATAATACATACATATACATTTTCACCAACAATGTCCTCTTTAAGAATGGATACAGACGAGCTATTTCCGAGTATATAAGTAAGAAAAAATTTCACATTTTCACACTTTATTTGCACTCTCCATCCCATATCAGACCTGTTTTTACAGTCTTAAAAGTCAGGTAAAAAATTTCTGTATGTAAATCTTCAACAACGTTATGAGTTCAGATATCTCAATTTTCTTTCCAGGAAACGTTAGAAATGTTAGGAAAACAATGGCATGGTATTTGAAAAGATTCCAACGCTTTATCCATTTCTGCTTATTCCTTGGCAAGAAGCAAGTCAACAATTAACTTAGAACGTTTATCAAAAACTGCCCAAAACAGAAATGATCAATTTTTTTTGATAAATATTTGGCAAGTCCCGATCATCAAAGCAGATATGCAATATTTGTCTAATTATTGGTTAAACTATTTCAAAATGTAACAGCAGACGGCATAGCCTATTTAATTAACAATTTCGAACAACAGCATATAATTGACCTAGTAAAAATACAACTGATAGAATATTTGAACAATGTGTGAAAGAATGGCTTCAAAAATGAATCAAGTAAATTGTTCAAAATTATATTTTTAGGTTAAACTTGCTGGTTCAGGCAAGTCAATATCAATGAGTGCCATAAAAAGCGAACGTGAAAAGGAGTCGTCTGTGCGCACCCTCTCAATCCCCGATCAACACCAAAGGAAAGAGAGCTGCTCCGACGAAGAAGGCAATGCTATACGAGAGGAGGCAGAAGGCTCCGATTGTCAACCAAAACCACTCGAGAACCTGAACAAAGCAACGGCGAACCTGGGCCACGAGTCTGCCAACTCGCGGGCTTTTAGAGAAATGTACCAACGTGGGTGCGCCTCAAAATACAGGTAAGCGACCTATTCTGAATTTCTTTTTATAATTCATTATTGTTTAAAAACAAAAAAACTGTCGGATAGAAATGCACGACGAAGCTCTCGTCCAAGAAGCGAAGTCCATGAAGTCGAAAGAGTACAAAGGGTTGCCCTAATTTATAAACGAAGACGAAGCTCTCTTTTAAGAAGCGAAGTCGAATGAATACAAAGGTCACAAACTGATACATGTTCCATGTAACTCAATAAATTGATCAATAACTTGCGGTTCAATCAGCCATATGGAATTTCACATTACAGTGTAGCCCCAAAAGAAATTCTACTATATAATTCCACTTCTTGTCATCCATGAGATGCCGTAAATGAAACCTGAACTTTAGAAATTGACGTCCGATTGATTTACACAAGTCAGTTCCGACTTTTGAGAGCAATTTGATGGTTTGATTGTCCACTGGTATATCGATCAACTTACTACTGGTACTACAGATCGATTTTCAATGTACGAGCTGGCCGAAGCAATCGATGTACCCTCGAGATACCATTCGATGACATCTCTAAATGGATCCCGTAGATCATGATACAGGTACAGGATCATACTCAATAAAAGAATCCTCTTGCCTCCAATGTTATTCAGTGAAACAATCTACCAACTTACTATTTTGCTAAGTGAAACAGTCTACCTACCAACTTGTTACTTAGTTGAATAATCTACCAGCCACGTTACTGAAATGTTAATGAAATATTCTTCCTATCAACGATGTTACTCAATGAAACAATCTACCTACCAACCATGTTACTCTATTGAATAATCTACCAGTCGTCTTACTCATTGAAATATTCTCCCTATCAACGATGTTACTCAGCGAAACAATCTACTTACCAACCATGTTACTCAATTGAATAATCTACCAGTCGTCTTACTCATTGAAATATTCTCCCTATCAACGATGTTACTCAATGAAACAATCTACTCACCAACCATGTTACTCAATTGAATAATCTATCAGCCGCGTTACTCAATAAAAAATTCTTCCTACCAACGATTTTACTCAATGAAACAATCTACTCACCAACCATGTTACTCAATTGAATAATCTATCAGCCGCGTTACTCAATGAAATATTCTTCCTACCAACAATGTTACTCAATGAAACAATCGACCTACCAACCATGTTACTTAATTGAATAATCTACCAACGATGTTACTCAATGAAACGATCTACCTACCAATCATGTTACTCAATGAAACTATCTACTTCCCAACCATGTTACTCAATAGAATAATTTACCTTCCAACTATGTTACTCAATGAAACAATCTACTTACTAACCATGTTACTCAATTGAATAATCTACCTACCATGCTACTCAATGAAATAATCTACTTACCAACCATGTTACTCAATTGAATAATCTACCTACCATGTTACTCAATGAAACAATCTACTTACCAATCATGTTACTCAATTGAATAATCTACCTACCAGCTATGTACTCAACTGAATGTTTTTCCTACCAACTATGTTACTCAATGAAACAATCTACCTGTCATAATTATACATTTGCATTAATAACTACAGCACTGAGCTATCATATCGATTAGTTATGTTCCATCCAATTTTGTTGGATGATATTTCCGTGCGTGTATCTTACAATTACGGCCAAGCTATGCGATGCTCTGTGTCTCTGCTGAAGTTACAGTACCAATACAACGCAATTATGCTCTCTTGAAAAAATGAAACTTGGCTCGAGAAGGGGCTCTTAACAACGTAGGTAAGGCAACGTGCAAGGACAGAGACCTGCTACTTGAAGGGGGATTCATTGTGAGAGCTATTGAGAGGAAACTAACATGTCATTCGCTGGTGAACGTGATCAAGGCGATATGGCTCGTTATGAGACTGCAGAACAGAGGTTGAACAAACATATATCGGTCTCAAATAGAGGCCCACATAACGACAATAGATGTCTGGGAAACAATACTACGTAAGTACATGGAGAAAACTGGATATAGTATATGTAATATAACTAGCTCATCAGCTCTGATTCAGCCGCAATACTATAGCATGCAGCAAGCAATATCAATTCAGCCTTGTGGGAAAATGTCATCAGTCTTGTCTGATTTACATTTCCAAGGATTTCTCATTTCTTTTGCGATGTTTTTTAAGAGATAGACATCCAATCATGATATGATAGCTCAGTTCTGTTTTGTATTGTTGAGCTATAGCTCTGTTTATCGCTGACGATTTGAAACTACAATACAGCGCATGGTAATGAGAGAATGGAGGTCATTTATCTAATTTCGTGATTTTCGAGCTGAAAGAAATACAGTCGCCTTCCATAACGATGTAACAATTTGGGGTAAAATTAATTTAGTTTTTCATTGTGCATAATTTGCTTGGAGCCTACCCACCCTATGCAGACAGAGCCTGTGGGAAATATTGGGTGCGGCGCAAATGAGCGGAGGGTGCGGAGCTAACGGTCATTTTTGAATTTAAAATTGGGATATTTCTGAAACTAAGCCGTTTTGGGACTTTGCGGAGCTACGTTTATGGAGCTGCTCCGCACCCAATATTTAGAGGGGCTCATATCTGAAGAACATTTCCGAATTTTTATAAAATCACACAGATACTGCCTGGCTTCCAAGATGCAAAAATAATTTGTATAGATAGTGCACCTTGAACACCATTTTTTATGAATGCTGGGGACTCAGTATTAAAAGGATAATTTCAAAATATATAGGTCTGGGAAAGGTTTAAGGCACACTGCGTCGCTATAGAATGAATTGCGCTACTATTTTCACAATTGTATTTATATTTGGTGTCAAATACACATATCTTGGTATATTTGAAGTCCCAAAACGGCTTAGTTTCAGAAATATCCCAAATTTAAATTCAAAAATAACCGTTAGCTCCGCACCCTCCGCTCATTTGCTCCGCACCCAATATTTCCCACAGGCTCTGTCTGCATAGGGTGCTACCCGCCCTTTAAATGTAGCAGAGGCCAGGATCAGGTGAATTAGCGTGTTCATAACCATGACAACGTATCTCAAGGGTTGGTCCCATTCTATTTTCGATATCACTTTGAAATGTTCTGAAATTACCTTGTGATATGTTTGTATTCGGCAAATCAATGAAGAGTATACATACATGTAAACTGAGACGAATATAAATCATTATGTTGTGAGTTCAAATTTATGATTAAGAAGGAATATTTTCTTTTAAGCATTCTTGACTAAGATACATATGTTTCTGCTAAATGTGAAAACACAGCACGGGGCTCAGTGAATTGTTCATCGCGGAATGTGCCCGTTTTTGTATACAAGCCTAAAACCTCGCCAAATTCGCCTTTGTTTCAGGTATCATACAAAAGGCTTCGTAATATAAGTAGCTACATGAAAAAGTCCTTCAAAACGGAGATATAGTTATTCCCAAATTAAGGGGTGACGTTTTTGCGGTCACCTGTACTGGGATTTGAATTTGAATTTTGAATTTTTTATTTTCAATTCAAAGAAAGAACAAATGGGTATTAGCACAGTAGGTGTAGGTGTAGGTATGTAGGTGAAAGGCATTGCAATTTGAAAAAGGTTTAATTTTAAAGCCTTATACGGAGTAGGCTTACAATAGATATCGTGTTATTTCAATTTTGGTCGTTTTGGAATTTCAGCCCTATGTTCCATTTTATTACGTTACTAATTCAGTGACTAAATGTTCATAAGGTCATTATGAATGGACACTCCTCTATTATAAAATGAAATACCAAATAAAATCTTTTGATTTTGAGTTTTTTAGAAAAATCATAATCTCAGTATTAAATTGTGGGAATTGCATGCTTCAGATTTGACATATCTTTGTGTGAACTCTAAAGTCTATCTCAATAAATGCATATGATGTGTTAGGATTTGCCCTAAACTTAGCTCAATAGGTTAAAATGATCATGATCGAGTCTTGCCTTCAGATTTCAGATATCTATTCAGTAAAAGATTCATCAAAAACTATTTTAACATAGAAAATGGATGATAATATAAAACATTGAACCCCTGGTCACCAAATCCTGGCTACGCCACTGCGTAGTGCGTACAGAACAGTACAGACGGCGCTTCATGCTTCTGTCATGCTCATTCTGCTGGTAGTTTATAAATGATTTTTGCTACTCGTATTTTAAAACGAGGCTAGTCCAATAACCTTGACATTACGAAAAAGTAGAATCACGCTATTTCAACAAAACACTCCATTTTACTAAGTTATTATTCCAGTATGGCTGATTATCTTATTACTGGAGGAACTGGTTATGTACCAGACGATGGATTGACAGGAGCCGCTATGTTAGCCAACGGAGAAGGCCTCACATACAAGTAAGAATGTGTAGATTGCTATTTTTTTACAAAAACTTGAAAAAGCTGAAATATTGAACTTGTTGAACCTGCATAATGATTCATGTAAAGGATGTAAACAGCACATGGAGCCCATAATAAAGACAAGTGTCATAGGCACCCATAGCCAGGCTTTGTATAAAACCTCCTACGTTTGTTTGTTTGTATCCTTTTATGCGCTATAATGCCGCTAAACTACAACTCATACCCACCTACGGGTCGTGGAACATGATACAGTCATTGAAGGGTTCAATTTTAAAGATTATTGAAATTCAAAATAGCTCAAAATATTAACATTTCTACAATTCCGGCTTTATTTTATGACTACTACTTTTTTCAAGGCCTGACTTTGTCGCTAACATGCTAAATATAAGAGTTAGCTGACGTTTGGGAGTCTGACTTACCTTCTAAAGCTTAGAACCCGAATCTTAATGAAACCATATCACCTTTGTTGCGTCGATGATGATGCATAAACATAGCATTTGATAGAAATTAGTGTAAACGCTTTTCCGACTTTTTCATTTTTCATCAGTGTTGACTTCCAGGAAGGCATTGTAGTTATCACGAAATAACGCATTGACCCTTGAACTTTACTTTGTTGACATGTCAACCAATCATGTCTGGTGTGAAAATTAAAAGAATATTAAGCAATGTTCTACATCCGCCAAGCTAAGTGAAGTAGCCAATATTTAAAATTACCAATTTCAAGTGAAGTACGCAACGAACTAAACTGCGTGATCTACAGTCCCACTATTGGTCTGAACGAAATGCTACGTAGGAATATGAGCCGTCTGCTGTATTAGTCGATTATTAGAGTAAGACCTGTTGGTGATGCTTTATAATTTAGACCAAAACATTGAAGAACATACGAACCTGTAAATCGTGAAAACAACGAACAAATATTCGGTTTTCATATATGTTCGGTAATTTTTCGTATTGAAACTTCCGGAACTTACAAGGAAATCATTCATTTTCTCGGTCCATAATTTACCTCTTGGATGTTGTGGCAAATGCTCCATGGTTGACGGAACAAAGGTGATATGGTTTCATTAAGATTCGGGTTCTAACCTTTAGAAGGTAAGTCAGACTCCCAAACGTCAGCTAACTCTTATATTTAGCATGTTAGCGACGAAGTTCGGCCTTGAAAAAAGTAGTAGACAGATGACAGATCCATAAATATAGGCATATGGATGCATTTTAAGGTGCTATGGAAGTTAACAGGAAATGACAAAACAGGAAGTGACAATTTTTTTGCATTTTTATATATTTTTGGAATAAAGATAACAGAGTTCTGGTTTGACCTCCAGTCAATTTAACTATTTCCACATATCATTTACATGACCAGGATCACAATGTGCATGGTCAGAATGACCCTAAACATGATGAAATAACCGTTTTAGCCCTTTGAAAGTGTGACTGAAAAAAGCTAAAAGTAGGAGCGTAGGGAAGGTCACTGAACAGAATCTTTTGAATTTTTCAGAAAATGTGCCCATTTGTATTGTAATGATACAATCTTTGAAAATTTGATATCATTCATAGAAAAAAAAATGAAAAAACTGATTTAAAAAGCAATCTATTTTCCTTTTTATGACCGCCATTTTTGTTTAAGACAATTTTCTAAAAGGATGAGTCTGGGAATGAGTCTGGGTATCGACTTAGAAAATATTGAAAATTGTAATGTCTGAAAAACCAACTCAATCGCACATATTATTAAACTTCAATATCTTATCCTTCTTCTGAGAGTACAAAAATATCAATTTGTATCACAATTAATGAAGAATATTGGCATCAAAGACAGCGCATATCACTTTGTCAGAATTGAAAAAAAATCAATGGCAAATATTAAATGAATTATTTATGCAAAAGGTTTGAAACATATCCTCCAAAACATTGCTTACTTTCTTTGTATAGACATTGAATGGCATTTCTGGATAAGTGAATTGGTGTTTATCTGGGTAATCAAGGGATTATAGTCACTCAAAGTTACTGAGCATCCAGTTTTGAGACTTCAATTGTGTTGGTGAAGTTACACATATTTCAGTCAAATTCATGCTGAGCACAACATTCCGGTTTCAATTTTATAATCTCTATACATGACCCTGGTGATGAAGAGTCAGAATCAGTCAAAAAACCTAAACCGGAAAACTGTGCTCATTGTGAAAACTAAAAGTGAAGCAACTTTTTTTCTGATATTTCTTACATCAAATGGCAGCCATCTTGTTTTTCCCCCTTCAAATTAAACTGGCGGGAAATTCAAAAATTTGAAAAAAATTTTAATCCTTAAATATATTTCAAAAATATGATTTTCTTTTAAATTCTTTATGGGTCTTAAGTTATTTCTTCTTTGTAAGTCATACATGTTGCCATTGATGTTTTTTTTTCTATGATAATGACTATTTGTTTTTGTTAAGATACTTATTCTGACTCTCAGCAGGGGGTTAATTATGCATCGAAACTCGTGAAAAAGTAAATATACTTATCAAATATAACTAGGACAGTAATAAAAAACATATTTAACATACATTTGACTGAGGGACCAAAAGGGCATATACCCGGACACATCCTTTCAAAGATTGTACTAGTTAGAGCATTATATTGGGCACATTATCTGAAAAATTCAAAAGATTCTGTTCAGTGACTATCCCTACGCTCCTACTTTTAGCTTTTTTAAAGTCACACTTTCAAAGGGCTAAAAAGGTTATTTCATCATGTTTAGGGTCATTCTGACCATGCACATTGTGATCCTGGTCATGTAAATGATATGTGGAAATAGTTAAATTGACTAGAGGTCAAACCAGAACTCTGTTATCTTTATTCAAAAAATATCTAAAAATACCCAAAAAATTATCACTTCCCGTTTTGTCATTTCCTGTTAACTTCCATAGCACCTTAATGTGTACATTCTAATTTTTATTCTGTGAACCAGTTCATATGGAACAAAATAATGAAATGTTATCATGTGTCTACTTAGCTGTTTGTTCTATGTCATCCATCCTGCTAAAGAGGAGGGAAAACCCCATGATTCAATTGATGACATACGATTTCCTCCTTTGCGCACCTCCTTTTGTCGAAAAGTACCCTCCATCTTGGTTTTCAAAGTTTTCAAATTGACCTAGTTTTAAACCAATCAACGATCGACTCGCTAAACCAATCAACGACGATGTCATCTCAATACAGATTTACATTATAAGCGTATGTCATCTTTGAACCCTGGGGTTTCTCCCCCTCTTATCCTGCTAGGTTACATTGTGGAACTCCGCCACCCAACTCTTATTTGCCAACTCTTATTTGCACAATGTGATATAAAACATTCCCATGTTTCTGGTTTACAGTCTTGGAGAACATCAGTGGTCCCTCCAAGCAATGTTTCTATCAAAATATCCTCTTCTGTGTTAAGTAGCATTACTGAGCTGACAGGATCAAGAATGTTGACAATGTCAAACTTAATTTGTATTGTAATGGTGTTTCATGCCTGCTTTTCATTCATATTTCTGACGAATAATTTATGACTGAGCTACATAGTGCCATTTTGGATATATTACGCCTCGTCTCTACTTGAGCACAGTATCAAATTTTCAGGGAGATTATCAATAATTAGCGAAAGAAAAGGTTAAGTTGATCTCCGTATTCTTTATGAGCATGCCTGTCATTTTACACATGCCAGATTATGCTCTAGACTTTCTCATTGATTGGTTAAAATATTTTGCTTTTATTGCATGCATGACGCTGATTGTATATTTCATTACACATGTATTATTGTATATTCCAGTGACTTTCTCATTCTACCTGGTTTTGTGGACTTTGCAGCTGGAGAAGTGGTAAGTACAATTACATGTCACCTTTCAGCATATTCCAGTAAACCCTTTCTACTCAGCCGATTGGTCGTATATTGAAAGCACTTCTACCTTAAATCACCATAAGATATTTTTAATTCCTTTATGTAACTTACAAAATCAAAATACTGGAGCATAGACCTTATTTTTTTGTTACTTTGTCGAAAATTTATGTTTTAAAAATTGAAAAGGTGCAAGTAGTTATTTCAATTTTGGAATTACCTACTGTTACTTAAAGCTTTGAAGCTTTCATGAAAGACTCAATTTGTGTACAAGCCTTTTGGTCATATAAGTTTATATGATGAGATTAGGATGAGAATTTCAACTGGCGACTCCTTTAATGATGTTACGAATTAACGATTGACTTCAAATGCAATATGTCAACATACTTGTTATATGTTTGTGTATAATATTGCATTATGTTTTATTGCACTGTGTTGTTCTGTACTCTAAACATTTCAAGAATCATAATATGACTGTTCCTTATCATTCATAATCGAGTGTATGTATTACTTTGAAAAGGAAACTGAAGGTTATATTTACCAATTAATAAATATTTCTGTTTCATGTGATATATTAACAAGAATAGTTTGTTATCTGATATCTGGCTTTGTTGTTATTAATCAATAATTAATATTGTTATTCATTCATTATATAAGTACAACTATATACATGTATGTACAATTTGGGCCCTACCTAATTAAGGCTGAATCAATGTCATCATCTACTTCTCTCATCAAGATTTCATTTTAACCATCATTAAATTCAAATTATCAGATATACAATTAAGTTGAAGTGTTAAACATATGAAATAATTTATTATTTGTTTATTCATTTCACATGGAAGGCACCGCTATATCTATCCACAAAACCTGAAATAACCTTCAGTGAATTATTATGTAAATATTGGTTCGATGAAATATATATGAAGTGTATTGTCATAATTGCTACTACTTACCACAGGAGTAGCTGAAGTACAATAACTAAATACTTGTTTGGTAATTTAGGTTGGCTAGTAGCTCAAAACCTCTCTATATGGAACACCTGTCAACAACAAACTGTTTTTGCCAGTCCAGAGAGTGTTCCTTGTTTGTAGGTTTTACTGTAATTACAACTTGAGAAATTATATAGGGGCAATTTCAGACTGATCCAACCACTTGCACTCAGTTCATAAATTGATTTTCTTCCCATTTGCTCTGAATGATATTCTTGTATTTCAGGATCTGACATCAGCCCTCACTAAGAAGATCACACTACGAACCCCCCTCCTCTCATCCCCCATGGACACTGTAACTGAATCAAAGATGGCCATTGCCCTCGCAGTAAGTATAGACCCATATCAGCACCAAGAACAATATTATATTGTTTTGATTGAGTGATATATCATTTTATTGGATAGTGAATTATCTATCCAGTGGTATATCATATATGAACAATACCTGTAAAACAATAAATGAAGTTGAACATGAAGGTGTGCTCATTTTATTGAGTCACCCTCTGTATTGAATTGTTGTACAGAATATTTCCTATTATATCAAATAGTATATCAAATACTTTGATCTATATTTGTATTACTAAATATTTTACTATAATGAACTTACAACGGAGAATGTTTCATAGGTATGACTTATATCAAATTAGACATTCCAATAGCCAGGGGTTCTTATACACAGGTTATACCTGAACTAGTAGTCTCAGATTCATTAATTATCTCATTCTGCAGTATGGCCAATTATTCCGATCATTTCATCCAAGGGTCCCTATTCCGCTATCCTGTTATAGATATCAGTTATAGTAATTAGATATTGATTTTTGTATGTTGTTTTGTAGCTATGTGGTGGCATTGGGATCATACACCACAACTGCACACCAGAATTCCAGGCCAACGAGGTCAGGAAAGTCAAGGTAAGTTGATAGACGTCAACTGATACCAAACATTATTTTCAAAAGCTCTCATTTCTGATATTGATTTCATTAACCTTTATCCAGCAATCTGGTTCTATATACCGACTAATGATTTTTAGTCAATCGTATTGAACATTTTTAAAAAATCTGAATTATTTAGTTATGTAACAAAATAATCCAGTTGAGCTTATTTTCCAAATATTTTCAGAAATATGAACAAGGTTTTATTCTTGACCCCGTGGTAATGTCACCAGAACAGTGCGTCTCTGATATCATTGAAGAGAAAAAACGCCATGGCTTTTCTGGGTTCCCAGTGACAGAAAATGGTAAATTAGGGGGGAAATTAGTAGGCTTGGTTACTCAGAGAGACATTGACTTCCTACCACCAGAACAGTATTCTACCCCCATACATCAGGTATGTAGTCATAAACACATTGCTAGCGAGTAGACACACAGTCTAGCGAGTAAAGATATTGCACAATACTACATTTTCTACTTTACAATTTTACAATATATGGGTAGCTGTGGAATTTTATGTTTCATTTTGAATGTTGTTCGCCAATCACAGTAAGCCACATCAAATGTGTAAGCCTGGTATAGTGACAATTAGAGTACATTTATTCAGTTACATTTTGCATGCTGTTTATTTTATATAATTTTTAGGATCTACGTAGAGTTATTGTTGTAGCTTTATATTGTTGTGAAGGCATCATGTTTAAAGGGGTCTATTATTTTCAGACCTCTGACGGCTCAAAAGGGCAACGTCTGACCATTAGTGAGGTACTTAGTACACAACCTTTAAGTGCAGTGAACTTTTTGCAGTGAAGATTTTTAATCCTTTTTGAACCCCTATGTGATAAACTTAGCAGCTCTTTAGCATTGTCATTGCCATACTCATTGTTCTGACATGTCATTACTCAATGTGCTACCATGTCATTGTTCAATGTGCTGACGTCATTACTCAATGTGCTGATGTCATTACTCAATGTGCTGATGTCATTACTCAATGTGCTGATGTCATTATTCAATGTGCTGACATATTACTTGATGTACTGACATGTCATTATTACTCACTGTGCTGACATGTCATTACTCAATGTGCTAGCATGTCACTGTTCAATGTGCTGACGTCATTACTTGATGTACTGACATGTCATTACTCTGTGTGTTGACATGCTATTGTTCAAATTGCTAATATGCCATCATTTAATGGGCTGACTTATCATTACTTGATGTGCTGATATGTCATTACTCAATATGCTGACATGTCATGAGCTCATTAATTAGTTGCTTACTGTCATGTGATCATTGGACCACAGCTTTGATATTTTTTTTATTATTTCCCATATTCAGTATTTTATCATTTCCTAGATTGATTTTAATTAGAATATTTGTGTGTTTGAAGAAAAGTAGGCCACTTAACATTCATCTGCAAGCTGTGTGAGACCTTGTATGATTAATTATCACCAAAAAACTTTATTTTACCACTATTTTATCATTTAGAATTTATGCTAATAAATCATGTTCCACAAAACTTCCTTACTGTTGCGTCACCCACTCCAACCACTTGCTTGTTTCAGCTTATGTGGTGTTGGATTCAATTTTGCACTTAATCTTATTTTATTTGTGTGTAACTTTTATTCAACCAAGTTCTTAGGATGTAAGCTTTTGCAGATTAAGGCAGATCTGTATGATGACTTTGCTTTGCAGAATGTTTTTATCACACTTTGAGAAATTACCTTATTGTCCTGCTAGGCATGTGTATATGTATGGGCGCCACATAAATCTTGCCATTAAAATTCAAAGAAAACCACTTATCTGTCACCTTAAAATTTAGTAGACAAGTGCCAAGATCTGATTTTGTTTTAGGCATGCTGGGTAAATTATATCATTTTTCTATTTTAGATATTTTATATTTGGACATAAAACTCTTAAATTCTGAATTTTCAAACTAAACATTTAAAAATTCTAAAGTGGGAAAAAGTTGCTCACTGTTTCTTTTCATCACTGCGTCATTTAACAAAATGTTTCTGGACGCTCCAACAAATATCAAAATATAGTTATCCTTAATTATCCTGTAGTATACTTATTATTAAATGGTTGTTATACCTCTCAGAATACTTTGCTTTTTTATATTGTGAAAAGACTAGTCTCGGCTTACTCCAAATCAAGACTTGACTTTTATTGAATTGGTCTACATATACTGCACATAACGCCTGCTTCGAACAATTTTGATATTTTTACATCTTGTCGATTTAAATGTCCTCTTTTGAATATTCATACTTTAATTTGGGTGATATTTCTATATTTTTCATAAAAAAATTATTGGCCCAGGAGACTATTCTCCAAACCAAGACTTGTCCTTTATTTTTAGTATTTTTACAGATGTGTGCTAAACTATGAATAGAATAAATGAAATGTTAAAAGCATTTTCAAGTTTTAATCAATAATTCCCAAATTTGTGTTTGAGCCCACTTAATTCTTTAAATGATTGGATGAAATAAAATAAGTAAAGGCATATAAGAGCTATATATGCCCTGGATAACCCTGCCTTTGTGAGAATTCTCTCCAACTGCTAGCTCAATACACAGAGATACAGTTGTTGCTGGGGCTGTATCTACATTGTCTGTGTTTTACCTAACAGTGCTTATAATAATTTGAATATCCCAGTGTGGCAGGGAATACTTCTAACTTACTACAACAAGGTTTTGACTCAATATCAGTGTTACAAAGAATTTGTACAAATATGTTTAGACACATCAATGCTTATCTGCCACACTGTGGTGTAGCCATGCATACAGGGTTAGATGTGCTCACTCTAACATGGAATTCAATGGGATAATCATACACGTTTGGGCTGGTTATTTGCACTTGTAATCTTTCAGGACAGGTAATTACAAAGATGTTTTGTCATAGTGATGTATTAATGATTTGTTTTAATGCAGGTGATGACCAAACGTGAAGATTTAACAGTAGCTGATGCTGGAATAACACTGAAAGAAGCAAACCAAATATTACAGAAAAGTAAAAAAGGTAAACAATGGAGAAGATGCAAGTAGAAATATTCAAAATGTAGTCAAAGTGATCGCATATTTGATATCTGCATGCAAGATTACGTCTAGAAATGAAGTTTTAAAAGTTGTTTGTCAACTTTGAAATTTAGATTTTCTCTAAAGTGTGATTTCTACATGTAGGTCAAGTGGATTCCCCATAGAGCTTGTTAGAAATTGAAATATTTTCTTGAATTGAGCAGATAATCTCCTTTACTGAACATATTTGAAATAGCTCACCTCTGACTCAAATAGGCTGAATTTATTTATTGTTCAACTTTACCCTTAAATGGTTAAGCTATAGAGAATAACACTTATGGAAACGGACAATCATGAGGGTGTATAAGGTATCATTGGAAAGGTTTTTCGATTCCCAGTATTTTGAGCTGACTTATAACTATATTGAGCCATTATTAATGAAGAAACTCATATTCTAAGAACATAGAGGTTTTTGGTTTCAAAAATTAAGTAAAAAATTGTAAAATTGAAATTGAAATTCAAAAAAAGGTTTCACATATCACATTTTGATAACATTGAGTAAGATTTCAATATAAGCCAAATTGGTTTAAACTTTATATGGGGCCTTTAAGAGGTAGGTATTAGCCACAAAACTGGACTAAAGACAGTGTTCAATAAATACTATTTACTTGGTTAGGAATTGTTCACTCTAATCTGTCACTCAATACAAATCTCTTACAAATATAAAACTAAAAATATAATCCCAAATGCGTATGCGAATTTAATATAGTTATATTGTGTGCTCTCTAGGCAAGTTGCTAACTGTCAGCAAAGATGGAAGTTTACAAGGAATTCTCTCCAGGACCGATCTCAAGAAAAACAAGAAGTTCACCTGGGCTTCGAAGGATGCTTTGTATGTCATAATCTCCCATATGTTTGGCAATTTAACCGGCCTTCACATTTGTTTCATTTTGTATACCCAAAGGTTGTCCTCACAGTATATTATACAATTACCTCCACTGTAAATAATGTTCATTCACAGGTTTCACTGTATATGTTGAATATCAGCTCCTCCCCTCCCAACATGGTCTAGTATTTAAATGTACCATATACAGCATACACTAGCCCTAGCAGCCATTGACCCGTCACTCCTCTACCTGATTGAATGTAATTGTAATGAGATGTTGCAGTGCATGTTTGTATTAATGTCCCTGTTAATCTTGTAGGTAAACTCCCCATTGTTGATGGAGAAGGAAATCTGATTGCAGTAGTCTCACGGACTGATCTTAAGAAAAATAAGGAGTTTAAACTTGCATCAAAGGATGACAAGTATGCAGTTGAATAATGTGTTTCTCTTTGGTATATTACTTATATTAGTGCATGTGTTTCAGTCAAGTGATCTCTCCAGCATTAAACAACTGGGTGTTGCACAAAGTTGGATATTGATTTGTACCAAGTTTAGAATTGGGAAAATTGACCTACTTGGACATCCCTTAGTCAGAATCATGTACCCAGTTGAGAAAGAATCCTGGAGAGAAAATATACACTATTTATTGCAAAGCACCAAATATACAAGACAATTGGAAGAAAACGGTGAAATTGTTTTTGTGTTGATATTTGGTGTTTTACAGTCTGTGTTGTTTAGAAAGTCTGTGTATAAACATGTAATGCATCTTATTTTTCATTTCCTTTTCTTGCATCTCTTGATTCTTCTTTAAACAATTCCCCATAAGTACTGATTTCAATTTTTCAAGAATTATTCACTTTCACAGACATATTTTTGAGAAATTCATTAATGTAAGAGGATGATGTAATCTTTTCAGTTTTGTTTGTATTATTGCTATGGTTACATCCCTCCACATAGTCATAATTGAAGTTTGTTATTCTCTGCTAATAGTGATAATTGTGCTAATTGTCCTGATATTATTTTCATAAACTCTTGTCTAATTGAATACGATAATGACATAACCAAAATGAAATCATATTTATTGACGTTTAAAACAGTTATTGAGTATCACATTAAGTTCCGAGCGCATCCCTTCACACATTTGTTTTCGCATATTTATTCCAATTTAGTACTTGTACATTAAAAATGTACTACATGTATTTTATAACCTAACCACATGTAACTGTACTGCATGTGTATTGTATATGTAGACTTCTTTCTTATAAGTGTATAACATGTATTTTTTAAGTATACTACATGTATATTATTATAAATGCACTACATGAATATTGTATGTATACTACATCAGGCCCGTAGCTGGGAAGGGGACTCTAGGCGAATCCCCATAAATATATAATTTCAAAATTATTCACTTCAATTGTGACCCCCTGAAATTACTTGAAAATTTAGCCCCATCTTGGCAATAACTGGCTACAGACCTGACATGTATATGATAAGTGCACTACATGTAATTTATAAGTATAAAACATGTATGTTATATGATAAGTGTAGTACACGATGTTGTTGCATGTGTGTTGTAGGAAAATTACCAATTGTCGGGCCACAAGATGAGCTTGTTGCTCTAATATCGCGTACTGATCTGAAAAAGAACAAAGACTATCCTATGGCTTCTAAAGACACCAGGTGCACAGAAGTAGATACTCTAGAAGTTTTCCGATCAATTTATATCATTGATTGATTTCATCATCCTTATATTGTTAATGTTCTAATAATAGTGGTGTTTTGTGTATACTGTATATAAGTTACCATTTGTTAACTCAGTTGACCAATCATCTTCTTAAATTTTGAAATTTTAGGAGTTAATAATAGCTTAAACATTAATTAAAATACAATTATAGCATTATTTGATAATTATACTGAAGAGTAATATGAGTATTGTAATTGTGAAGCATAAGCAGCTTAGTTGAAAATCTTCTTATGAATGTGTAATACAATGAATTGTTTAAATAAATCATTTCTTTTCTCACATTTAGGAAACAACTTTTGGTTGGTGCCGCAATATCAACTCATGATGAGGACAAACGGCGCCTTGATCTCTTGGTGCAGGCTGGGATTGACGTAGTTGTGCTTGTGAGTCAGTTATGACGTTTATACAATTCTATTAATAGATAACTTTGATAAATGCTGCCAGATCACTAGAGGATACAACAATACTTTTTACAGTAAAATGAAATTTACATTAAAAACTATGAATTTATCATAGGTTTAATTGATGTTTAGAAAATACCTAGATATTTAGATGTTTAGATAATATTCCACGCATATTTCATTATTTATTTTCTTATACAACCCCAGGATTCCTCTCAGGGTAACTCTATATATCAAGTGGAATTGATTCAATCAATCAAGACAAGGTACCCTCAGGTTGAGGTCATAGGGGGAAATGGTGAGTGACTATTGTATGCCAGATGCCTACAATCATTGGTCAGTAGACATGGAATATTCAAACTGTATTCCTTTCCACATATGGGTTGATCACAAACTTTGCCTTTTTGTGATAAATTATTTATTTAAATTAAAAGTGTTTGATGTTAAGGAAGGGAAATAATGCTGTGAATGATTCAGATGTCTATTGATCAATGGTTAGGGTTACATAGCAGGTTTGATTGCTATGTTCTTAACAAAGCATTTTGAGTCAAAAACCTTTGTAACAAAGGATTTTTTGAGGTGTAAAACAGGCACAAAATCCTTCATTACAAAGCCTTTTGTCAAAATGCTTCATAACAAAGCAAAAAACACTGCTGTGTAACAGGTACCAATATATTTCTAACATTTTTACGAGTTTTATTTCTGACGATGTTTTCTCGTATATTAGGATTCATCACAGGGTAACTCCATCTATCAGATTAACATGATACGTGACATAAAACAGGCGTACCCAGAACTCCAGATAATAGGTGGCAATGGTAAGGTCACAGTGACTTCACAACTTGTTGTCACGGCTACCTGTCTTGTTGTGATTTCTTCATTGTATGATTTTGCGAGACACATTTGTTTTACCTCTTAGCTTCAATATACTACCGTCCCAAATCCTACCTGCACAGGGTTATCAATTTTATGTCCCAATATTTATAGTGACTTATAGAGATATCTGGCTCTGCTTAAGAAAAACAATTCTTATATAAAACAGCTTTTTGCTTTTACAATATTGATGCACAGGGGAATTTTGAACATTTTGTTCTGACTGAAATTAAATTAAGTTCATTTTGCGTGACATCAGTTTTATTGAAGTATTCTTTATGTGATGAAGTGCTTGTTGTGTAATGCATGATTTCGATATTGTTTGAAGTTGCATGAGACGGTTAGCTTATCCGTAAAAATTTAAGTATGTTGCAGCTGTATCTCATTTACTGTTGAAAATCCTACTTCTTTTCATCGAAGTTCATAAAGGTCATAATTGTTTGTAAATTGAGTTGAATTTCAGAGGAGGCACATCTTTGAAGGTTTTCTACTATCATTATTATTTAATGTCCAATTTAAGTTCCAGCATTGGGTCCAAACATTGAAAACTTGAACTGAAGTATCTTAGTCCTTTTCTGTGTAAAGAAGGAAATTTTCTGTCCAGAGGAATTGCAAAACAAGTCCATTGTTAACTGTTATGTAATTTCATCTTTGATGTATGGGCCATATACAATTTCATAGACTCATGATGACTTAATTATTAATTGTAGTTATGCAAAGCCTTTTATAACCCATTTTATGTAATATAAAATATCATTTGTCATAATAAAGAATCACTATTGTTTGCATGGTCCGTGATTACCTAGTCATCTAAGTCTGTTATGTATTGAATATGTAACTTGCTTATGTAGACATTACCCAATTATGTTTTTAATAACAATAACTAAATATTCACTTTGTTTCACAATTGAGTGTTATTATACTTTTGCTTATTCACATTGGAACATTAAAACATAATACAGTTCACATGTTTTATCACGTAAACTGGCCATGGCATAATAGTTGGCATGGTGGCTTATCAAATTTTATCAATAATGCCTATTTTGTGCTCATGTGCCATTTTGGCAATTTTATTTTTATACTATTATGTTTTGTACATGCATATTAATTAAAAAGTGCTTTATTATTTGATGAGTGTATTTTGCATTAAACAGGGGCAAAACTGAGGGCAAATAAATTGTTGGTATTAGATTTTTTAAATGAAAATGTAGTACAGTTTCGGTTTTCATCCAGCATTGTAACCTGTGTTGGATATATGAATATGCATGATATTAGAAATGTTTGATATATGAACATGTATGATTCACAAGACATGTACAGTGTCATATAAGACAATAATTGTATTTGAGACATGGATTATATATTTTTTTTATTTATTGATTTCTCAATTCACCCCTTATAGGGTATAAGAGTACAAAAGACAAACTTAACTAATACAGTAACAAACATTAAAATAACATTTATATAAGTACATTTTTTTGCCCAGCCTCGATTAAAAATTTACAAAGTTTTATTAGTATATTTTTGTTTGAATTCATTAATTTCTCAAACTTCTGTGTGTTTGGTCTTGTGTTATACAAGTAATATTTATGATATATGTGATGTGTATGATAGCTGACAAATATAATATTTGAGACATGGATTGCAATATGTGATATATGAGAGTGGAATGATATATGTGACATGTATGATATATGTGTATGTGACATATCTAATATATGTGACATGCATAATATGTGTGACATGAATGATATATAAATGATATATGTGACATGTGTGATATGTTAAACAATACATTTATATTACAGTTGTAACAGCGGCACAGGCCAAGAATCTAATTGATGCTGGTGTTGATGGCCTTAGAGTTGGAATGGGAAGTGGTTCCATCTGTATCACTCAAGAAGGTACAGTAACATATATATCAGTTGAATGAACCAATGTCACAATTCAAGTTGTCATTTTGTTTGATGTAGATAGCTTCTCTGATCCATCTTGTTCACTTATATATTATGTTGCAGTTATGGCTGTTGGTCGTCCACAGGGAACCGCAGTGTATAAGGTAGCAGAGTACGCCAGGAGGTTTGGAGTTCCTGTTATTGCAGATGGTGGTATTTCAACTGTTGGCCACATCATGAAAGCTTTAGCACTTGGTGCATCTACAGGTTAGAAGACTTACTGACAGGATGAAAATATATTACTTATTCAATAAAAATGTTATAATTGGAAGCTCAGTCATATTGATATAAAGACTTAAAATTAAATGATCGAACATCACAGTAATAAACAAAGTAACAGTTTACCAGTTAAATTAGTAAATATGTAGTCCACTTGAATAAGATTTCAAAAGACCGATATCATAATATATGTCCTCTCAATTCTCTAATGTTACTACCTAAATGTTTCTTGATTTTAGTGATGATGGGATCGCTCCTAGCTGGTACCTCTGAGGCTCCTGGAGAATATTTCTTTGCCGATGGTGTGAGGCTGAAGAAATACAGGGGTATGGGGTCTCTTGATGCCATGGAGGCACACAAAGGGTCCCAGACTAGGTATTTCACTAGGTATGCTAGCTGTTTTATATTGTCTGTAACCAACTATCCATGCAGCTACTACTGTTGTTATCACAGTGATGTAACCTCCTTTATTTATACCCTTTTGTGGTCATATCATTTGAAATAGTCATAATTTCCATTCAAATTTGATTGAGAATTGAGTGTAAGCAACTTTATCATGGCAACTCAGATACGTCACATTCTAATATATTCGATTTGGTACCTTGAAATATATACCAGCCAATAATTTGCACATGTAGTTTTTCAACTCACTGTGAATATCAGGTATGGATACCTTGATCTGCATGCCCTGTGGTATTGGCTGTATGTATGTTATCTATATGTCAGGCCTTGACACAAAGGGGCAACCATTGATTCATGGGACATTGGGCAATCTTGGAGACATGGGCCAGTCTTATTTGTAGATACATGGGATGATCTTGGATTCATAGGGTGATATTGGACACATCAATTGGACACATTGCCTGGGGCAATGTTTGACACATTGGGCAACCTTACATGTAGACACAAGGGACAATCTTGGGCCAAATTGGCAATTTTACATGTCAAAGGGCAAACTTGTACACATGGGACAACTTTTGTATCTTGTCTAGTTTTATATATATATTTGTATACTGTGGCTCTGTGATCAGTTGAAACTTTGAATGAATAGTTTAATGTCATATATATTCATAGGCTTAATTTGTTGTACTTAGTCGTCTTGTCATATTTATTGATTAAGAGGCATGTAAATGAGATATGTTCATTTGCTTTAAATAGTTCAATTTTTGTATGTAACTACTTGTAGATATGTGTTAGTATCTAATTGAATCCTAGTGTCAGTGACCCATGTGTTTACAGCCTTAGGTATTGTATTGTAATGTGGCAAAACTATGTAGGATGCATTAAAATGTACATGTACATTTGAATGATCATGTATTACAGTGTATTATGGCCTGCATTTTTAAGAATCTTGGTTTGAGAAAAATAAATTAGAACAATTGGAGAATACACATTTGTTGAGAATATATCACGAAAATTAATGCCTTTTTTATTAATTATTTTAGTGAACAGGAAAAGGTTAAGGTTGCTCAAGGGGTCTCTGGTTCTATCGTTGACAAGGGGTCTATTCACAAGTACGCCCCCTACCTCATTGCAGGGATCCAACATGGCTGCCAAGATATAGGTGCTAAAAGTTTATCTGTCCTAAGGTAGGTTGAACAAAGTTTTATGTTACCACCACAAGTCTCCCAACTTTTTTGTGGATGGTGTTCGATTGGTGGCATTCAGCATCTGTAACAAATGGCTGGTAGTGACATTGTGCATGTTAAAACCTTGTATATACTTAATTTCTGCATATTCTAAAAATAATAACAATTATATTTTTTATATATATGTATCGATGTATGTTAGAGAAAATTAATACTTTGTATGTCTTACTTTTGATGTTCTCCTTCTACACTGTAATTCTAAAAAAGTCTAAAATTCTGTTTAGCCAAATTAAATCATCCCAAAATACTGAGACTTCTTCCATTTTCTTAGATCCATGATGTATTCTGGGGACCTGAAATTTGAAAAGCGGACCACATCAGCACAAATGGAGGGCAGCGTTCATAGTTTGCATTCGTAAGTAGAAAAATTGCTTATTCAATCAATATTTACATTTTAAACACATATACAACCTTATCACCTTCCTTGTTTAAATATGTAAACACATCCTTCCCATATTTTCCATATTATTTGTAAGTTCAGTTGAATTTAATCTAATTTTGTTAATAGACCTCCCCTTATAGTCTATTTATATATCTTATATTATGCTAATTTTTTGCGTCCCAGAGTTTTGGATGAGAGTGTTACAAAATAGTTCTCATACTTTTATCCAAGTTAGTAAGTTGCTATATTAGTGTCATGTTCCACTATATAGTTGTCAATAATAATATGCACATTTTATCTCATTTGTTATTTTTATGATGTCTTTCTAGTAATTAGATAATTGTATCTTTTAAGATAATAGAATTTTGTACTTTTGTTTGTGGCCGTAGTTACGCAGATGTACATCTTCAACTAAATTTTGTCCAGAAAAATCATCTTTTATCACATAATATATATCTGAATAGTTAACATTATCCAAAGGAGTTTCTATAAATGAATAAACACAAAGCGCTCACGCCCCTCGAACTCACAACCTCATGGTTATTCAAAAAAGTTTTAAGAATGGTTCCAAATGTTGTGTCAACTTGACCAGTTGAAAACCAATATTCAGTATAATATGCACAAGATCGTTGATTTAGAAGTTGACTTATAGTTTGTTGGCATTTTGTTGTACATACTAAGTAAATCTCTTTAACAAACTATTGTAAATAGAAACAGTAAATCTAATAGTTCCTGACCAGAGGTTTAAATGTTGTATTTTATTATATTATTAGCACATGTCATTTATCAACAATTAACAACAATTATCACGTTTGCCAACTTAGAGTCTACTAAAATCTTCTTTTTTGGTTTGTAATGAGAAAACAAAGGCAATATTTGAAAAACAAACCCCTTAAACCATATGAATATGAACTGTTTCTTGAATTAACTTCTTAGCTTAAAGATATGAGAGACACCTGAATCACTCGCCATTGAAATGAAATATTAAGTTCTTAAAATATTCTGTACACTATATAACTGTATAACACAGACTAACTTTAATTTTATGAAAAGGCCATGTACCAGCACCTTTACACATACACCATATAAGGACATGGTGAATTGTTTCTTTTAAATTCATATTTATTATATTTAATTGTCGTTCTCTGTTAATATTTCAAAATACACTTAAATTGATGTATTAGCATGTTCTGGAGTGAAGTGTTAGAATATTCTTAGAATAGGCTATAGTAACTTCAATACAACTATTAAACACACATTACTTATAGGCCTATATTTGAAAAACAGATTTAAAGTTGTTTTTGAAAGATCAGATTAGTTTAATATTGATGACATTAAATAATTCAAAACAAGCATTTATTATAATGATCATGCTTTTGTATCAGCTATTTCATAATTTTATGATCTTGCCTTTGCAGCTATGAAAAGCGTCTGTACTAAACTGACTTCTGCGTATCACTTTAATATGGAGGTTAACTGTAAGGAGCCAGCAATCACGATGACTTTGAAAAAGAACAGAATGGACTTTCTTACAGAACTACTCATCAAGAAAAATTTAAAATGACAGTATTTTCAAAATGTGGATATTATTTCTAAAAGATAAAGAATGATGTATTATTATTTTCTTAAATGCAACATTCTATTTTTCTACAGAAGAATGACTTAAACAGTTCTGCCTTTGAATTACATTTACATATGGATGAAGACGTTCATATGATTGATGAATTCAACATATATTTCTGGTCTTTATAGCTTTATGTTATATACCATTTTGAAGCTGAATGTCTCATGCTCATACCATAACATTATCATAAGTAGATCTCAAATGGGGGACAGCCTGCACTTTTTTACATGCTAATTATAGAATTCTCTATTTTGTTGTGTTCATGTACAAAAGGGACCACAAATTTTGTTACTATATATAGAGTATATATATAGGTTATATTTATTGAATTTAATGTATAAGGTTTAGTCCATGATTTGTGAAGACTTGGTCCCTTTTTTAACAAAGTTTGTCTTACATTTCCCTATTTACAGATGTAGTTCACAAATCACAGCTGTAATTCACAAATCACAGCTGTAATTCACAAATCACAGCTGCAATAGATAATTCACCAGTTGCAGCTGTAATAAGCTTTCATGTTCAATGTTATTGTTAATAACAGTGCAAAGGTACAGACAATGCATCTGTTTTTACATTTACTTTTATATTATTTAAAGCAATAATTTTTTGTTGGAATTATGTTTTATTGTGTGTCTTGAAGGCTTGATGTTTAGGAATATCTGAAGATTGTCAGGCTTTGTAAGAAATAAGGCACAATTTGTTTCACTGTGAATTTTTTCTTTCCTAAACAGGAGATGACATTGTCTTAAAGTCCACTAATAAATGCATACTGAGATTAAGGGCGTGATATTCCCATTTAGTAAAATCATGTATAGGCTATGTAGTTTATGTTTACTTTAAAAAGAGTGCCATGTCAGTACTAATAATCTAGTAGATGTCTTACAAAATTGTATGTTTAAATAACAAACTTATTGTAATGAACATTATTGAATATTTGAGACAATTTTTTCGTATGGCTTTGCTTGAAACGCACATGTAGGAGCACATGTAGGCAAATCAGTAGGAGAAAAATAATCATTAAAATTGTTGTGATTTGATGAATCATTTTTAGAGCAAGTGTTAATAGGTGGCAATTAGATGACTATGTGATAATTATGGCTGATATCATCTCCACCTCCAAGATATTAAACACATTTAAAAAGTGACTTCATACACCTGCCAACGTGTCATTAACCTGGATAGCACCTAACTACACCTGTGTATAACCTGGGCATAGCTGCAGTTATGTGGCATTTATTTTATCATTAATGCAGGCATTGCAACATGCAACAGAGCTCACAATAAGCATCCTTGTAGATTATCTAAATGAATTGAAATTCAATGAAGTGAAGTGAGGAATATAATTTATAACTGATTGTTGTTTGCCACAGTTTGTCCTATTAGTCTATAGGTCTATGGGGTTCCTATGGGGTATTGAACCCCAAATTTTATTCCATAACTACAATATTTTGCCACATTTTGATCTCAATGTAGGAAATGTTTCTATGGGGATATTGTAACTGTAAAGTATGAATGTTATATAAACAGAATTGTTGTATGACAGTGTCTCATGAAATAAATATCTATGAATGTTGATCAATTTTTTAGTTCATTTTTTGTTCAACTTGAATGGTTACTTTCCATATCATTTTTGGTCTTCCCACTTTTGTGCTTGTTGGTTGAATATAGACCTCTCTTTGGTATTGTACCATTACCATGCACTAGAATTTGAAATGGCCATCATTTTTAGGAAATAGTGTAATATTTGATAAGTTCTATAGGCTGTACTGTCATATAGGAATATGACCGTACTCGAGAAGGAATTCCCAATAAAGGTTCTCAGTTTAAAATGCCCACCATTTATTTGTAAAAAATATAATCTTTGATAACTGAAATATATAATGTCCAATGGTAAGATTTGATAAACTTATGAGCTAATGTCTCACGGGCATAGGGCTCAAGAAAGAATGGCGACCTTTAAAATGAAATAATATTTTATAACATAAAAGCAGTGATAACATGTATGTCACGACCAAAAGTGGTGACATTGTTATGGTCTCCATTTTTGTGATGTTGGCGTCTGTAATGGCGGTTGACGTCTGACATCCGTAACAAATTCTTACTAACTTATAACTTAACAAATACTGTTTAAGCGGACAAATTCTTTCTTAAGGTAAAAAGGTCTTTTTTCAACGTGCTTCAAATTGACTTTTTTTTAAAATCTTGTACAAGTTCTCAAGGTCAAAAAAGGTCATAAAGGTATTTTTTCAACTCTCTTCAAATTGACCAAATTCTTTATTTTTAAAATCATCTACAAGTTCTCAGACGTTCATATCTGACTTTTGATTTGATAGTTGACCTTGCCCTTCTTAAGGTCAAATGGTATTTTTCAACCTGTTTTGAATTGAACTTTTTTTTCAAAATCATCTACAAGATATCAGAAGTTCAAATCTGATTTTAGATTCTCAAGGTCAAAAGGTATTTTTGCAACTTGCAATAAATTGACCAAATTCTTCTTTTTCAAAATCATCTACAAGTTCGCAGAAGTTTTATCATGTCGTTTTTCTGATTCGGGCTTCAGAAAATTCAAAATGGATGCCTAATGAGTGTAACAAATTCTAAAAACTTCCAATAACTTAACAAATACAGTTTAGACTGACATTTTTTCAATATCATCTACAAGTTCTCAGAAGTTCAAAACTGACTTTAGACTTGGTCGATGCATTATGAAAACGTGTATCTTAACCTCCTTATACAGGGTGGTCCAAAAAAAGTGAACCCCTGCAACAGGCTATATTTTCCTTAATACATGCATGAATCGTCTCATATTATCACATGTTGTAGAGAAAGGTCTAACATTTTTGTTGATGCCATAATTTATTCTCAGTCTTAAATTTTTAAGAAATTAAAAGACTTAAACGAGCATGCCTGAAAATTAGATTGTGCAAAATTTTACCAACGTAATTCATGGAAATTGTTGAAACATGTTAGGTATTCTTAAAACAGCTTTCAGTTAGAGATACAAGTTTAAAACCCTATCATATGACAAATGGGATACTATTTGAGCAGAAAACACATTTCACACGTTCATTGATCATTTTGAAGCATGTTTAATCGCTCAACAGTTAAGGGGCATGTTACCTACACAAATGGATAAAGGGGGTCAAGTTGCCCCTTGTGACCAGGAGTCTGAGAAGCCCTTCATCAAATATCTTTAGAAAATCAAAAGAAAATCTAATATTCAATGTTTTGAGCCATAATTCACTAGAATTGGTCCATGATTAATAAAGATATTGACATTTCAAGATCATATAGGGGTATGTTGCGATTTCGCTGGGTAAAGTTTTCGTTTATGGAAACTTGGAACATTTCTTTGGATCACAATATCTTTGCAACTAACAGAGGTAGGATGCTAGTTTTTACGCCATAATGTGCGTGATTATAATTTCTGCAAATTTCAAGACTAAGAAAAATGTATGGAACCAAGAAAAATTTAAGACCTTCCTCTACAACATGTGAAAATATGAAAGGATTCCTGAAAATAGTAAGGGAAATATGGCCCGTTGCAGGGTTTCACTTTTTTGGACCACCCTGTATATTATGTCAGACTCCCTTGTCAAATTAATTTTGACCTAATGCTTTAAAAATATCTCTTTGAAATAATCGTGCCATGGGTACCGGACTCAAATAACGTAAGTGCTTTCAAAGGACCATCTAACCATTGATATTTTTGATAAAAGTGGCAACCATTTTAACATTTTACAATACATTTATGTAAAAACACAGGCTGGTATCGAAAGATTTGTCCGCTGTGACGGAGCATGCTATTTTTCATAAAAACACTAAGAATGCTTCACGATTTATTTTTTAACTCATATGTTTCGTTATATCAAAGATAATTACTTACTCCATGCAATGGATATATCATTTGCGTGTAACCTTCACTTCTGTTTGAAGTCCAATAACGCTAGGAGTAAAATCTATTGAAAACGGCGCCAGAGTATCAAACTCTAAAATGTACCATTTCTTTTTTAACTTTTTAATGGCATGATATAGTGACACGATAATATTAACATATGTTTTCAGCATAACTCTGAATGTATTAATGAGATATTAATGCATTGGGTCTTTTTAATTTTTTTTTTTAAAAAAATATTAATATTCTTTGTCCGCTGTGACGGAGCATTTTCACAGTTCACATTTGCAACTGCTCCGTCACAGCGGACAAAAAAATTAAAGATTATTTTTTTTATAAAAGAATTAAAAAGACCAAATACATCAACATCTCATTTATACCTTCATAGTTATGCTGAAACCATGTGTAAATATTATCGTGTCACTATAACGTGCCATTAGAAAGTTAAACAAGAAATGGTACATTTTGATGTATGATACTCCGGCGCCATTTTCAATAGCTTTTCTTCCAAGCGTAATTGGACTTCAAACAGAAGTGAAAGTTACCCGCAAATGATATATCCATTGCATGGAGTAAGTAATTTTGTATGGTATAACGAAACATATGAGTTAAAAAATAAATTGTGAAGTATTCTTAGTGTTTTTATGAAAAATAGCATGCTCCGTCACAGCGGACAAATATTTCGATACCAGCCTGTGAAAAATGGTGTTATTCTTAATCTTAGCAAACCATTTTGCTAAATATCTATTGACAGATTTAGTTCAAATTTCATAGGCGCTTGCCTTATGGGTGTAGGACCTCTGAACCACAAGAAATTTTCAAGATGGCCGCTCATTCAAAATTGCCACCATTTTCGTAAAAATGTAATCTTTGGTAACTTAATTACAAGTGGGACTTTGTTTTCAATTTCATATGCTGAGTGTTGACTCGGACTTGAGAGCTCTATTTCACAATGGCCACCAATTCCATAAATTTGTAACTTAAATACCTTATGCAGTTTTTCACCATTCTGACTAATTTTTGAGTGATTTTTGGCCATATTTGCCAAAGTGAACCCCCCCCTAGAATTTTTAGAAAAACGAACCCCCCCCCTTGGAAAATTCTGGCTACGGGCCTGTTATGTATGGACCAAATCGTGGTCTCCAAACTGGAAGTTATTGACAAGGAATCTCTGCTTAAAGAGGCATTTTCAATGTGGCCGCTCATTTTTGAATTACCACGATTTTCATAAAAGTGTAATGTTTGATAACTTGAATATCATTTATAGGATTTAGTGCAAACTTTTATAAGTAAATGTCATGGGACAAAGGACCTCTGCTCAAGAATTTCCAATATAGGATGGTGTCCATTATTTTTATAGAAATGTTATCTTTGATAACTTAAATAACGTTTTGAAATAAAAAATAACGTTTTCACGATTTCAAGAAATCTGCTCAAGAATTTTTTTTCAAAATGAGTGCTGAACTGAAAATGCCACCTTATTTCTTAAAATATATATTTTCGATAACAAAATTAGGAAATCAAAATTATAATTGCAATACATTTATTTTATTTAACACATAAACTGTTTAAAGTATTACATAAATCAACTAACGCTAGGTATTTTTTTTCTGACGTTTACATTTGATATACATTTAGTTTTTACGCTAAATGGTACCGTGTTTCACAATAACCAACACAGACATTGCAATTATGTGCATTGCAAACAAGGCAACTGTCCTACCAACATTTTACGGAAATATATAATTTCGGACTATGGGAATGAAGTAAAGTTGCCTCGCCCATTTACACTTCCCTCGCCAAATATCTGATTCTGGCTACGACCTTAACGATAACAAATAAATTAAAAATATACACGTACACTTATATACTGCACGGGCACACGGGGGTAGAGCAGACACGATGATACCGCGAGCATTTGAGGATACGCGTTGAGCTGAACATACCGCCAAGCTCGCTAATACATTAGCCCCGTGATACAGCCATGATAACGCCGATCAAGCTCATGGTATCATAGGGTCTGCTTAACCCCCGTGTACTGATCAATAATCCGCGGGAATCAAGCTTGTCGCTGGATACCACATTAGTGAAAGTCCAATGTCATTGAGTATCCAGCCAGGGACAGTCTGGGGTCAACACCATTATTCGATCTCAGTTGCGAACAGATCACCTGGTTCTATTTATCTAATGCAGCCTCTTTTCATAACTGCAATATAAAAAAGCATGTGTTAGTCTTGGCTAGCTCAGCAAAATACGAACGGAAGTATGCTAATGGTAGTGTTTGATGTTTATGTATGCGGTGTACTCACGAGTGCAGGCTGTGTACTCCTCCCTCCGCCTGAGCAGACTGTGTTCTCTTCTCAAACTTTAACTCTCCAGCATACATCATTGACCTAAAGAAATGATTACAATGATATGTTAGGCTCGTTCAAAAAGTTTAGCAAGAAGACGCTAAATGACATCATTTCAAATTATGACCAGACTAAATTCCTGACACCCACATTCTGACCCCAGGGATATGAACTATTATACCTTAGGACAGATAGACTTTTGGCGCCGATATCCTGACATCCAGATTGTACACCGGAGATGATGTAAGGAGCGTACTGATGCATGGACCCCTTGTCTACGATAGCACCCGAAACACCTTGGGCAACACGCACCTTCTCACTGGAATAAATACAAAATTTATGATGCAGCACTGGGATTTTACTGATCTACCGAAGGAGAAAAATTACAATACAATATAATTTCGGAATCAAGACGGGGCTATTTGATTAGATCCATTGCTAAGTAGCCCATGATATAACAAATCCAAACATAGCAGATCTCTTTATTATTACCCAGAGTCCAATCCTAATGCATTTCTTTGTGCTTCCATCGCATCAATGGATCCCATACCGCGATACTTCTTCAACCTCACCCCCTCAGCAAAGAAGTACTCGCCGGGAGCCTCTGTGGTACCGGCCAACATGGAGCCAAGCATAACTGAAGTTGAAAAATATTTTGTAACATACATTACATGCAATACTTTATATCAGGCGGTGCCTTCTGCAAAATTTTTCCTAAAATTGGACCATGGACCATTTACCTCTCATAAGAGAGTTAACAGTGTGTGATTTAACTTGGATAAACCATTCATAGTGGGTATTTAGGATAATTAATAGCCTAAATTAATAGCCTATTTCTCCTAAAACCCAATACTTATAGTTTATCCCAAACAGAAAGGACACCAACCTGTTGATGCGCCAAGAGAGAGAGCCTTGTTGATATGGCCAACATTGGAGATACCACCATCCGCAATGACAGGGACGCCAACTCTTCTTGCATACTCGGCCACCTTGTACACCGCGGTACCCTGCGGACGACCAACGGCCAACACTTCTTGCGTTATACTTGTGGAACCACAACCAATACCAACTCTCAAAGCGTCCACTCCGCTGTCAATAAGATTCTTGGCCTGTGCTGCTGTTGCAACTGGATAAAATAACATCATCTTACATCTACAGAATAAAATTGAAGTACTGTAACTACAGTGTGTCTCAAAAAAAATGTTACACTTACAAAAAGTTCAATATCTTTCATGATTTTGACCTTTCCCCTAAAATATACTTAGATACCAAAAGACCAGCCTTTCTCGAATAAATCCACACCATCCGATTCAAAATCCGTCCATGATTGGCTGCACAGGACTGATTTTATAGATGCATATGAAATCTGATTTGCGCCAACTTCTCAGTGGTTGAACGTGTAGTGTTCAATTCTTTTTTGGTGTGAATGCTGTGGACAGTGATATCTTGATATGATCAATGATTCAGTTGTTCTTTCCTGGATAGAACATTTCAATACAACATTTCATTGTCAAAGGTTCAATTTCGTTACGTATGATGGCAAAAGGATGGTGCAAAGGCCTGTAGCAGATCATTTGGTAGAACTCTTTGGAAATCAGAAGATAGCATTGAATTACCCCATTGATTGGCCCCCAGGGTCATCCCACTTTACACCCTTGATTTTTTGATGGGCCTCTGAAAGCGCTTTACAGCATCACAAACTAACCTAAATGAACTTCTACAAAAATAATTGATGGACTCAGTGTGATATTACAATGCATGTTCGCATGGGCAAGGGTACCTCAGATCCTCAGATTTGATTTCAGATTCAACATGTTGAGCGGAGCACATGTTTATGTGGATAGACCCAATGACCATATGTAAGACAAATAGGACAATTACAGAATGACTCATTTAAAGGTCAAGCTTCAGCTCAGAAGAAAGTTAAATGTTAAAGAAACTGTTCCTCTTTTGTCATTTGGCCCATCCAAACACTTAAAAGTTGGCGCAAGTCAGATTTTACCATGGGACAATAAAAGCTGTCCTTTGGAGCCAATCAAGTTCAGATTTTGAATCAGATGGTGTCAAATTATTCGAGAAAGATTTGTCTTTTGGTATCAAAAGTATATTTTAAGGGAAAAGTAAAAATTATGAAAGATATTGAACTTTTTGTAAGTGTAACATTTTTTTTGAGACACTCTGTATAGACCTACTCAATGTTAAAAGCATTAAATACCTGTAGTCATAAATAAGAAAAGTGTCTCGATATTCCGAAAACCTGGGTTAATGCATAAAGATTTCGCTCAATGAGATGATTAAAGATCGATGTTTGAATAAGTATAAGCTGGGCCCCGTTTTTGTACCGTTCGTAGTAACGAACGTTCGTAAGTCCATTGTTTAATTTGCGAATTTCGCAAAGTTGCATTTTCGTAAGATTCGTAAAGTTACGAACGATTCGTAAATTTACGAAAATAGTGACGTCGTGCCTGTTTTCGTTCGTAGATTTAATACCACCTCTGACCCTTTCGTAACTTTGCGAACGGCCTCTTACTTATTCATTTACAAGGGCGTAGCGCTACGTTTACGATTGGTACGCCACCATTGGAACAGAATCGCGAGTTGAGCGAAGCGAAACGAGCCTCAGTGGGGTCTGGGGGGGGGGGTTTCCCACCAGGAAAATTTTGAAATTTGGTTGTATTTGGGGCGATCTGACGCAATCTAGAACATTATAATAAATGTTGAAATTGGAATTTTGTTGACGTTCATTCTCATATTTTATTATAACAGATAAATTAATGAGGTAGTATTTCACATACAGTATATCATGGTGCCAAGATAAACAATAATTCTTGGTACTAAAATGTAGGCTAATTATCCCAGCCCTACAACTCCAGGCTTTGCCAAGTTTTACAAATTGTTCAAAACGTTTTTCTTAAAAAAAATCAACCATTTCGCCATAAAATCAACCGTTCCAACTGAAATCTTACCTGAATTTCATTTCGTAAACTTTAAATCATCCTATTTTCTATTCTGTATTGTTGTATTATGAGGTTATATAATGATTGATTCCGTATATCGTGTTTATACTCAAATTTTATATTGTGATTTGTGACATTTTGTCATTTTAAATCAGAGAACTCAACGTATTATCAACCTATTTCTATATCTATTTTAGTACTTTTCACGGAATCTTTATCTTTATAAAGTTCTTATTGTATGACTTTGGTTTTATTATTTTGATCAACCCTGTTTGTTGTACTATCTGTCCTGACAACTGTGGAATATGACGTCAACCAATTCGTAAATCTTACTCTAAACAATTGGAAAGTTACGAATGACTTACGAATGCGTACAAAAATGATCCATTCGCAACTTTACGAATTCGTAACTCATTCGTAACTTTTTAAATATTTACGAATTTACGAATTGCGAACGTTCGTTACTACGAACGGTACAAAAACGGACTCCTGGTTCATATTTGTGTTACAATCATTTCTTCCACTTTCGGGGTTTCCTATTGAGTAACCTATCAATAATATGACACAAAGGCATTAGAAGAGAAGACATCCATGTAACTAAAGTAAGCACATGTCTCACCATTGCCACCAATGATCTGAAGGTCGGGGTACTTATCCTTGATGTAGCGGATCATGTTGATCTGGTAGATGGAGTTACCTTGGAGCGAATCCTACATGAATAAAATCCTGAACTTAATTAAATTGTAAATTTGGAATTTCCAAACTTACTAAATATTTCGAAATTCTAAAATTGTAAAAAGTTGCAATTGTAAATTTAGAATTTTCAAACTTACTAAATATTTCGAAATTCTAAAATTGTGAAAAGTTGCAATTGTAAATTTAGAATTTTCAAACTTACTAAATATTTCGAAATTGTGAAAAAATTGTGAAAAGTTGCACATGAGTTTGTACTAGCTTAAAGATAGAAATTCACGAGACGAGATGTTGAGTTCATAGTAAGAGATCAATGCCAAACAAGAATGAGAAAATGCATACCAGTGTTACGACGTCCACGCCAGCAGACACTAATAAATCCAAACGGTGCTTGTCAGCCTCACTTGTTCCGATGGCTGCCCCCACCAACAGCTGCTTCCTGAATGCATGATAATATAGTGAATAACTTACATATTACAATAGTCAGACATTGCTCAATTTGATTACAATACTGACATAATGTGTTTCTTATCAATTATATAGAACTAATCTAAAAAATCACCATACTCACATATCTGGCTAAAATGTTGCTCCGATTATTAAATCAAGATACCCATAAACTACCTGAATTAATCATGATACTTAAATATTGGCCTAGTTAATCCTAATATCCATACCCCCCCATTGGCTACGGGCCTGCGGTAACGCTCACATATTTCCTTAATTGGCTACAATACTCACATATTGTCCTTAGAAGCCCACGTGAACTTTTTATTCTTCTTCAAGTCAGTCCGTGACAGAATTCCCACAAGTCCGCCGTCCTCGTTCACTGTTAGCAACTTGCCTGTAAAGAATGAGATAGAAGATATGTCACGTAGTCAAGAAAATGCTGTCACATGATGTCACCATGTCATGTAGTCAAGAACATGGTGTCACATGATTTCACCATGTCACGTAGTCAAGAACATGGTGTCACATGATGTCACCAGATCAAATAGTTAAGAGCATGGTGTCAAATGATTTCACGTAGTCAAGAACATGCTGTCACTATGTCATGTAGCCAAGAACATGGTGTCACATGATGTTACCATGTCACGTAGTAAAGAACATGTTGTCATATGATCTCACCCAGTCAGGTAGTCAAGAACATGGTGTCACATGATTTCACGTAGTCAAGAACATGGTGTCACATGATTTCACGTAGTCAAGAACATGCTGTCATTATGTCACGTAGCCAAGAACATGCTGTCACATGATGTTACCATGTCACGTAGTGATATCTAATCCAATCAAGCAAACAGATTGATCAAGGTATGAAAAACTACTGCTTTTTTATTTATTTTGATCTGATCTTCAACTGGGAATAGCTGTATTTGGGTGTAGTGGTACGGGCATTTCTCGATCTCCTGGAATAACGGAGATGCGAGTAGGTAGTTACCAGTTTCACCACGAGGTGGCTCGTTCGGGTTAGATAGCATGGCGGGTATAGTAGAAAGTTCCCTTTAACTTAAATTACATCTGTTTTAGTGGTTCAATTTTCATATAACCCTTATGTATCTAATAGTTATGCAAATCAAAATATGTCCAGTAAGTGAAAATGTTATCTGACCAATACAAGAAAAGATATTTCACTTTTTGTGATTTTGTAACATGGGCTCTATGGAGAATCAACCCGAACTAGAAGTCACACTTTCAAAAATGATTAAATTTTCAAAGTTGATAAACAATTTTCGAAACCATATTTCTAGATGTACTTTTACATGTAGATTTCAAATATAACATCGCTTTGACTGAATTTTGAATATTTAATGGCGTGAATCAAGATTTTTTTCTACTCGCATCTAGTCTATTTCGTTTCCCTCTCGTAGACCTGTAGCGTTGGATGTTACATTTGCAAACTTGATTCTCTTACCTTTCTTACTCTTCTGTAATATCTGATTAGCACTCTGTAGACTGACTCCAGCAGGCGCAACTACCAGGTCCTCCAGCTTAGTCATTACCTGGGCGTGGATTAATAATAGTTTGTTCTGATTAGTTAGTACATTTAAGTATCAATTGCCAGTGGTTAGTGTGAGTAGATAGGATAATTGTTCGATGAACAGTTTTTTGGTGATTATCTTCTAAATAACAATGATACATTAAGTTGTCAAAACTCCTTTATCATACCTCACTGATGGGCGTGTTGTAGTTGCCCCGCGAGAGGAAATCTATGTCCCTACGGGTAACAAGTCCGACTAATGTACCGCCAAGTTTGCCATTGTCCGTCACCGGGAACCCGGAGAAGCCATGAACCTTCTTCTCGGCAATAATGTTGTTCACTGTCTGAGTTGGTGACATAACAACCGGATCCAAAATGAAGCCTTGTTCATATTTCTAAAATTGCAATTTATAATGTTGTCATAATGACCAGTTTTTCGTTATGCATAATGATTTTTAGAATTATATCTCATAGGCGTAGCGATCGCACCCCCCCCCCTAGAACCAAACAAAATATGGAACCACGAGATAGAAGAAGAAAAGAGTTTGAAAACGCTTTTTATTTGAAGTTTCTAGCTCAATTTTGAAGGAAGTTGCATCAATTTATGTAAAATTCAAAATAAATCTTATTTTTGGGCTTGTTTATGACAAAATCGCACCTCTGACTGAAAACCGAATTTTTTTGGCGATCGCGCCCCCTGACTGAAAGCTGGCTACACCCCTGTATCTAATATTATCTAATATTGACCTCATATACAATACTGACCTTGACCCTTCTAACTTCATTAGCTTGAAACTCTGGAGTACAATTGTGGTGGATGATTCCAATACCTCCACACAACTGCAATGAGGAAAAATACAGTATTTAAAGAGCTATTAAAATCACTCATAAAATTTTGAATGGCTGTCATAAAAAATACGTTTCATGTTTTGCTCAGATAAATGATAGGCATTATGTGATTAAATCTGAAATGCGACTGATCCTTTAAACTTCGAGGGCATGATAGAGAGAGAATGATAGCTTTAATAAAACAGCAAATATGTTTGGCACATTACAAGTTGCAGCTATTATGAAAACGCCTACCGCCAGTGCAATGGCCATTGCGGATTCAGTGACTGTGTCCATAGGAGAAGAGACCAATGGAGCTCTTATTATGATCTTTTTTGTTAATGCAGATGTCAAATCCTGAAACATAACATGTAAAATGCTTTTTGTAATATTCATATATTTCAGATCCTTAAATACAACTTTGCTAGATCGCTCTATTATTCTTATTCAGCATCCTTCAACTTTTGAAGAACTAGCACTCAAATGCCGAACGTGACTTACTTTAAACCGATTTGTAAACGTTAGCGTATCTGGTCAAGATTGTCGCTGAAGATTCTTTTACATTCAACTAAGTACTTATTTTAAGTTGTGTGTTGTACTGTATGAATTCTTACCACTTCTTCTGGGTCGAAGTCAATGAATCCAGGAAGAATGAGGAAATCACTGGAATATACAAAATAAATATTTCCTACATCACGATTGGTTGTATCTAGGATGAAGAAAAGAATAGAAGAAGAACCCAAATATAATGTTGAATGAACACGCCTTGATATAGAATTGATGATTTTACAAAAAAGTTTTGACTTATTCATGTTTGCAGAAAAGACGATAAAGAGCAACGTAGTTTAATCACCGGTTGAAATATTTACATATCAATACGTTTGAGCGACTTACTTGTATGTGAGGCCTTCTCCATTTGCAAAAAGAGCCTGGCCCGTCATCCCATCGTCAGGAACATAACCAGTTCCCCCCGTCAAAAGATAATCAGCAGCGCTAGAGCAAGAACAATATGGTGAACAGTTGTTGAGAACTGTATTTTACTGGATGTTGCAAATTGTATTGAACATGTAAATGTCTGAATACAAAGATATAAAGCATATTAGTATGTAAGCACAAGTGACTGTGCCAAGGGGAAAATACTAACAATTATATACAGAACACAGTAATAAAAGAAACGTTCAAAAAAGTGTACACCAGTGCCCATCTATTCAAAACCACTATCCAACGTGAAAACATTAACAGTGTCTAATGCTCCCTCCCCCATCTAACAAGATCCAGAAGATGCTTTTTTATTTGAGCCATGTTTTTGAATGATATGTAAAAACCCTCACCTGTGTTTATACCCCATGTGAAGCATCTCTCTGAAACAACGTTTGTTGGCACTCTCGTGGCCCATGTTTGTTGTCGCCTTGTTGAGATTTTCTGGCACGGCTGCTGGAGTAGAAGCCCCTCTTGTAGCCTCCTCTTTTTTCACAGGTGCCTTTTTGTCGTTTTCTTCGAATACTGCGTCCAACGCAGACTGAAATAATATAATAAATGTTTATTTATTTATTTTTATAAATAATCAGTCATCTACAGTACCTACCTTCTACAATGCCCATGATCCATCGATCCTACCGGTTGCCTAAGCCTGGACACTATGATTGTGTTTTATACCCACTAGTATTGATGTAATGCATGGGCCAAGTCATAAAATCGAAAAAACTTGCAAATGCAATAATATAAAGCCCACTATATATACTCACGTCCTTCGCATCTTCCTTAGGCATGGACGACATACGTGATGTGTCTTTGCCAACGTTTGCGCTGACAGAAATTGTTGGAGTTGTATTGTCTTGTCGCTTCATTTCCTTCTTTTCAGCAGCCATGGCGAATTCGTAAATTTCTGTGTTACTCTCAGGGCCCTGGAGCGCCTTTATGTCTTTTATTTAAGTATTAGGTCTTGGCATAACAATTTTGCCAGCAATTATCACATACATGTAACTACCTACACTTCACCCTATTTTATTGGAATCGGTTTTAGCATTTGATAGGCCGGTTGTGATGGAACTATTTTCTAAAATGTAACATCTCTCATATTTCATAGGCTATGCGGATGACCTCGCGCACATATTTCAAATGGCCCAAGTGCCCCATCGGCAATTTAGTCTCGTATTAATTTTTCACTAAAATACAATGTGTATAATAAAGGATGAATTCGATTATAAAACATTTTACTCAGAGAGTAATTGCTAAATCTTCAAGACCCGTATGTTCAAAGATGATATACATCCATTAGATGACGGGTTTAATTCTTCGTGACAGTTATTGCAATAATTGGGCGATAATCATGTGTGACAATCATCATGTGACCTGCGTTATGTGACATTCCTCAATTACAATGAATCAGATATATGTTTTAATACGTACGTACATTATTGCATGTTATCTCTATGACAACTAATTGGTCTCCAAAACAAAAACCTCAGCACGAGGCACAATATTTACCATTAAATTGTCAACAAATGCTACTTCTACTTCTAAGACTTTCATGTCCCAATTTTCAAAAGGAACATGCATGATATATAACACCGTGATAAAAGTTTGAGGACCTTCATCATCAAGTTGTAGTATACAACGAGTGACCAGAAACCATTAAACTTAGTTATGCATCATTTCACCTTGGCAACAAATCTAAATACTAGCCTATCCTTTGCATTCGTCCGACTTCACTTTTAGAATTTATAACTAGACTCTGTGCGCAGGGTATTTAAATACTTTACTAATACATTATATTATTTGAAGCTTCTGTGACATAGATATTCCATACAATGAAAAATGAAGTTCAACTTTTTGAAAAAGATTGAGGCTGGGTTTTAATTAGGATGGTCCAAATTCACAAAATTAAAAAAAAATCTTTGATTTTCTTCTTCTCTCACCCTGCGCGCAGAGTCTAGTTTTAAACGAAGCTCTCTTCTGAGTGGCGAAGTCGAACGAATGCAAAGGGTATTCTAATCTTCTCTTGGATTCTAGTTCCAAACTGAATAATCTATATTGATACCGAAGATTTCCACTCTAGACCCCTTGGAAATTCCTTGAAGTTTCGGTAATTCTCAAAAATATGCCATTTTCAACATTTATGGTTGTATTTGCAGTGAAACATCAAAATTAATATTGAAGTCAAATCCTTCGAGAAATTTTGCCCCACTTAACTTGTATTGTAATAAAACATTAATAATTAGTAATCAAACAACATCAACTGACTTAACCTGCAATATAAAGATTTCAATAATTGGATAATCAAAACTATTTTTCAAAACGTTTATAGTGTCCTACACCTTTAAAAAGCTGGACGTGGTCAATTATATCAATTTCAGCATTGTTAAAAATGTATCAATGAAACAAATTGATGTACTAAATCATCTGCAAATGATACAAGACATTGTAATATGATTACTGCAGGTATGAAGGATACTTAATATTTTATATGTATGTTTTATATAAAGTGCACATACCATAATGTAATCTACTCCATTATCCGGGGTTAATGAACCCCGGGTAATGAACACCCTATGTTTGGAAAATTGGACGCGTTCAGAAAAATGGGTACAAACGTTTTAATTGTATAAGGAGATTAAAAATATGAGAAAACCGTATTTTGCAGTGAATGTCCAGGAAAGTTATTTCAGTCGAAGTGTCAATTAGTGCTCTTTTACTTTAGTTCAATGGATTAACCGCTCGGTCATACTGTAATACTTGTCAGCGATCAGTAGCATTAAATATTCCTATGATAGGCTATATATACGAGGAATATTTATTGAGCTTTAACTGATCCTACTACAAAATAATTTTGCCGGCATATATGAAGATGATATTGTTGACATGATTACAATACACATACCCCGGGCCACATACAAATGCATCATTGCTGGTTTAGAAAAGTATCTGCCCGGGATCGACTGGATCTGGTTCGTCATTGAGATTATGAATCAATTTTTGAAAAATCTCCATTCAAGATCTGAGATCCTGGCTAGGCCCCAGAACGAAGATTACGATAATCGTACAATCATTGTTTATGGTTCTTAACATAGACTGTGTATTTCGTCCAGTGCGTTAAATTCCGCTAGATGTCGCTTTTATTATTTTGCAAAATCGGAAAAATGTAGATTTTATTATAATTTTCGTAGATTTACCCTCATAAAGAACATATGGCTCAGTTTGGGAGGAACCTGGAAGGACTAAGCTCCTCGCATACTGTTAAAATACCAGAGGTTGAGACAATAGACAAGTATACAGTAAGTTATTCCAAGAGGAAATTAATTTTTTCGACAATTTCGCATAATTTTTCAAAATATTCATATGCACTTTGCAGTCTAGGCCACCGTGAATACTATCAATCTTCATTATTCAGTTATTAGACTTGTCTATGTCTATGTCAATAATCTGCAAAAGGCTAATAAGCCCATATAAAGCAGATATATAATTAACAGTGATAGAATTTGAATATTCAAACTATTGTATCCAAAGCCAATAAGGTGCTTGGATTCCTCAGGCGCAACCTCCATCAATGGAAAAAATGAAGGCTCAGGCGTATAAGTCACTAGTCCGGCCTAATTTAGAGTATGCCAGCTCGGCATGGGATCCTTACCGACAAAAAAATATTGATATGTTGGAACAGGTACAGAGAAGAGCAGCCAGGTGTGTAACCAAATGTCACTCAAGGGAACCAGGCTGCATCACCAAAGCTCTTCAACACCTACAGTGGGAGCCACTGAAGGAGCGTCGAGAGGCTGCTAGAGTTTTCCTTTTCTACAAAGGAAAGCAGAACCTAGCAGCCATCGACGTGCCTCAATACTTCCGCCAACAGATCAATACCAACACTACATGTAGGTTGTATCATCCTTCTAAGTTCATACAACCATCAACTGGAACGGATGCATACAAATTTAGCTATTTCCCTAGGACAATAGCTTAATGGAACACTCTACCTGGTGACATCTTAGACTGTGACAGTCTAAGTAATTTTAAATCATCATACTATGCCTATGTCAATAACTGCAATTAAATAGGTGTGTTTTTAATATAGATCTATGTTTTAATGTAAAAGGTCCCCAGTGCACAGCAACAAGCCTGCACTACTGGTAAAGAGGGGTGATGTCAACGTGGTAGCCTGACAGTCGCCCAAGGGTATTTCAACATTAAGGGACTTCCTAGGGGGTACAAGGGCCAACCAGGAAGGTTCCTTTAAATTTTAAGATGAGTTGTTAACCATAGATCTATTTTTAAATGTTAAGGTTTTAAATTATATTCTATTCAAATTCTATCACTGTTAAATTATATATCTGCTTTATATGGGCTTATTAGCCTTTTGCAGATTATTGACATAGACATAGAGTGCGAGACTCCCTGGAAAGTAGTCTGTTTTATTTCCAGGGTGCCTCGCACTCTTATTATCCAGGGACAGGGGTGTCACTAGAATTTCTCACAACAGGCAATATTAATAGAAATCATGAATTTAACATGGAAAAGTTGAAAAGTCACTAAAAACAACAGGCAATTTTGTGAAAACAACAGGTTAAAATCGCCTGTTCAATGCTAAATGAAACCCCTGCAGGCCTGTGGTCCTAGCCTAGGCCTAAGTAAGTTTAAATCTCAGAAAGGCTAGGCCTAGCTTAGAGGGGATGCCCCAATTCTAATGAGTTAGACTATCTGAGTTTTGACTTACAGCAGAAAAGAGGCTGTATAAACTTAAAAAAAATAAAGAAAAATTGAAAATTTTGAATGATCGCTATTCATATTATTATGTTAGTCCCATTCTTTGCGCTATTTGAGAATCAAAGTTTGCAAACTGCAACCAGGCTCCGACTGACCCTGGCTCTCATTGGTTACAATTTGTTATAATATGGCTAATTATTATTTGTAGCAACAATAGAAGTTGGTTGCATTGACTCAGGAGTCTGGTTGCAGTTTACACAGACCCTTTGAGAATTGATTGCTTATAATTACATCAGGTGCATGTGTGCAACTATCCTAGTGAAGTCTAAGTTGGCCACGGCTGCACTGGCTCCAAATCCAGCCTAGACTATATCCTCTACTCTGAATTTTTTTTTTGAAATTTGGAATGAAAATATTCAGACTACATGTATAACACACATCTGTTAAACTTTGGATTGAAAAAATATTTGTCTACATAGAGAAAGTGCCATTCAAAATGACTGATGGAGTAAATTAATTTGCATATTTGTTACTTCCCCTAGCATTATTTCCACTTAATATACTATATGCCTTGTTTCTTTTTATAGCATTACCTTACTACTTAATTGAATTGTTATAACGTTTATTTTTCTGAAGTTAAGCTTCCTAAAATTGTGCCAAAAATTCTCTGCAATTCCCACAGGACAGAACATAATATAAAGTTGTCTTTTTTATTAGGTATACATTATCCATGTTACAATTGGCCAGTACTATTGGACATTGCGTCACAGATACAGTGAATTCAGTGAACTACATGAAAAGGTGACAAGTTATTTTTGTTATTATTACATTACTGAATATACATAAGTGTTCTCCAAGTTGGTGCTTGTTTCTCATTTTCACAATTCAGACCAAAATTGGTCAATATATGCCAATTTTCTCATGATTTTTCTCATTTTCAAGCGAGTGCAAATGGATTTTCAGGTGGGTGCAAGCCTGTTTTCAAAATCTCAGGTTGGTGCTGTGCCCACTTGCTGACTTGCTTTAATTCTGAAGAGACATTCACATTTTATCACATGATTATGTTAGTACATAAGTGGAATAACAGCATTGATATTATTGATCTTAGTGTTATGATAATACTTTGATGTGATTGGTTATCACATATGAATATTAAATAACCAGTTGATATTGATAATCTCCAAAGTTGTACTCATGTTTATATGGTATTTCTATTTTAGCTTGTTGCCTCTCATGCCATTGAGAAGAACTTACTTCCTCCGAAAAAACTATTTGGGAACTTGTCCGAGGGATTTATCGAGAAAAGACGCAAGGACTTGGAGAGTTACTTGGAAAAGCTTCTACAGAGTTTGGCGCCTCTTCCTCCCCTCTTGGCAAATTTCTTGCACTTCGACAAATATGTAAGATTCTATAAAATAGCATACATGTATGTAAATCATTTTAAAGTGCCCGATAAAGTATAAAATGCGCATGCGTCCAGGTGTTGATAAACTATAAATAGCGAAAATCCAGGGTTTGTCACCACAAGGCAAGCCAGGACGTGTTGAGAGAACAGCTAGTGTTGATATTGAATTTATATGTAGCCAGATAAGTTTCCTTATTGAAATTACATATGGTTATTAGCAATACTTTGTAGGTGCTAAATAATAAATATTTAGAGTATATATGAGAGAAATTGGTCATTTCGAACCTGTTGAAAAGTTTGTGGCTCTCGGCTACACCGGGGAATTTACTTCCATGAGTACACACATAAATGTGGGGTTCCCCAAGAGGTACGCGACAAGGTGACCTGGCATCAAATGTGCGACTAAATTCTACTATTGAGAAGATAAAATAACGAATACGACAATAAGTTATTGCATGTGACAATTCGGAGCCTTCATCTCACTGAAGTATTTTGAAGTGAAAATAGGATTTTTGTTTTGATACATGGATTCAGATGAACGTAACTTTATTCTGACAACTAATCAAAACTAAACATTTTTAATTGTACGTAACAGACAATTTATTGTTTTACAATGTTTTGATTGGCTAAACGAATGAAACCAACAAATTATGACATGTAAAATGACAATTTTGAAATGTAAAATTTAAAAGTGACAAACACAACCTCCCTATCCACTCTTTGGGAGCCCTAGTAAATTAGTAATATGTACATGCAGCAGTGGTAGTGTGCAGCTTATTATCACACTACGCTTTGTATTCTAAAGCCTGTTGTTTGTAATAACACTGTTCACTCAACGTATGTTTTGTGTGTGGGCAGTCAACGATAATCATTGTTTTATCCCGGTTATATGACCTCGGCAATTATAACAAAACCGTACTAAACGAAAAAACGCAAATAAGAGAAAGCTTTCACACACATATAAAAAATGAACTAGTCTAATCCGCCAGTATAAACTCTGTGCTATACGTAGCCGGGTCAGGCGCACACTTTAAGAAATAGAGTATATACATTTTATGACAAATATTTGATAGTTTCATTAAATGAGTTTTCAAGAAAGGTATGATATGGCTAGTGATTTTAGACAGTCATATTTTTGAATACTATGACTCTATTCTATCAATAAATACATTCATCTAAACTTTAGGCTGCTGCCCTCATTTGAATTATCATCCAAGAATCTTGTGCTTTAAATTATTAAAATAATCCACAAATCATTGAAGCCTGGGGCTTTAATATTTTAATCTTTAACTTTAAGGAGATCCATGGAATCACACAGTCTCTTGCTGAGGATCTATACCACAAAGGTAACTTGCAGCTTTTAAACAAATAATAACTGCTCAGATATTCTCATTCAAACTTGTATTCAAAAGTCCAAACTATCTGAGAATTGCCAAAAGTCAAAATGGTTCTCAGATGTGCTATTTATGTTCATGGCTTTCTGGTCATATGTTTGCTTCAACTCCAAATTATTTGCCTAAACATTACAATATGTAGTTCTTTATAAACTGTTTTGTGAGATAGTCTATGTAGTATTTATGCACTGTATAACTGTATAATCTGTAGCTGTGTTATTATCTAGGTGATATGATACTACAGTGTAATGAGCTGTATTATTTGACCCCACTACAACTCTATTCTATAACACATAGACTGAAGCTAGCTGAACCCACATGTGGTATGCATACAAACATTTTCATAAAAAGTCTATATATGGAACATTATTCAAAGTTTTTTGGGAACATGATTTGTTTAAGGATTTCCGAGACACCTTCTGTGTCTCTTTTTGTTGAATACTGAAAATTTGAAAACATGTAAATGTACGTGTGTCTCCATCCAAACAGTTATTGTTTTGTAAAAATGTCATATTTATGTTTGACCAGTCATTAGCAATTAATTATTAATATAATACAGCATTGTTTGATTCTCTATCGTAATATGTGTCAATATGTTTTAGATTCAGGTGATTCTAAGAGGGACTTAGGCCACGCCTTAGACTTTATCACCAGATTGAAATACTTACAAGTAGGTATATAGAGGTTATTGAATGCTCAATTTTTCATACAGGGTATATCTGAGGGAAATGCAATATACCTACCAGAGAGACCACTGGGTTGATATATTGTATTTACCGAGGGATGTACCCTGTATCAAAAATCGAGCATTCAATAACTGATTTATCCCCTCACCTCAGCGGGAGATATATATATCACCCACTCACCTCAGATATCGATTATATTCCCGCATGTTATTTACCTATAACACTACTAAGTATGGGATAAAAACATATAACATACGATGAACTTGAACACATTTAAATCAAGTAACATTTGGTTTTTATGGTCAGTCCTCTTGTTGGTTCAGTTTTGAGTAAGCATGTGTCTTTATGTTTTCTGTATGTGTTATGTATGTGTCTTATTTCTTTTTAAATAACCTTAATATTACAAATTATATTGTAGATCTATGGCAGTGACACTCTTGTGGGGACAAGCAATCTAAACATGAATGACTTACAATATGATATGACACAATTCAAATCCCTCAAGTCATTAGAGGTATGTATAAAAATATGTTTACTGGCAATATGTGGCAATATGGTTGAGCATAGAAGCGAAGAATTGAAAATTGTTCAGCTTTAGGACTATCACACTTTTGGAAATGATATTTTGATGGAATTATATCCAGTACCAAATGGCACTTTATATGTTTCACCCTCTATATGTTTCAGTTTGATGGCAGTAATCCTGGGATGGTCTCAGGACTCGAGAACATAAAGAAATCACTCATCAAACTCTCAGTTCACTCATGCCTCACTAAGGTCAAGGTAAATGGATTACTAATATTCACTTATTACTATACTGTGAAATTTGTATATTCTAGCACCTCTCTTAGTCAAACATCTCTCAATGTGAACACTCGTGTTCAGTCACAATTTTGGGATCTCTCATTGACTCACTCATTGAGAACCCTTGAAATGTGAACACCTGCCAATCTGAGCCCTTTTTGCTGGTCCTAGTTTTGCTCAGATTAGACAGATTTTATTACCAATTACCAAAAATCACATTTTGATTTATGAAATGTACACATGTGACATGTACAGCATACTATAAAATACATTAACCTGTATCCTTTTAATGTCTCATGAAGCAGAATCAGGGGTGTATTTCTTTAATCATGTATAATTCTATGAATTTTCAAGTCTTGTTCTTTACCTATGATGTCATGATTACCATGGTTATTTCAATGAATTTACAAATATCCATCACTGCGAATGCTGAAAGAATGCAACCCAGCTTAATATTTCATCATATTTTTCCAGGACATTCTCCTGCAGGAGTTGATGCCTGTGTGGAGTGCCTCCAGTGATGCAGCAACAGCATCTGGTTGGACAAACCTGGCATTCGCTGACTTCAGTTGTAATGCAATAAGACATCTTGATGAATCAGTGGTGAGTGATCTGCAAATCGGTTTCAGGAACTGTCCTGCATTTAAGCCAGAAAAACCATTAGCTTTTTTACCAGAAGTGGTAAAATATTGTTATAGTCTCCAACTTTTTTGTGGATGGTGTTTGGCAGTTGGTGTCTGTAACAAATGGCAAGTGGTGACATTTTGCATGTTAATACCTTGTTAATCTTGTTACTGAGGTGCATGAAAATAAACTCTCATCTGAGCACTCTTTCTGGTACTAGTATGTAGCAGCACTGTAATCTGTCGTTTTGGAGAGAAAGCATAAAGTTGGACATTTTAGAAACTATAATTCAAAACCAATGATATCCTTTTGTTTGGAATATAACGTAACTTAAGTTTATTTGGCATGGAGCATTCTTAAATAAATGTATTTTACTATTTAACCCAGATTGTTCTGAACCAGTTGCCATATAAAACCCAAGACGTGTATATGTATTCCATTCATTGTGATATTATTGCAGAAATTGATGCCTAAAGTTGGTCACTTAGACTTGAGCCACAATGTGTTAGAGAGAGTTGACCACTTGAACTACTTGATCAACCTTACATACCTTGATCTCTCATATAACAAACTCACAACTCTTGACTCACTGCATACAAAACTGGGCAATGTGAAGACACTAAACCTGGCTGGCAATAAACTAGAGAGTCTAGCTGGTGAGTTTTTGATGATCCAGGTTGACATTTAAGAAACAACTTCTTTGAGTAGAATTTGGGATTTTAGCACACTAATATAATTCAGAAGCAATGTTTCAATTTACTTACAATCTCAATTAAACTGATATTTTATCGGAACAACTTTGAAATGTTCACACTTTTTGGTACGAATCAGCTTTGTTTAGGTATTGACCGGGTCCCTGATTTGCAGCGTCTTGTCATTGTTTGTATTTTCACTTTTAGGGCTGTCAAAGTTGTATTCACTTGAAAACCTGAACATTAGTGAGAATGAAATATCTCAGGTAAGATTGTATCATATGTTGTATTTTATTTGGTCATATGTTGTTTTCTGTTTTATTCATATGTCGTATTGTATTCTGTCATATGGTGTATTGATTGTATTCTGTCAAAAATGATTGGATTAATAATTTATGACTACAACAGGTTTTTATCTTTTCCTTTTAGCATAATCCCATATAATTTTAGATCCTAGAAGTGAAGCACCTGGCCAACCTGCCTTGCCTTGAGGCTGTTAACCTTGACAAGAATCCTGTCACAATTGTCTTGGAATACAGAGTCAAAGTGCTTGAGTTTTTCCAAGAGAGAGCACCAGAGGTTAGTGATTCAAGGAAATAGTACAACTGCACTGTAGAGCTTATGGGCTAACAATAGAAATAGGTCACATGCAATCAATGAGAAATTTATAGAAATAAATTATTCAGCATTATGTAGTATTTGGGTGACTTTCATCATGTCGCTGTTCTTACATTGGGTCGGTAGGTTCTTGCAGATTTTTTGTTTTTATTTATAAATTTATTTCAATGGCTGTACTATACTAGCCATGTCTTTATATATATTAAAATGACATATGATATAAATAATACAAATAGATCAAAGATACAATATAAAATACAAAACACTTCTTGTAGATCAGAGAGAGTTTGATGTGTATGCTTCTTTCGTTGGTTATTTTAGATTCTCCTCGATGGTGAGAAGGCCAATCAGAGAGAGCTTGACACTGTAGCTGTTCTTGTAGCAATCCAAAAGGGAAAGAAAGCAAAAGAGAAAATCAAAAAGCAATTAACAAGAAAGGTACCATTATATTTGATGCATATGAACTTAAATGTTTACAGTAAATAAACGATGAAATATGTTATGTCCTTATTAGTCCCTGTATTACATCCATGCTTCACCAAAATATTCTTACACATGCTCAAGTATCTCTCACTTTTCACTGATTCCCACCCATACTTGCCCCTTCCGTACTGTACATCAAAAATATCTATCCATGTTGTACATGTACAATACGCTGCACATATGTATTACATGCTGTACAGTATACACACTGTAGATGTATAGCTGTATTACTTGGTGTTACACATTGTAGATGTATAGCTGTATTACATTCTGTACAGTATAACACACTGTAGATGTACAGCTGTATTATATGCTGCACATGCATTATTAGGAGGCCCTCCTGAAAGGGCCTCCTATAGCTTTTGTAGCTTTTCTTCTTCTTATTATTATTCTATCAAAGCAGTTTTCTCCTACTTTCAACTAGCTTTCAACTTTCTACTATATGCTCCTACTAGATACCTGGTTTGATCTTGATGGGAAAATATTTCATATCTAGGTCAAGGTCAAAGGTCAAAATCTAGGTCAAATCTAAGTTTTTTTTCAAGTTTCTCAAGTTTGTCCTTATACTTCAGTATTTCTTGCGATGAATTAAACTGAAACTACATTTAAGTATTCTCTACAAATTGTTCACTATATGTCAGCATTAAATTTTTACCGTTTTTGAGATATTTGACGTCAAAAAACGGTCAAAAAAGGTCATTTTTGAACATGCTTCAATCTGACCAAATTTTTTTTTAAAAATCATCTACAAGTTCCCAGGAGTCCAAATCTGACCTCAGATTTGACCTTTGACCCTTAGTTGACCTTCAGTGACCTTCGAAAGGTCAGAAAAGTTGATTTTTCAAATTGAGTCTTTGGATTCAAATTTAGGTCAGTCTAATTACAAAAAGCCTACTGAGGTCTAAAAAAGTAAAAATTTCAAGGTCAAAGGTCAAGGTCATCAAATTAGGTCACAAACTGTGCTATCTAAGTTTCTTATAGTTCAAGACTAAAAATCAATATTTTTAATTGAAAGTCAAGATATATATTCCTCTAAGGGTTCTACACATATTAGCAATTGACTATTTATTAAAATTTTGTCCCAGTTTTGAGATATAAGAGCTCAAAAACTGAAAAAGGTCAATTTTTCAGAGTTTATAAGGTCAAATTTTAACTTAATTCAAATTCACCCAATTTATTTTGAAAATCATCTACAACTTCTCAGGAGTTCATATTTAACGACAGATTTGACATTTGACCTTTAGTTGACCTTCAGTGACCTTCGAAAGGTCAGAGAAGTTGATTTTTCAAATCGAGTTTTTGGATTCAAATTTAGAGTTAGCCTAAGCATAAAAGACCTACTGAGCTCTAAAACAGTTATATTTTCAAGGTCAAGGGTCACGGTTATCAAATTAGGTCAAAGGTCAAAACCTAGGTCAAATCTAATATTTTTTTAAGTTTCTCAACTTTGTCCTTATACTTCATTATTTCTTGTGATGAATTAAACTGAAACTACATTTTAGTATTTTCTACAAATTGTTCACTAGATGTCAGCATCAAATTTTTACCGTTTTTGAGATATTTGACGTCAAAAAACGGTCGAAAAATGAAATGACATTGCTTCAATCTGACCAATTTTTTTAAAAAAAATCATCTACAAGTTCCAATGAGTCCAAAGCTGACCTCAGATTTGAGCTTTGACCTTTAGTTGACCTTCAATGACCTTTGAAAGGTAAGAAAAGTTGATTTTTCAAATTGAGTCTTTGGATTCAAATTTAGGTCAGCCTAATTACAAAAGACCTACTGAGGTCTAAAAAAGTAAAACTTTTCAAGGTCAAAGGTCAAGATCATGAAATTAGGTCACAAACTGTGCTATCTAAGTTTCGCAAAGTTCGAGACTACAAAGCAATATTTTTAATCCGAAGTTGAAATATACACATTCCTCTAAGGGTTCTACACATATTAGCAATTGACTATCTAATAGAATTTTGTCCCAGTTTGAGATATAAGAGTTCAAAATTTGAAAAAAGGTCAATTTCGAAATTTTCCAAGGTCAAATTTAAACTCGCTTCAAATTGACAAAATCTTTTTTTGAAAATCATCTACAAGTTCTCAGGAGTTCACATCTGACCTCAGATTTGATATTTGTCCTTTAGTTGACCTTCAAATTGTCAAAAATGCCTAAGAGGGCCTCCGTGAGATTGCTTGCAATCTTCAAAAGTCTAGTTATAAGCTCCTTGCTTTGCTTCCTGCAGCCCACGGTTGAAGCTGACATCAACGAAACTTCAAACGAGGCCAGCAACATCCAGCAAGCAGATCAGATGCATCCACAAGGTAACTAAAACCCAAGCACATCTACATCTGTAGTTAACTTCACTTATTTTAGTTAAGAAGCTCTATCAATAATGCAATATGATCAAACTGTCAAATGCATAGCATGGAAGGGTTATATGTATTCGTTTTTTATCCATTGTATGTATTTTCATTGCAGAGTCAAGTGTGAGTGAGAGTGAGGGTTTGAGTAATGATCCTGAGGAGTTTCGGCATCAGGTAGAGTCCATTCGCAGACAGGGGGGAGAGGCTTGGCTTCATTTATTAAACAGACTAACCACCCCTAATAGCAGCTCTAGTTCTGTGAGTAACAAGTTCAATATAGAATAACCTAATTGTGCAGTTTTAATGCTTTGCCTAAATATTGAAATATGTCTTGGTCAATGTAAAGGGTGAACCAAAAACAGAATGGCCCAAAGTGTAGCAATCAACCAACTTTTAATGTAAACATGAAATAAAATCCATAAATGTATCATTCAACAGATATTTGAGTAAATATATATATTTTTATTTATTTTTTCATATTTTTTTTTATTTCAAAGAATAAGCATGTTAAAGCAATTGCAAAAAACAATTACAATACAGTTACATGGTAAACATACATTTTACAATACAGTATTGGTTAAGCGTTATTCTTTAAGAAATGTTATAACATTGGCAATCTTTTTTATTTAAAGGAAAAATATTTTTGGTACTTTTGTTTTTTGTCCTTTGAAGATACTCATTTAGAAGTGCAACCTCAAAAAGTGCCAAAAATATATATGGTCTTTAAGTCAGACTTTAACTGTGGACCTACCTCTTTATTTTATCTTCTCTTTTACAATTTTAGCATCCTCAGCAGGGTAAGACCAAGTCCAGCTTCTATGTGGGGGCAGGGGGAGCAGAGGGTGGGGTGCCTAGCTATGAACAACCCACTGCCATCACAATGACCCACCCGCCTTCACATCCTGCTAGTCATACGGCCCACCCATCTGGTCAAACATCTAGAGATGAGCCAACACAAACTGAATCTCAAAGGTAAAGTTTGAAATGTATTCTTGCAGTTTTTTCGTGAATTAAAAAAACACTAACAAACAATTAGAAATTTGCAATATAATCTGGAATGCTATTAAACTGTTTTGTTAATGAATTCTTGTCATACCAGCTATGATGTATGAATAAATCTAATGGGCATTATTCCAATTTTGTAACAAAAATAATGTGCTGTTTAGTAATGGCTAGATATTGTTTTTCAGTCCTGAATCTCCATTGCCAAAGCCTGCTGGTCGCCTCTCTCTGCTATCTGCGGATCTACCTAATATAACAAGTACAGATTTTGTGGAACATATTCAGGATCTTGTACATAAAGTCACACCACCAACAGATCACTCCAGTTTTGATGAGCACTTCAATGAGGAGAAACCTCATCACATTTTATGGTGCCCTTGTATTCAATATTGTAACCCCCAAAGAGAACGCTCCACATGTATTGTAGTGACTAATGAAAACATTCACATATTTGAGACTGTTGCAACAGAGAAGCCAAGTTCACATGGCTTCCCTGTGTTAAAACATTTTTATAAAATGGGATTGATTAACATTCAAGAGATGATTGTGGGTTATAGATGGCTATATGTGAGACTAGAAGAGTCATTTCTAGGCATGGAGGGTACCTTTACCCTCATGACATCTAACCCTGCAAGGACTGAATCATTCATAAGTGCAATAAACACTGTATATAAACTGAAGTCAAAGGAGCAACAGAGAGTTATCCCGCCACCTGATGTCGTATACTGCAAGGCTGGGACAGATGAAGTCCTAAAGAGAAGCCTTAATGAAATAGAAGGTCTCTCTGACCTTAGCAAGATAGAGGTTAAGTTGTACATGCATGTTAATGCTGCAGTAGGAGGTAGCTTTGATTACCCCACTAGGGCCTTGTTACTGACATCTAACCATCTGTATCTCATCAGGGAGGATTTTGTTCACCACCCTAGACCCCAATTTGAGTTGGATGCCCCAAGTAATGCCCAATTCCAGATCCTTTGTTGCTATCCCATATCTAGTCGTATCTCTGGTATAGACCTCTATGATTGTGCTACCATTGTGACGCCAACATTGTTGTCTAAGAAACAGAGAGCTAAACAAGCTAAATGCCACCTGGCCTATGGTGTGAAGTTGACATTTGATAGTGCTACATCGATTGAGCACCGTCAGCCAAGCAGTGTATTGGACATAAGAGTGCAGACCTCAGAGCTAAGAGACACATTTCTTGGTAGTCTGACTGAGGCAAGAGCACAAATAGCTAACAGCTCCCCTAAGCTAAACCCAACTAGGACACGCCATGTTGAGATATCAGACACTGTCACTGAGATTGCAGATACAGTGCAGACAGTTAAAATCAGCCATCAAGACAATGTTGACACACCAAGTGCAATAGAATGTACAACTCCATTGAAGAATGATGACGATGTAAATGACAATCAAAATGATAAAACAAGTCAACCCCAAGCTGAATCTGAAGTGGCTAGAGATGAGAAAGGAGCAACAGGAGGTGTCTCACCTGACACCACATCAGCCGAGAGCTATGAGACCGCCTCATCTGAGGTGACCTCCACCCCTCCTTTACGTCCTTTCTACCTTGACTTAGAAGGAGGTTACCCTGATAAGGAATTAACAGACCACATAGCTATGTGCATCACTAACATGCCCACTCTCAAGCCAATATCTGATCAACTTGCAGCTCTCAGTACTATGAAGTCGTATCAGGTGTTCGATTATTTCCATAAAAATGTCGCACAGATTGGTGTTGACTATGAAGAGCTAAGACACGTCATGTGGAGCTCTGTTACACCTTTTGTATCTCCAACACAGGAGATCTATTCCCTGGTTATGCTGAGCACGAAAGCTGTGTACTTCATCTCAGATGTCCATGTGCAGAAAAAGGAAGGATCTCAACCTTGGAAGTCTCACTCTAGGCACCAGTCAGATTCCTTTGTGAGTAAACCCAAGAAGAAGCAGCAACTCTCTGGCCCTGTTGACATACATAGCAGTGGCTCTGGGGCCAGCCCTGGTATCATACACAAGGGATCCCACAGACTGGTGAGACCATATATGGTGCTGTTACTCACTGATCTAAAACAAGTACATGTAGGAATGTTTGACCAGAGCTTTAGGCTGTCTGGTATGAAACCCGAGACTGTATTTGCTTGCCTACCCAGAGACTTCACCCAGACTGAGTTGTTTGTGAAACAGTTGATGTCATCGCTGTCAATGCGGCTGCCCTCCCCTGGGTCTGATATCACAAGTAGTGACTCTGAACCAGACTTGTATAAGGAGTTCCAGAGCAGTAGATCGGACAGCATGGTGGAGTATATACACCCCAGTAAGGTGAAGTTTATTTACCCCAGTGAGGAGACCATATCTGAGCTGACATTCCTTATCACCGAGGGTATAAGGGGTAAGAAACCCAAGCTTGGCGACCTAAATATTCTCTCATATTGTCTCCTGTTTCAGTCCCACAACTCTGATGTCCTTGATGGTGATTTCTCCTCCATTGAACCCCGTACTTTGATCATTACCAATAATCACCTAACTCTAGCCATAGAAGACCACGTTAACTACCCTCTGCCAGATTTCGCAAAAGAGCTCCCTGTGACCCCACATCTAAAGGTATTGGATATTCGAAGCTTTGAATTCTTGAAACGTATCGTAGTGAGTGACTTCAAGTCGCATGATTTAGTGTTTATATTTAGCGATGAGTCTGAGGAAATGGTGGTAGATGCGTCACTGGAGTACTACAGACAGAGGGGAGAGGGTCTGGGGAGGGTGCCCAGTGTAGGGGAAATGTCATGGCTGCTTGTTATAAAGAGTCTACGTGACAAGGAGAAACTATTGAAGTGTGTTGCCAGACAGTGGAGTGAAATGAACAATGGAGAGGAGCTATCAGTTCAAGTCAGTGCCTAGTCGAATTTACATATTGAGGGCATTTTTCGGCGGTCGATGGTCTGCAGTCGGCGTATGTATCAAATGACATGTCGTCTCTTTGTCACTGAACAGACACTATTTGAACGTATAAAATATCTGGATTTGTCAGTTTTCTCAAGTGACGTAGCATGGTGAATGTTCATCTTTTTTGGCACTGGACTTACAAATCAAGAAGTCGCAGTCCATCACGTTTGACTTCGATATCATCAATCACCACGTGATTATCAGCTGAGTGGTTTGTATAGTTGATAGATCTCATACAATCATACATGTACAATATACACACATATGTGCATGTACATGTATATGTATATGATTGTGGAAATAAGAATTGTGTGTCTATTAAATGAATTAATCGCATTATGAACGTAGACACTGTTGTATTTTATATTAAGCAATTTGTATATCTTTGTATTCTGTGCAATTATTATGTGTACATGTCATGTTTATATACTGTATGTGTAACTATTAGGACCCACGTGTTAATGGGCATATATCTTTACATTAAAGATATATACATAATATTTTGAATGAAATTTTACTGTATATTGTGAAAGTACTTGGGCCGCTGAAATGCTTAGAGAATACTTGGAATCCAATAAGGAATGCTTATACCTACATGTGCATGATGTACATTGTATTCTAATTAAGGCCTATTGAATTAAAAAGAAACTTATACTATCCAACGTTTGTGTTTCTATCTTAATAAGTTCTGAGAAAATAATATATCGCATATTTGATTCTAATTTTCAAACCTACTAGTACTTTCACACCAAACACGCTCTCACTACATTCTCGAAAAGGTCTTAAACTGTCTTAGAACGGATTGGACATACTCAGGCCTCCTCGGCTTCCAACAACGCGAAAATCAGTTCTGAGCTCGCGAATTACGTTCCTTGCGCTCGAACCACGATTATCACGTCTCGAACGGGAAATCTTTAGTCGAGCACCACCATTTCCTCGTTCCCGTTACTTAGAACCGTTTGGTGTATACAAATTTCATGAACGTAATCAAACGTGTAGGTCCTACAGAACTTAGGGCATGCTCAAAATTTGCTGCGTCCACACCGATATGGTACTACATGAACGAACTGCGAATGAGATGGGCGTATTGAAGACTGTTTATGAACGAAGTAGCTAATTATTTTTAACATATTTTCCGACCACAGTCAGATTTTCCCGGTTTTACGACTTATTATTAGAACTGGAAAAACGATTGAGAACTAGTTAAGTGTGACAGGGGAGAGGGAGGTAAGACTCGGGCATCACTTTACATAACATCATCTGATTACTGTACATGTTTGCGCCAAAAATGTATTACACGCCCCCTAAGCTACGCAAATGTGACCTGAAACAAACTGGTCAGACAGTGTGGTATGATAATTGTAGGTTATACATTCAAAGTGTAGTGAAATGAAGTTTATCTATATATTCATAATATCCTTTATAGTTAGTGTGCCCTCCTCCAGCAGCCTTTTTTGCATCAAAATGAGAAGGATTTGACCTAAAAAAAATATGTTAAAAAGCTATTTTTTGCATTACACTTGTTACAAAAGAGTTTTCGCCACTATCCTTGCCCATCTATTTATCGACACATCTAACACTATCTAGACATTGGTTGAATTAACAGCTATACACATATGTCATCTGGGGCTCCTTTGACTTTTCTGATGCCCGATTCTTAAAATCCTGCCAAATACGTCAAATTCCCATGTTTCTAGGTCTATGGGTCACCTCAATTGATACAATGTAGCAATTTATGACATTGATTGACAGGTAACAGCTATATGCCAATCAACGTAACTTTGAACAATCTTTCCAATGATATATCACACTTGATACCATATATCTTGGTTTTGGCTGTAGAGGGGGGTGGGGCGGGACTTATTTGACACCCTGTATTTATTATCACGGCATGCACCGATTATTCGTGGCTATTGAACGAACACAGGTTCATGTAAGGTTCATGAGGAAATTCAAATCAAATTAGATGTTTGTATCGAAGATGGAGCCTAGTTTTTACACATTCCTCCACTTGCAAATCCATGATAACATCGTAGACGAACTCCCATGCAGTGTCTCGGTATAGACACTGCGGCGGGCAGACGAAGAAAATCCCCAAAATTTGGGGAAAATAGTTCCCTTTTTCATCATATATGTGGTCAATTTTCACACAACTTATAAAATATGTATTCATAAATGTTCCCCAACCATTATTTTGTCAAAATATTTCAAAATTATTGAAATATGAGAGGAAATCACCGCGGAAGGAATTCTGAGTAAAAGTTGTGTTGATAATAGTTTACCGCACGTGTTGTTTATCAGTTAATACGCGCAATTCAACCAATGAATTTGTCTAAATTTAACAATCACGCGACCTGAGCATGGGACTAGAACCAATCACGTCAGTTGTTTATTAGAAGTTACCATGCTTACGGTGAGATACCTGCCCGCCGCAGTGATATTATCACTGCACGGGAGTTCGCATCGTAGAAAGTGATTACGATGGTGGTTTTCACACGTTAATCCTCTCCTCCTAAAATTCACCTCAGATTTCGATTACTTCGGATGTTGGACAGTTGTATACTCTTTACTTGGCAAAAATGCATTGATCACCCATCTGAGCGTAAACGTTTTAAACTTTGTATAACCTATGCCGATATTTTTATATCGATAACAGGCCCGTAGCCAGGATTTGCCAAGGGGCCCTGGCTACGGGCCTAGATAATAAAACTTGTTTGACCGTATCTGGCCAAAAAACAATAAGCTGGGCCTCGCCCAGGACCCAACAAACTGGTTTATTATAAAACCACGACAGACTTGAATATTGGCATACGTTGCGACGACAACAACGCTATTGCTGTGGAGATATTCTGAGAGACATAGCAGCCAGATTCTGACAAAGGTAAGCATAAGTGGTGTTGCAGTGATGAAACCGATGTCACTGACATGGTGGAACTAAGACTAGAGACGGGATAATGAGAGTTACTTATAGTACGTCGTAGCCAGGATCTGTATTTAGCCCGCCAGTCGAATCTTTGAATAGTTGAGGCAAGAATTGAGTTGAGGCAAAAGAACACTATACTCTACCTAGTACTGTCAATTTGACTTTATTTTCACGGCTTTTATGAAAATGTCGTCAGACTGATATCTCGCCTGCCTCATTCCTGGCTTCACACATTTCACACAAACCTTTGAATGGTGCATCTTGAACATATAAAATTGTCTTATGACTTTTACATTATTGTAGTTTTAGTAAGCAAGTAGAAGTATTGATAAATGCTGATTTTCTGTAAAGTATAATAGGAGGAGGTTGTGGTAAACCTGTACAAGGGCCGCAATACTCGGGAATTTATAAGTTCGTGCATTACTCTGCATTACTCATTGATCTTATGTCTCAGTTTAAGAAAGGAACAATCCACTTGTGATATTTTTTACATACGAAACATGAGTTCAGTGATTAAATCCTTAAATAATAAAATTTTAAAGCCGGTTGCCAGATTTCGCCATAATTAAGTGTGAACGTTTTTTGATTTATACCATATATTTTTCAGATGCAGTCAACCACGCTGATTTTCCTCGGAGTTGCAGTTGTGCTTCTTGGTACTGTACAAAGGGGGTCAGCCACCAACCAGGCTCTGAGACTTAGACTTATCGAGGCTCTTTTGAAAAGGTATGATGAATGCAATTGTGTTAAAGGTATGTAAAATGTACGTGCCCAAATGATACAACAATTTTAAAGGAAGAGATAGGATTGTTAAAGTGTTATTCACCCATAACTGGGCACGATGCATCAAATTCAAGCCAATCAAAACACAGTATTTCAAACAAAATGCATAAAGTGCATGGTTATTTTAGATTCAGCGGGATTGTTTACCCTCATCAACTTCATAATTTTTAGCTGAATATTTTCATGTTTCAAGTTTTGCAAAAAATCATCCTTTTAAGTTGAAATATAAAATCTTTTGCAATGTGTGAAAAGAATTGAAGCCATAACTTAATGAATTGCGAATGATTTACTGCATTCATATCTTGTATCCTCGACTTCGGATTCGGGCTGCCGTCCTCATTCAAGGCCTGAAACAAGACAAGACATACATGTGGTTCAAATCCTGGGTTTAGCTTCTTTTATAGCCAAGCTTACATGTTCAATAACGCACCATTCAAAAGTTTGCTTGAGACCCCGCTCAGGAAAGGTCGGTCACGCAGTATTGTCCCACGTGATGTGATTTTTGCATCGTACTTCCTCTCGGGAGTTTGAAAAGCATATTCCAAGAAATCGGAGTATGACTTTATTCTACAAGCTATTATTAGTCCACGGTTGACGAAACCTTTGATTGGTGCCTAACAATTTTCAGATTCACATTGGACGACCCAAAAGACTTCAACACTGAACATTTGAACATTGATATAAGCGGCGTCAATGAAGGACTTATTCTATACAAGTGCTTTGGAACAAATTCTGCCGGTAGCATCAGCAGGTAGTTTTTAATCAAGTAACTAATGTTAGTACATTCTTACTCAAATTAATTACTTATTACTCCCTTCTCTTATATGATTGTATTGTCCTTTAGCGGAAATCGTTCTGTATGTCTTGATACAAACCTCAAATACAGCAGGACAAAAAGCAAAGGTCTGCAGCTGTTATACACATTGATATTGTAAAATAATATAGCTAAAAATGAAGGGCTATTATTAAAAAATATTTTGCAACTCTTCAATTCTTCAGCAAATACAACGAAGTGGATGAAGACAACGACGGGGTCGTAGATTTGAAGGAATTCGTGAACGGAATGAAGAAGTACAGATGTAATGCAAACGGCGCTGAATTGTTTCGTATCTATGATGCAGATAATAGCGACTTTTTGGACTCTGAGGAATTCCGCATCGCTTTACGGGTATAGTTTTTAAGACATCTTGTCAGCATCATAACGCTGTTTTTCGAACCAGAGCATGTATTCGCGAATGCAAATAACGTCTACCGGGTTGATTTTATTAGTTTATGAAAATTAATAGGTTTATCACGTAGCCGACAGGGCCGAAAAGTTGCATTCGCGAATACAAGCTGAGTGAACATTTTAAGTTGTTGGGTTGACCTCGTGTTTTGGCAAAATACCCAATTGGCGAACAAAAAGCATATCAAAACTGTAATTAGTTTTGCTAAATCTTTACAACTGTAAATTTAAGTAGTCTCTTTTCTCTTCTATTTTTATTCGAATGTAAATAAATGGCAAATAAATGGTACCATGGGTACTAGGCTCGCGTGTTTAGAAGGTTTATATTTTAGAAATGAACGATTACGATAGTTCTTACCACGTGAGCAAAATCACACCCCATTCTCTTATGGGGTGTGATGTATCTCTCATATTCTCTTTCTCTTACACGTCGTAGCATCGGAAGTGACGACGTTATACCTAGTATTTTCCGCGGGAGATTTGTAAGTATTCATCTATTTCTCCGTTTTGACAGAATATTGTGCATTCCCTTTCGTGAGAACATTAACCATACCATGCAGATATTCCTGTAGTATCTTTACGTTTCGACTTTTCGTCTGAATACGATCTAAAACTTCTTAAACCTTCTAGAAAGCACGACAATTTCTTGAAAAACAATAATAATTTTTCACGAAAATCTACAATTTTAGCCCTACATCTTGAAATATTGATATAAGATTAACAATACATTTTTTACATATCATCCAAACACTTCAATTTCCCAAATTCATGAAAGAATTCCGTTGAAATTACTTTTTTTGAAAGTATACGACGTATAAAAAGGAGTACGACGTTCAGGGAATTAAGAATCTACAATGAAATGTCGTATACCTCCTTTACCTCCGTATACTTTCAAAGAAAAATTAATTTCTCGGAATTCATTCATTGATTTGGGAAACTGAAGTGTCTGGATGATGCATAACAATGTATTGTTAATCTTATCAATGTTTCAAGATGATAGAGTCAGAATTATAGAAACTATGATGATTTTTGTGAACAGTGATCACATTTTCATAAATATTGTCGAGCTTTCTAGAAGGTCTGAGAGGTTTTATACCGTGTTCAGACGAAATATTAAGACGTAGTAATACTAGAGGAATATCTGTATGGTATGGTCAATGTTTCTCCGAAAAGGAAAGAACCATATTCTGTCGAAACAAATAAGTACTTACAAATCTCCCGCCGAAAATACTTGAAAACGTCGTAAACTTTCGGTGCAACGCGTAAACTTTCGGTGCTACGACGTATAAGAGAATGGGGTGTGAAAATTAGCTTGATACTAGTCGCAGTGACAGATAGTTGTGGGGCCAACAGAAACTTATTTATGACTAAGACTATCATATTATGTTAGTGTCAGTTTATGAGTACAATTTAAATTCCTAATATATCGTTCGCATTCCAAACAACATAATACAAATTTCAGCAACCATGGTCTGATTTTAAAAAGAAAGCCGTCATGCATAAATTCCTAACGGCAGACAAGAACTCTGATGGCGTATTCGCAGCTGATGACGCCGTCATGAAAACAATGCAGTCAGTCATGAATCTTGTTGTACGGATTGACGCCAACAAAGATGGGAAAGTAGGCTACGTATTTTTGATTATTATAGTAGCCCGGACAGAATTATTTGAGGGTCACTTTTTTTCAATTATTTATTTAATTTTTAGTATTATCATAACCCAATAACATATTTGAAAACTAGAGTAAAATTCTGACATACAAAAAATATTCAAGGAAAATTCGAATGTAAAAGTTAAAAGTTAATATTTAAGAAATATCATAGACCTATGAAATCATGTAGACTGCTGCTTTGGTATGAGGTAATAGCTGCATTTTTGGTCATGAGCCTTTGGAGGGACTTATTTTATTTGATGATTGATCAGTTGCTGTACATAAGGATCGTGAGAGTGGCAGCATGACCCTATAGGGCTATGAGACTTCTTAAATATTAACTTTCAAGTGGAGATGTTCCTAAATTTTTTTGTACGTCAGATTTTTACTCTAGTTTTCAAATATGTTATTGATTTTTGATAATACTGAAAATTTAAAAAGTTATTGAAGTGACCCTTGAACAATTCAGTCCGGGCTACTATGTATTACTTTTGTATCATTTGTAAGATAAGTCCCTCTGGTTGGTCAGTTCTTGTTCTGTACCAATCTGTATTGCAACTAAAATTGTCCCCTCTGTACCAATATTTTCTGTATTGTATATCATTCATGAAATAAAAGTTTTTAAATTGAATTAATGGTTTCAGAGCAAGGCAGACTATTTCCTAGGGATTATATCCTAAGTAAAATGTGATGGTCTGAGATCACACGATAAAAACGTTATAGAATGATTTGAAGTGCAATGCAGGAAACATTGTGTTTTCGATATTCTGTATCGCCACTCGACTATGTCTCGTGCCAATACAAAATTTCTCGAGCACAATATATCCTGTATTGCACTTCAAATCATTTTATAACTTTTATTGTCTAATTAGCTATTCTAAATGGGGAGATTATCTGAAATGTTGCAAAATCACCCAGGGGCTAGATGATTGCATAAATTTGATTGTGGCAAAAAATACTCATACTAAAAGTATAGACATTGACATATATAGACGCGTTACTATAGCAACCTCAAAACTCTTAATAGTCAGAATTAGATACTGGAATTTTGGGTCATAATTTGTAAATAATACAGTCACCTTACTTTTGGATCACCCCTTGTGTATCTCTCACGTGACTAGCTCCTTGATAAATGGATGGCTGACATTGACTGTATGCATTCTAAATTCGTGTTGACGGATTTCAAAGTAGGTTTATTTTTTCTTTCAGGTTAGCCTCCAAGAGTTTGTAGACTACTGGTCGAGAAAACTTGGTGATGTCGAAAACGACAACACATTTTCGATTAAACTACAAAATGCTTTCGCAATCTAGATGGGCAGTTTTGGACATCATTATCAGTATTATTTAAACCATCATCAAAATTGATAAAAGAAAAAAACTTTGTACCGTAGGTGTTTGAAATAATAAAGTAAATGCTCACGTCTACTTGAATCTATAACAAGACGCACAATATTTTTATAGTTTAATACAAACAAGGAAATTCTATTTATAAATTCTATTTTTAGATCTAGATCTTGTAAAACATTCTCGGACTTATTTGGCAAATTAATACGTGTTACATTTGTATTTATTCTGAAATAAATATGAATTGAAGCCCAACTTCACGTTGTTTGTTGCTGATTAAGGTAGGAAGTGCATGACAAACTTTAACTGAGTTGTAATGCCATGTTGCGATTGGTGGCTAATAATGCATTTTATTTAAGGTTCTGACTCTGCACAATCAACAGACTTTGGTAAAAGCTTTATTCCATTTGGAAAGCGGCATGACATTGGGAATTCATATGGGGTATGCACCTCTCATAGTTTCTAAATTGCAATACTTAGATAACCATGCTTGCAACGTTTTTCAAGCTCTAAGAGGGTTTGATAGAATGTCCACTTGAGCCAGCCGCTACTTTTTGCCTTTTTAGAGAACGTTTCTGGTGCTGTTTAGAATCGACTGAGGTGAGAAATATGATCGTAGCTAGCGCCATTCTTTTTTGTGTTTTGAAATATTACGTGGTCTCTTATTGTATGCGCGAAAGACCAGAACAAGGAGATGGTCTTGGTACTAGATAAGTAAGAAATGGGGTTCTTAAAAGAGGGCACTGGACTTGATTTTAGCTAGGATGAATCCTAGATTTCAGAACATTTTGTTGGCTCTAAGAGCTGCAGTCACACCAAACTAGTTCTTACTACTTGAAACCAAAGCATAAACAAACGCGTAATTCACCAAAACACTAAACACCACCACTACTCATATTCATATTACCAATGTTGAGGATTGCAGTCATAAAATATTTCAAAACTCACGTTTCTTGGGTTATATCCATTGTTTTCATGCTTGTGTTATCAGAAAGATGTCATGAGTAACAGAATGAGAATGTTTCAGTGACCTCCTTTAATTTTTTTGCAGAATAGTACATGCGTCTATCAACTAACTCGATGAACAAATGCTTATTACTGTATTATGAACTTAACATTTTTAAATAAAAGTTATTATTCAAAATAGATAAAACATACGAACATTTATTATAGACTATTACACATACATACAAAAGTACAGAAAACAGACACTCAACCGTGTATTTGTGATAAAATATTACGTATATTATGTATATTACCTTTCACTTGTAAATTGTTCTACATCACTTAAGAAATCTTTGAGAAATATATCCCCTGACTACTTGACCCATTTTTTTTATTAAATTTTACCTTTACTTAGCATAGGGATACCTCGGATTAATACGTCTTATTTCATCATCCTAGAACCAATTTAATCCACATGGCTTCATGTAACTAATAGGTCATCTTCAGGATCGTGGTATAGTAAGGTTACGTCGCCATTTGCCCAATGGAAAAGTATAACGCGTCGTTTCGTTAGGTTCATTACATACTGTACTTATGTGATGCAACAAGATGATCCGTAATACAAAGCACTTTCCACGGAGAATTTTTAACGTGAGATACAATGTGAGGGGATGACGATAAGTGCCTAGTATTATTTGGAGTTACGATACCATCACATTCCTATATGGCAATAATGATAACTTTTATATACCACTGTGCAATATTTGCTGATTTATGAGTTTTATCCCATGTTCGCTTTTTAAATTATTAAGGGCAAGTTATATATCGCCATTCACACTGAGACTGGGGAGGGTTCCAGAAATATACAAGGGCGAGTTGAAAATGAATTAAACGGATTTACAGAAAAAGTATGAAAGTTGTATTTATAAAAAAAGGAAAGAGCAGATATGAACTAAATGTCATTAAAATTAGGGAGCATAAAGTTTGGACATGTCTAATCTGTTCAGATAAGTAAAATTTCAAATGAAACAATTCAAGTGTTCATCCCATACCAGACATCTCTAGCTGAGCCAATTCTGTGGACGTTGCGTTAGACTGTACTACATAAAGGATCTCTTTTTAGTGCATGCTACATACACTGCATGCTAACAGTGAGATGATCAACCGCATTAAATACATTTCTCCAAGCAACATAAATATAAAGTACTATTGACAATTAGTAAAACAATGGAAGTATTTGATATAAGATCAATTTTTGGTTATTAGCTCTTGTGGCCAAGACGGCAAGCGGCAATAATAAACACTGCTACCTTCAAGTATGATTTAAAAAAAATCATATTGATTTCTGTGTTTATATAAGATTGAAATAATAACAGCAATTGAAGTTTCACTTAAGTTTGCTTCTTCAGCTGGAAATGGCAGCCTTTGGTCAACATTCTTTTGTTGAAGGAATTGATTCTTGTACAATTCTAAATTATTGCACTTCTCTATACATGAGCAGGATAAACTGAATGCATTTACATTTAGTAATGGCAAAGGGCATATTGATTTAGAGAAAGGGGTTTTGAAAAGGATTATTGAGTGGCCTTGTTTACCCTGCGTGCAGAGTCTAGTTAAACTACAGACGAAGCTTTCTTTTAAGAAGTGAAGTCAAACGAATGCAAAGGGTAGGCCTTGTTGTACCTGGTCACTCTTCAAACACGCTATTTTTTATTAGATCATAGATTTATATTTTGACGATGGTCGCCAGCATTGCATTAATACTGTGTTACACTAACTTGCTGATCCATTCTTCAAGTGGCCTTGTTAGTCAGGCGCAAGTGCATACTAGAGAGGTTAAGTTTCGAAGAATGTTTATGTAAAACGCCTAAAATCACGGTACCATTTGGACTATTTTCACCTCACTGGTGTGAGGAGAAAAGTTAAAATATGGTCCACACCAATTAAGAGATGGACAAAAGAATTCCAGGGGGGGGCATATTGTTTTGCATGTTTACGTTCAAGTTCTCCCAAAGCTTGTCCCCTCAGTTATTATTATAATCATTATATTTATTTTCCCTCCATTTTTGTAGATAATCAATGATATTAAGTAACATAAATATAAAGGAGACATCTTCCCCAAGGCTGATGCTCATTTCCTTTTAAAAACCTGAGATGCAACATCCAGAGGTGAATAGTATCCCATATCATCGATGATACAACGTCATGGTTATTTAGAATTGCAAGTGCATGCAAGACTATTGTTAGAACATTATTTGATCTATAGACGACAAACTGATTTGTATAACCTGACTGGATTTATAGATGATCTGTCATGATAACTTGTATGTTAGCACGCTTGGTCCGCAATCGGACGTCAGTGAATCAAGGAACACGGAAGAGATGATTATGTGCTGGTGAGTATCATATACTCATAGTTACTTTTCGTTCGTTCCTTTTTTCGTTGTTTGTGCCGCTTTGTGTGTTTGTTACTTCGATCGTTGTTTGTTTTAGAGTGCCTTTGAACCCGCGCAACTTCGCGGTGGGTTCTGGAAAGTATCATCAGAGGCAATGAACCCTTTATCAATTCAAGGCCAAATTGCACCATGATAATTGCAGCGGATGAAAGTTATGGCATGAAAATATTTTGGCCCTTGGTTCCTGTATTGTGGTTTATACAAGAGGCAATAGATTGAAGGGGGTCTTGGAATGTCTGTTTATATTCTTTCAAATTAATATCTGACTAATGCAGCATATTCAGTCATCGACTTTCAAGATGGAAAGTTGGAATATCTGGGAACCTTGTGAAAATATGCTAATGTAACGTATTGTTTATGAGGGGTGGGGGTGGGGCTTTTAAAATGTATGTTCTGAATGTCAGGAGAAAAATGATAAAAATTATAATTTTTTTCATTGACAGAATGTGTATTCCTAACTGGATTCGATGAAGCAGCTTTTTAAATCATGCGTGTACTCTGATATCGCTGTGTTAACGAGGAACTTAAAATATGGGTTCAAAAAATATTTTTGATTCTGAGCAATTTAGCATTGATAACTTTACTCGATCAGTAAGTTGTACACGTTTCACATTCTTTACCAGGGTCAACTTTATATTCCATATTCCAAGTAGACATTTGGGTATATTCATGGACCTATATCTCTCATGGTATATTGCAGTGAACGATCACTAGTCAAGCTTATCTAATTCACACGTGTTTCTACCTTGATATGCCACATATGCATTTAATTCTGCTGAGGACTTATCTCAGGTGATTATATACAACAGTCGGCCTGAATTCTGAACCCGGGGGGTTCACTATATATAAACCTTGACGGGGATCCTCGGCGCATGTGGGGTACCTTTTTCAACGTTTGGTATGGCAATGGACCCATATTTTAGGATTTGGTATGGGAATGCCCGGAAATTTCTGACTTCTGAGGTATGGCAATGGTCGGACTTTTGCTCTTCTGGTATGAGAATGGTTGTTGTAGATACGTTACCTAACATTCGTGGTATGGCATTAGTCCAGTAGTTGCAAATTTGAAGTTGTTTTGGATCGTTTCCCGAAGTACTAGTATATTCTTTTCCAGGGCCTTCTTCAACTTTTGAATTTTAGCCCTTGGTCCCATATTTTGACATTTGGTATGGCATTGGTCCTACATTTTGACATTTGGTATGGCATTGGTCCCATAATTGGGCATTTGGTATGGCATTGGTCCTATATTTGGACATTTGGTATGGCATTGGTCCTATATTTGGACATTTGCTATGGCCTTTGGGCGTTATTTTGGTTGGTATGGGAACATATTGAAATTTGACAGATTGGTATGGGAACATATTGATATTTGAGGCTTCAGCCTTGGACCCCCGTCAAGTTTTATATACAGTGAACCCCCCGGGATTCTGAAGGCCCCTGTGAATGCCTCCAACTGACTGATGCAGCTTTATGTACCTGGGGTCAGGCAAGATAAGTTATAGGTCGGTTACGCAGAACTTCTTCACGTGTTCATCCCAGGATTTCCTGTTTTCTCAGTTGGAAGCAGACGTGATATTCCAACGTATAAATTCTTTACGTTCCTAGACATTGGGGGCGTAACGTTAAGGAAGATCTAAACAATCACGTAATTTTATTTTTAGATTTTTAGCTTCATTTTTAAAAAATTCAGTGGACAATTGTTTGGTCTAATTTTAAAAGTGAAGATATTACTGGACTGTTCTTAATTAATATTAAGGATTGTGAATTCATGAGTATTCACCAGAACTCCCTTTGGCAAATCAAGCTACTCCCTTATCTCTCGTTAGTATTATTATTTCATATCATTTTACCAAT